AATGTACATTTGAAATCGCGCATGCGTCTTGACCACAATCAATTGCCGCCAAAATCACTCCAAAGACGTTTTCTGCTGTAACCCGGTCTAATCTAAAACTGGCTGTTGCCAGAGACAGGATTTGCCATTTTTCGTTTATTGAGAAGTAAAGCTGTAAGTATTGCCTTTTTTTTAATAGATTTTTGCATAATATCTGGAATTCTGTGCATTTTGATATGTTAGTGAGTCTTGCTGCTAGACGCCATAATAATGTTGTCTGTATAGCTGTAACGTCATTATAGAAATATTAGTTGTGATGGCCCATAACATTAGTTGCTAGCCAATTTTGTCCGGACAAGACTGTGAAGAGGTGAGCTGCTTTTTATTTGGATAAAAGGTACCTTAACGTTTAACACTTTCAACTCAAATAACGACGCTTGATTTTTAAATAATTTAGGGGGTAAGGTCTACATCTAGTAGAAAAAAATTTACTTTCCATTACTTTTGGGCGCAATGTTAGCGGTACCTCTGGGTCCGGTGCCCTTGTGGCCTGTCTGGTGGGGTTATTATATATAGAGCTATTACATGTCTATATATATCTGGGCCCCTGACCATCCAGGCCCGAGGGGGTGGAGCGCCAAGCCCGGCCGCGTTCCGACAGGTTGTCAGAAATTTGCAGCCCGAACCCCATCAAGCCCACGTTTGCTTTTTTTTGGTTTAACCTCACATACAGTAAAAACGTTTTAGCGAAGAAAAATAGTGCCCGACGCGACTGATATGAACACAGGAGCCTGGCTATCAGGCGGAGTTAAACACGGGTAGTGATGTTTTTGCAATGAGGTCTCCATAAGGAGAGAACTATGATCTACGAAAAACAACAACACCCATGAAGGTAACGGTATGACTCGTCAATGACAAACACTACAGCGTAATAATAACGCTGTATTCACGGGTGCGTACGTGAATGTAATCGGCCGTTCGAAAATGAATAATTTAAAAAGTTGCCGTAATGCCCGACCGTGAGTCCGAGGTGAATACAGTGCATCTGCCCGAAGACCGGTCCTCGGACCAAGGCTCATAATTCTGGGCTCTAAGTAACCGTAGCATTTTGACATTTATTTTTACTCGAACCATCAAACACATTTTTAATAACGGATTCTGCATGAGTGTTGCAGCAGTTAAATCAGAGCTCCACTGAGTTTTCAGCATTCCGAACAGAGAATACATTACTTGTTTTACTGTACATAGGTCCTAATTGCATGTATTTCAAACAAACAGAACAATAAATATTTTATACTGTAGGTTTGGTGGTTGATGATAATACGGTGACAACTCAAACAAAAACATTGCTTTAATTAAAGACTTAAAACCGATGTATTTAAGAATTTAATCTGTATTTTGTGTTATTAATATAATTCCCTCACAGAAAAGAAAGTGATAGAGGTGTGGGCTTTGTTTTGACGCAGGGTTTATCTGCAGAATGGAGTGTCAGTAGAGGGAGTGTGAGTCTCATTCAGGCAAGTAAACCATCTATGCAATGATTTAAAAATTACTGCTGCGGATAGAATATCACTCTTTTACATCTTAAATTGTGGATTTACAAGGGTGAACCTAGGCAGTTTAGGAGAGGGGCAGTGGACGTTGAGGACAGATTTAACAGGAGTTTCCATGTTGCATCATCAGGGAGAGACAGTAGGCAATCCTTTGTTAAGAGATGTCCGTGCAAAAAATTTGCATATTAGTGCCTCAAAGCGTTAGAAGCTCTAAAGCACTATAGATTAAAAACATTTCCACACTGTCAAGGTCGGTAACAATACCCTGCCTTATTCTCAGATTGTCCTTGTTCATTTAAAATTGGGGGCCCATCAAACCCATTTGTCTAGAAATCATACTCAAGCCCAAGAAAAACAGTCAGGGGAAACACATTTCTTTACCATGCTTGTATGCAATTCATATAGTGTCAACACAGAGATGCAATATTATGAACACATTGCAGTTCATCTGAAAAAGCACGAAACAGTGAATTGTGTTTTATAAGGTATTGTGATAACACAACTAAATTTAAGATCAACTTTTGCATCACACAAAAGTAGGAAGCATACAATCCTCAAAACAGCAATTGACGATTTTAAACAATGCTATATTTCAGCACAATTCAAGTCAGGGAACAGAGGATGGTAGATTGCCTGGTCGATGAAAGTAAAGTAACTTGTTGATGAAACAGAATTAATGTGTCAGTATGAGAGTGAAGATTTTTGTTCAAGTCAATTGTTGATGAAGCTTGGGTCCCAATTACTTAAATTAGACTGCAACTCCAACGTCTCCTATAGATTGATATAAAAGAGATTGTAGACACGAGCTTCATTTTCATAACCATACAGCATCCGCACACCTGCATAAACAAAAATATCTGTTATGTACCACATATACAAAATCTATAACGGCACTGTTGAGGAAATTGCTGGATTACAGACTTGGTGAATAACATTTAGTACGTTAAATCCATCTCACTGCAGCCCTTTAGTGGGGAAGGCCCTAATGGGACAGACATACAAGAGAAGTGTTATTTCAAGGAGCATTTCCTCTAATGTAGAACCGTTGGAGTCTATTACTTGGATGCGAAAGAGGGAAAGACAATTCCAATATATACCAATATTGCAAACCTGAGTCACATGCACTTGAAAAAATAGTGACATACAAGAACAAGGTTTTTTGAAGCATACAAGGCTCTTGTGGATCTCTATGGTCAATACTATTCTATTAACTTATGAAAGCTTTATTCGCTCTATGTTTTTGTTACTTTCCCGGCCTTCACTAATCTTCTCGGCTTTGGGTTTCTAACTTACCAGATTTTCTCACATTTCTTTCCTTTTCACTCAACTATTTTCCTTTCTGTTATACTCACAACCACTGCGACCTTTCTCATGCTTTATCATATAGCCACGCTCCTTCTCCCTATCTCTCTTACTGGTGCCGGATATTTGACACTACGTATACCCCATTATGGAACCCTCACGTAAGCAAGCATACGGTGACAGGCATGTTCTCACATGGTGTTACGCATGCACATCCATGCACTCGTATCAGGTCCACCATATCCCATCCCTTTACCCTTGGCAGTATTCGTGCATAGGATTGTGCCATCCCCGATGTCAAGGATATTCCATGGTTATATCCTCCATATCTGCTAGACCAAAATAACATTCACGATCTCAGCAAGCGTAGAAGAGATGGAAAAAATTTCCTGAGCATTGTGTCACCCAAACCTCAGCCAAGGCACGATTCTTTAATCTGTCCCTTGCCGCTCAAACCATATGGATGCCCCCCATCCGTACGGGGGGTTTATTGCACTAAGCCCTCTATGCTGGGTCATAACATTGTATTGTAGAATATATATGTGTTGGAGCGCGTACCCAGTTTACAGGATCTGAGCGCTGAGGTATGTTGAGCGTCTCTAACCCATGAAAGGCACTCAAACCGTCCCCCCCCCCCCCCCCCCCCCCCCCCCTGCCCCCCCCCCCCCCCCCCCCCCCCCCCCCCCCCCTCCCACCCAAGCAGCATTCAGCACATGTCACCACACCCCCCCCATAGTACATTGATGTAACGAAAGGCCTTGTGTCAATTACACAAGAGCATTACAATCATTTATCCTCAATGTAGCACTACCGGTTAACCCACCTCGTCTACTACTCAATCACATACTTGCTTTAGTATAGAACCTCTGTATTGAACTATGGCCAATGTGTACATCGGTTTTTAAAGTACAGAACACAAAAACTTATCTATCTATATGAACTAGGTCAATACAATCCATCAAACAGCTTCCCATACAAGTGAGAAAGACCGTACCAAATTGTCCCCATGTATACCCACCAACCTTTTTCCTCCCGTTAAACCCTTGGTGGTCAACGCAAACTGAGTATTGGTGTTTATTGAGGTTGCTTTCCACTTATGCTTGGTACCAAAGTACCTGAAGAGGAACCAGGCCAGGCAGTATGTTGATGTCCCTCAAAGATGTTTTTTGCCTTAGGTTATTCACCTACCCACACAGCTGAAAGCATTGGTTACCTCGATAAGTCTCAGTGCTGAGCATCGACCATAGATTGATTGCATACCAGCTCCATGGTTCAAATGTCAAAAAACCTGCTGTGTCTGTGTCAAAGATGTCCAGAGTGCCATTAGAGGTTGTAAATGACAACATACGAGAATTTCTATTACAGAAATCTCCTGAAGAGACAGTTGTTAATTTGACAAAACAGGCAGAATTTCAGGGCACCAGTTACAGTATTGGCATGATCCTGGTATATGGCCACACTGGTGGATTGCCCGACTTTGCTGAAATACTGCAAATCATCATTGTTTGTGACAGCTTGGTGTTTGTGGTGAAATTGCAAAGTGCGTGGTACCTTGAGCATTTCAGAAGTTTCAAGTTAGAGCCCACAAGCATAGTCAAAGTGATTGAGCACTCAAAACTCACTGACACATACCCATTGGCAACTTACTCATTGCAAGGCGATCGAATGGTTTCTCTGAAACACCATATCTGCTTGTAAAACTAGGTAAAGTATAATTTTAAATGGTGTGAATTAGGGCTGTCAAAATTATCGCGTTAACTCACGTTAATTACAGTTTTCATTAACGCGTAAAAAAAAAATTACGCATTAACTGCAATATTTTATCAAGCCAGCAGATGGCAGCATTGCTCTATGAATAAAACTTTCCATTACAGGGGAACGAAACAAGCTAGAAACAAAATTATTTTTGCTGGTGAAAGTAGACGGTTCATTCTTTTAGAATCTGGGATTTCAGATAGTCATAGTACACAATATTCTGTGGGTCTTGAAAATTCAGTAAAAATCATCAGAAACGGCTGGCAATATGGGAGAAATTAAAGCTGGGGTACCTACATTTTCCCTTTCACAGCTCTTGTTGGTTGTACCCAAAAGAAGAAGGTTGTGAGCAAGTCAAACAGATTTAAGAACATTTGGTCTGAATAACAATGTCATTACATTTGATAATCTCATTTAACTTTAATTGGAGTGGATTTGAAATAGAATGTTAAAAATGTGATTAATCGTGAGTTAACTCACCATTACTATGCCATTAATCAACCAAAAAAATGTCAATGTTTGACAGCCCTAGTGTGAATCCATCTTTTTTGCATTACAACTTAATTGCTCTTGTCTTATTGAACCATATCTTTGTTCTGTTTTTTTTTTGCAGTTCTGCTTGCCCAAGATTAAGATGTCTGTCCCAACTCAACTTCGTGTGATTATTGAAGAGACTCAAGTTCACAAGTTGACCCTACCAAATGGAGTCCCTAGCACTTTAGATGAACTTTTAGAAGTTGCACAGGGTCATTTTCAACTCCAAGGGAGATTTACTGTTATGTACATGGACAAAGACTTTGGTGACCAATTCTTCACTCTAACATCAACAGATGTGGTTAAGGACAAAGACACAATCAAACTAGTTAGAATGGACGAGTCTGTGATTCTGACATTGACTCCCATCATTGAATCAGTTGCTTCCTCTCCTTCAGTGTCACTGGATGTGTCTTTGCAGGAGGACAATTCTGGAATTGGCTCATCTGACACTATCATTTTACCACAGTCTCCAGAATGTCGATCGGAGCCATGGCCTACTAATTTTCAGATACCCACCTTTTCATACGATGTTGAAATGCTTCTTAATGCAGGAAATAAGGCTTATGAAAGTGATGGTTCATTCCTTCAGAATCCACCCATGAACTCAAGCATACTTGAGAAACTTTCTGACACTGTGTTCCAGTACACTGCTTATCCCACTGGCCTTCAAAGATTGGCAGTTGTAGAAGCTCTGTTAAAAAAGCATCCATGCCTAAGGGAGCCTGATACCGCATTTTCAGGCATGTATGGGTGGCAGCTGCGTCTTACATATAAGATGGCCAATTACCGTAGCAAACTAAAAAGACGTGAAGTATCTTGTCCTGAGATTGATGTCAACACATTGAGAAGGAAACTCACGGGGGAGCGACATCCTGCAAAAAATTGCAAGAGACCAAAGAAGGCAGAGGTGAACTTCCTTCCTCCACACCCAAGTGGAGAAACAAGTGACAGTTTGGAGATGGAAAGACAGGAACTTCTTATTGAGGTAAAGAAGAATAACAACACCAGGGTGATTCAAGAGAAAATGGCCAAAACATTCTCGATTCGAAGACTTGAGATTGTGAGTGAAAGTCCAGCTGTTGAGGACTTCAGAGACAGATGGCCTGCTTTGTTTTGTGAAGATGGGGTAGGTGATTCTATACTCTTACAAGTATGACCTGTTCCATTGAGTACTAACAATGTTTCTATGAATATCTATAAGGATTAAATTCTCTCCTCATAATTTTAATTTTAATTTAGCAGCAGAATATTAATCTCCTTTCCTGATTTTTTATTTGTGATTTATGTCAATGCAGATCAAGGAGGAATTCAGGAGAATAACCACATTGTCCCTGGAGCAGAGCTTCATGTACAAACTTGACCACTACACACCCAAACTTATCACCCTGATGAAGGCCAAGGGAGGTGTTTTGGGGACCGCGCTGAGACCGTTTTTGTACAGACTAAGTCAGGTGTGCTTGCCCACTTTTTTGTAGGAATATAGACCTTCAGTTTTTCTGACTCTCTTTCTCACTCACACACGCATGCACGCACACACACTAGGGATGTAAATCGGTGACCGTTTAACCGGTGGTTGACCGTCACAGCGTTAACTGGTCAAAGCTGTCTGTAAAAAAAAAAAGAAAAGGGAGAGAGGGGAGGTCTCTTAATAACGCAATTTTAAGCCCTATTCGCACGGTGTAAAGGAGCGGTTCGTCTCTACCTGTGCGCGCCAATGTATTGTTAAACTCCGGAGCAACTTTCATGCCGCACTCGCCGCGCACATACACACATACCCGCAAGCACACACACACACACACACACACACACATTTCACACTCGCTCACCTTTTCCCCGCTCAATTCATACGTAACATCCATACCGGTTGTCTCTCACCTCCGTTACTAGTCCGCCAAAGTTGTGCGGGTTAGAACTCCATCGGCGCACACGAGCACGCACACACATGAGCAAACTCACACGAGCACACACACACGAGCACACACACACAGGAGCACACACACACACACCGGTCTCTCGCGCTCCTCTGTGTCACGGAGCTCAAAGGATCCTCGCAAATACGCAGCTTCAGTCAAATTACATGGTGCATGTTTGTGCTGCTGGTCCACATTAGATCAGCTCCACACACATCTTTAGCGGAGACCTGTGAGACGCGGCTCGTCACTCGCTGCTCTTACAGTATGGACGAGCCGTCTCTTACAGTATGGACGAGCCGTTGTTTGCTGCTAAAAAGCTTTAACCCGCAGCACAGACAAATGGGAAGAAAGCACTTCTCTGTGCGCAAAGGTGCCGAGGCTGTTGCAGGTATCGCTCCGCTGTCTCGGCTCTGATCCAGTTAGAGAACGCATAGCTGCCCATATGAAAAGTACGCGGCTAAAAATGGCTGTTATTTTAAAGAACGTGGAACATTATAAACTACGCGGTTAACCGGTTTCAACCGGTTAATGGGGCTCGGTGGTCAGTGATAAAAAAATCATAGTTTTTTACACACGCATACACAGCACAAATTCTCATTCAGTAGCTTCAACACTCTGTGGCTCACATGACTTCTCCACGTGTTAACTAAATTGCCAAAAGTATTGGGTCACCTGCGTTGATGTGCATATAAAGGACAACTAAACACCAAATTCACTTTTCTAAAATCATAAATATGTTTCTTATAGTGTTCCCTCTTTTAGTTTTTCATTTTAGTGCATTTTAGTGTGGTTCCCTCTCTACCTTTTTGGTGGCACTACATTTTGAATTTGGTCCTGGCCTCTCCATTGGCTGTGGAGTGATGTGTGATGGCAGTTGGTGTGTGTGACTGTGTCTCTGCGCCAGTGATATAAACCCATTCAACTCTCACACGCCCTAGTTGCGAGTTGGAGTACTCTGGTGACATTTAGTGGATTAAAAATAAATTGCACGAGATACTTCAGTGGTTTAGGTTCAGGTGTGTCAGGTGTTTAGTGTGTGGAATGAAACTCTCTGGTGTGTAAACTATTGCTTTTATCAGCAATGACAATGATAAGAATGGGATGTCACTTAAGTTCATATGCACATCAAGGCAGGTGACCAAATACTTGTGGCAATTTAGTGAATGCTCTTGTGTTTTCCTGAAACAGTTCATTGTTTATAAATTAGGCTTCAATATTGACACTATATTAAACTGTTAACAGAACCAAAGCATTGAGGAAAGACGAGACACAATCATACGGAGCCTCATTGTTTACCTCGGTGAAAAAGTGGAGGACCTTTTCGAAGATTGCCAGGTAATGTATGATTACAACTTACAATCAACTTAACCCTCTAGGCGCCACGGTCGACTTCAGTCAACAAGCTGCGGTACTGTGAAAAATGGCAGAGTATGTCCAACAGTCACTGTCAAAATTCATTAACACTCCTTGCCACTAGTTGGTAGACATGTCAGACTACCTCCCTGGTCACACAAAACGACATGCTCCCATACAAAATATTCGAGCAAGAACGCATTGAACCATTGTGGAAATCATAGCGAAGCGAGTGCAGCTGCAAGGCAGCGTGCGAGTCTTGTACCGCACCAATCACTACATTTAGACATTTTACACAGTCTGTGGTGGGAACAGTATTTCTCAGGGCAGTCATTGGGACGGGTTAGATTTGCGGAGAACAAGCAGAGAAGTCGCGTCGGGCCGCCGTGCCGCGACTCCAGCCTCCGCTATAATAATGCCTCCCATAGACGTATAATCATGCCTCCAGGTCATCTCCGGGACAGTAACGTGTTGGGGAAGCCTTTGTCATGTATTTGTTAGACGAGGGAGAGAGCAGGGGAGACAAGAGACAGCAGCAGAAGAGTCGCGGTGACACAGGAGCGCGCTTCACCTGGAGGTGCTTGTCTGGGCCAAGCCCCGGTGATCCAAGAGCAGAGCACAGAGGGGCTCTGACCAATCAGAGCTGCTGATCTGAGCAGCGGCAGAGCGGAGTTAGAGCGGGAAAGAAAGAAGCAGAGTTTGTGGCAGTAAAGTGTGGATTTAAAGAAAACCGAAGGATTTAAGAAGAAATAAAGTTCAGGATGACAAGGGACACTAAAAATCCCCACAATCAGATCTTTATGAAAGCTGTAGGTTCTCTGTCAGCTGAGGTCGAGCTGTTTTAATTTACAGTGAGATCTATGGGACTTTTTTCTGGGTAGCCCCCGTGCCCATGGGTGGGACCAGCTATTAGCTAGTAATACCCTATCCAGTTATTATTATAGATCCATGGTCTGGGCAGCATGATTTGTATTTGTTACTATTTCCCTGAACATTTACAATGTTACAGTGTGAGTTCTGTGTGTGTTTATGTCCTAGTAATCAATTTATGTCTGTCAGTTACACGTACAAGAGAACGTGTAACTGACAGAGTGTAACTGGGCTCTGAACCCAACTCCTTGAGAGGGGTTGGACGCTCCACTTCTCTGGTGTTTCTCGTGGGGAGAGGTGGCGAGTTAAAGGGTTAATGATTTTCTTTCTAGAAATTATGTCATTATGAATGAGGAAATTATGATTTGTTGCTCAATAGAATTGTCTTTATTTATTTATTTTTGTAAATTATATGCAGGAGGACTGCCGCAGTGAGGCCAGGAAACATGTCCTGAAAATCCTGGTGGTTCATGCAGAGGATCCAGCTGATGTGGCTATCGCTATTGAAGGAAAGGAGATCATTGAGAGATGTGGATGCACCGCGAAAGCGTGTGCATTGCTTATGGGACTAATATATGCTCTTAACATTGCATATCCACCGACGCTCCGATACACGTTTGAAGTATTCCAAAAACTTTTCTTGGAATTGGAGGGCAATAAGCTGTCGCCAAAAATCCAATCTTTGAAATTGAAAGTGCTGGCTTAAATGTGTCCTTTCTGGTTGTGTTCACTCCGTTACTGTAGAACTTCTCCTGTTTTGTTTTTTCCTTGTAATAATCTAAAGTTGTGCATATGTTCTGTAGTTGATAGTTGTGTATATTATATATATTATATTATATTATATATATTATAATTGATTAAATGATGTATATTTTGTATGGTGAAAAGTCAGTTAAATGGCCCTTCGACAGTGTTTCACTTTTTCAATACAGCAGAAACATGAGTGGGTACATGCAGTGTTGAGTTTCAGTGATTGCCACCAACATTTTTTGTCCAACGTTAAGTTCATATAATGTGTTAACATTGTAAGCATGGCTGTTCTGACAAAATAAACAGCTCATTGCATTACATTGTAATTGTGTGGTATGTGGTAAAAGTATATTAACTACATATGGTTAAGATTTATCAAAAGAAAATAAGTAACATTGAAGAATTATAGTGAGTAAAATAACTTAATACAACTAAGTAACTAACATTTTCAAACAGATACAATTTAGTAAAATTTACTTATTCACTTCATAACAGTAAATATTACAGACTTGTAAGATTTACTTAATATTTTCATAACTGATATGTATGAAAATAAGTAACATTTACTTACAACTATCCCTAACATTTGTGATAATATTAAGTAAATTTTACATAATTCTGGTAAGTAAATAATACTTTATATTACGGCATTAAAATTTACTTTAAAAATTTGAGTGCAAATACTTACAATGATTTTTTTAAGTAAATCTTACTAGTCATTTCTTTGAGTGTGGGAGACGTAAAAGCAACAGCTCACAGGGAGAGTCCTGTGAGGTGCTATCAAACTGTTTTCTCTGTTTATCACAGTTTAAAAAGTTCAAAAATATTTAATTTACAATCAACATGTTTACATTTAAGAGGATGGCTCATAAATTGTGTTTTTGAAGCATATATGGGTCTTAATCGCGCTCAACCACAGCTTGTAAGTGAGGAAAGCCTCAAGGGGGCGCTTGTGTGCCCAAACTTTGGCTGCATCCAATTCCATCAGAAAGCTCCTTTCTTGTTCTTCTTCTGCTAAGGGCAGCTACAGGTTTGGCTAACATACCTATAATACATTTTAAGATCATTTAAAATGCACATAGAGTAATGTTTTGCTTCCAATGATGATCTGAATCAAAAGAAAAGGAGGTGAAGGGTAAGGTTGAATTTAGAAATTGGATTTACCCGGGAGTCGGCTGCAGCAAAACTCGAGGAGTTTACGGAGGAGACACCCGTTTGTTTTACTTTTTAAAACTCATTGAACTTATTTCCAAATGGAGGATTACATGTCTGTGCTCAAACTATTATCTGGACTTAAACATGAAACTGGTCCTAACTGAAGTGGTCTGTGCTGTTCATTAATACCTAAGGTAAGGCCCATAACGCACTTTGTACTTTTTACAAACGTTTGCGTTTTGTATGAGAAAACTATGCAGACATTAAATCTTATTCTGCTGTAGCCAAACAAATTGTGTATAAGGTTTATATGATGTATAATCATATGATTGATCCCCCACCCCACCGCACGCCACTGGTGTAGCCAGGTCTCTAATCTGCGCAAGGCTGAGAAAGAGCACTCAGAGGCTGCGACAGATATTAGCCAGACAGAGCTTCATAAGCACCTCCGACAGCATGGAGCGGGTTTTGGGCTGCAAGGAACGCAGGATAGTGATAACTTCTCGCTCCCGCCACACGCGGAGGGGGTGCGGCCGCACCCCCCGCACCCCTAGTTCCGACGTCTATGCTGAGTCCTTGTTAAGCCCAGGGTCATGGTGCACAAGGACAGAACCAGTATGAGTTCAGGCTGGAGCTTTTACACCCTGTGAAGCCAGAGGTAAGGTTCAAGTGTGTGTATTACAGAAGTTATACTTTATTTTGGGATGGACTATCTATGACAGGCTTGGGCAAACTTTTTTATTTAAGCAGAATTGTTCACAGGCCAGAGAGAGGCCAGAGAGAGGCCAGAGAGAGGCCAGAGAGAGGCCAGAGAGAGGCCAGAGAGAGGCCAGAGAGAGGCCAGAGAGAGGCCAGAGAGAGGCCAGAGAGAGACCAGAGAGAGACCAGAGAGAGGCCGGAGAGAGGCCAGAGAGAGGCCAGAGAGAGGCCAGAGAGAGGCCAGAGAGAGGCCAGAGAGAGGCCAGAGAGAGGCCAGAGAGAGGCCAGAGAGAGGCCAGAGAGAGGCCAGAGAGAGGCCAGAGAGAGGCCAGAGAGAGGCCAGAGAGACCAACCGAAGGAAGGAGAGACCAGAGTGAGAGGGTGAGACCAGAGTGAGAGGGTGAGACCAGAGTGAGACCAGAGTGAGACCAGAGTGAGACCAGAGTGAGACCAGAGTGAGACCAGAGTGAGACCAGAGTGAGACCAGAGAGAGAGAGACCAACCGAATGAAGAAGGGGAGACCAGAGGGAGGGAGACCAGAGGGAGGGAGACCAGAGGGAGGGAGACCAGAGGGAGGGAGACCAGAGGGAGGGAGACCAGAGGGAGGGAGACCAGAGGGAGGGAGACCAGAGAGGGGGAGACCAGAGAGGGGGAGACCAGAGAGGGGGAGACCAGAGAGGGGGAGACCAGAGAGGGGGAGATCAGGGAGAGAGGTTCTGAGCTTTACAACATGGTATAACAATATTTACAGTCTGTGGGTCTTACAACTTTTTCTGGATGGTCCCTGGTTTATATTTTGATAATGGTGAAACAAACCATTTTAATGACCTCAGCCTGGGATCGAGCACAACCCAGGATTATACCCAAACACGCTCAGACTAGAAATACACAGTGGTCATGAGCAAACACTGTTATGAAATATGTTTATGGCACTTTGTTTATGGTTGCGTTGTGGTCAGGTGAAGCAGCGGTCCACACAGCGGCAGGTGAACCTCACTGTGCAGAAGGACCAGAGTCTATGGTGGGGCCGGCTCACTGCTCAGGAGCGCAGACCGGTCTTCCTCGCTCCAGACTTCGACCGCTGGCTGGAGGAGTCTGACGCCGAGATGGAGATCCAAGAAAAAGTACAGAACCATCGCCCCTTCATGTTGATTTTTGTGCAGGTTTTTAACACGACGCACTGTTTTTGTAGGAGAGGCGGGAAAAAAAGGCACCGAGACGAGAAAACAATTGTGAGTAAAGAAGATTGGATAAGGAGAGAGGAGACCAGAGAGGAGACCAGAGAGGGGACCAGAGAGGGGACCAGAGAGGGGACCAGAGAGGGGACCAGAGAGGGGACCAGAGAGGGGACCAGAGAGGGGACCAGAGAGGGGACCAGAGAGGGGACCAGAGAGGAGACCAGAGAGGAGACCAGAGAGGAGACCAGAGAGGAGACCAGAGAGGAGACCAGAGAGGAGACCAGAGAGGAGACCAGAGAGGAGACCAGAGAGGAGACCAGAGAGGAGACCAGAGAGGAGACCAGAGAGGAGACCAGAGAGGAGACCAGAGAGGAGACCAGAGAGGAGACCAGAGAGGAGACCAGAGAGGAGACCAGAGAGGAGAGAGACTGAGTTAAATATAAACTTATCTTGTGCTGTGTGCTCCTCATTCTACTGCTCTGTAACTTGTGATGCAACACTGACATTTCCCCACAGCGGCACAAACACAAGCATCTCTTAAGGGGCGTTCACACCGGACTTAACTTCGGCGTCAAAAGCGTCAGGTTTCCATTGAAAGTGAATGGTGAAGCGCGTCAGGTGAAGCCGAGAGCCCCGGCGTCACTTGACGCGCGTCAAAAGCTTCAAGAGTCGCGCGTACTACGCGCTCACTTGAAGCTTTTGACGCGCGAAACGCTCGCGTATCACAACAATCCCTCTGACGCCGAAGCTGAGCAAAGCTGAGCTTTTGAAGCTTTGACGCGGGCTTCAACCAATCAGGAGACGAGGAGCAGCAGCAGCAGAGGGTCTGTCTCTGTCATGAAGAGAAGTCATGCTGCTGCTGTTTTATTGTCATTATTGTTATTAGTAATATTATTTGTATGAGTAGTAACGTTCTGAGTAACAAAATCATTGTACACATGCTGTGTAGTAAACGTAGTTTATTTAAAATAAGAACAGGCTGACGATGAGTCTGGCTCAGAGCAAGGCAGCTCCGGGCGGGCGAGAGCCGGGGAGAGGCAGGGAGAGGCAGGGAGAGGCGAGCGAGAGCCGGGGAGAGGCAGGGAGAGGCAGGGAGAGGCGAGCGAGAACCGAGGAGAGGCAGGGAGAGGTGAGCGAGAGCCGGGGAGAGGCAGGGAGAGGCGAGAGCCGGGGTTTGAGAACTCAGACTGGGCAAGTGACATGCGGAAGTACCGCTGAAAGCGAAACTCCTCCGTACGCAGCTCCTGGAGTAAATGACGGAACTCTGCAAACACTGCAGCCTCTCAAGTCTGTGGTGAACCCAGAACATGTTTTGTTGAAGCCCTACAACAACGTTATTTTGCTTTATATAACAAATAAAGGCTCGCTGCTCATTGAAAAATCCACCGCTGTCCTGACTACAGACAACAGAGAAGCTCCTCCTACCGGCGTCAGGCGCGTCACTCGCGTCAAAAGCTTCAAGCACCAAAAGGACAAAACTATCCCGGCGTCAGTTGAAGCGCGTCAAAAGCTTTTTGAAGCTTTTGGTCTGAACGCGCCTTTAATCTTAACATCTATCATAAAATACACTCGGAAAACCTGCTGCAATGAATGAATGGATTAATGAATGGATGAATGAATGGATGAATGGATGGATTAATGAATGGATGAATGAATGAATGAATGGATTAATGAATGGATGGATTAATGAATGGATGAATGAATGGATGAATGGATGAATGAATGGATGAATGAATGGATGAATGGATGAATGAATGGATGAATGGATGGATTAATGAATGGATGAATGAATGAATGAATGGGGCTAGTGACAAAAACTGAACGAGGAAATATCTGCTGATTTAAATACATATGTTTTTTTTCTAGTTCTGTCGACGTTTAAAACCGGATTTCTCCTGCTCTACAATCTTGTGCAGTTTCTTGGCTTTTCATGGATATTTTTCAACATGATTTTGCGTGTGTTGCTAATCGGACACGGTAGGTCATAAAAGCTTGAAACGAGTGGTTTTTAAGATTCTTCAGTTTAGTCTTATTTAAGGGAGACATTTCTGTATCTTTTTAGTAAGTAATGTTTATATAGAGCATTTTCACAGACCAAAGTACAGACCCAAAGTGCTTTACAATGTTCAGAGTCAGATATTGTTCTTATCAATCCACACGGTGATGACGGCAGCGGGACCTGAACACACTGGACCATCATAACCTCCGACCAAACACCATCCACACCATCACTCACTCAGTTACATTCAGACCTATTGTATATGTTTTGAGTGGTAGGGGAAACCGGAGCACCTGGAGGAAACTTCCGCAGACACAGGGAGAACTTGCAAACTCTACTCAGAAAGGCCCTGTTCCGACCAGGATTCGAACCCTGGACCTTTTTGCCGCCCAGTTTAAAACAAGATAATTTTAGTTTTGTCCCATTGGAGAATCTTGAGTTAAGGCTCAGATTAAGACACATTTAGACACATTTTAGCACCTTTTGACTTATTTTTTGCAGTGTAGCCTCCTCAACATGGCTCTGCTGTTTTATTTCACAGATTCTTTGTACGACACGTTCCACTCGATGGGGGACGTGATGTTCTTCTGTCAGATCCTGGCCTCGGTGGAGGTCCTGAACGCGGCGTTTGGCGTGGTTAAAGCCGGTGTGGGCCCCGCCTTCGTTCAGGTCGGCGCCTGTTGTCTCTGAGGCCTTCATTTGAATCTTCATTGAAAAAACGGCTGAATGTTTTCGCTCATTTGCATTTCAGGTGGTTGGAAGGAACTTTGTCCTCTTTGTCATTTTTGGCAGCTTAGAGGAAATGCAAAACAAGCCAGTTGTGTTCTTTGTCTTTCTGCTGTGGAGCGCGATCGAGATCTTCAGGTGAGAGATTACAATATTACCCTAACTACACTGCAGCAAGTGATGGAACAATACGTTAAAATTACTCAAACTTATCTTAATTTTTAACTAGATTTTTCAACAGGACAAAGAAAAATTAAAAGATAAAAAGAAATGTCTTGTTTGGAATGAGACAATACAGCGGCTCTGTCCCACCGGAGAATCTCGTTTTACCACAGTCAGAATGTGTCAGATTAGTCTCATATTTGATCATTTTTTTGCAGTGTAGGCCTAGAGGAAGAGGATCCACGGACAGGGAATTATTTAAAAAGAAAATCTGAATGAAACACATTAAATTAGTGCTGTCCAACGATTAAAATATTTAATCGCGATTAATCGCATGAATTTCATAGTTAACTCGCGATTAATCGCAAATTAGTCACACATTTGCGTGCTGTGTGCAATTGCTTTTTTTATTGAAAACAATGTGTAGTGTTATATTACACACTAACATTTGATGCAAAATCATCAATAAATGGATGACAAAATAAATAATTGGTAACAAAAAGCCCCTTCAATGTGTGTGTGTGGGTGTGTGTGTGTATGTGTGGGTATAGACCATAGACTGTATAGAAACATCATGGTGTCATTATGATGATGATAAACAATCTGTAAATATTTTGTAAATTTGTTCATGTAAATACTCTATGCTGTTTCTCTGTTTACCTTCGGTATATCTATGACTGTATACTGTTTGCTTGTATTGCCTTTTTTATTAACCCCTCCCCCCATCTCCCACTTCATGTCCCTCCCCTCCTATGTGCCCTTCTGGGTTTCTTCTTTGGCCCCCTGTATCTCCAACTACATATTGTTTGTAATCTCTGTCTACAATGTATCTGAACTAGTCCTTTTCTTTGTTTCTATGTGTTTGTCTGCAATAAAAAAAAAAAAAGATTTTTTTTTTTTTTTTTTTTTTTTACTTTTTATCGCGCGATAAAAAAAATGACGGCGTTAATATTGATTTGCGTTAACGCGTTAATAACGCGCTATTTTGGACAGCCCTACATTAAATCTTTAATTTCTGTTGCCTTCATTTGTCCTTTTCTGGGTCAGGGAGGGTACAAGGGTCCAACCTCCCAGTTCTCAAAGCACCAGCACCAGCCACACTGCTCCTCCTGCAGGTGGTGGTGATTAGAGAATCATAACGAGACCTTTTTTAGTTCTGCGCCACATGGTTCTTTACCAGTGAGATTAGCTCCACGCGGTGAGTTCTGGCGCCCGGATCAGAGACTTTCTGATTGGTGAAACGGTGGAGGGCGGGACATCAAAATGAAAACAATAACAAGATTTAGGGGCTGGAAAAGTAATTTAGAAATTCAAATATCTCTGAACTACTGTTATCAGTTAAAGAAGTATTGGAAAAGATCAGTTTATTATTATGACAGATTAGGGCCCTTAAATGATGACAGATTAGCGCCCTTTAATGATGACAGATTATGGCCCTTTAATGATGACAGATTAGGGCCTTTTAATGATGACAGATTAGCGCCCTTTAATGATGACAGATTAGCGCCCTTTAATTATGACAGATTAGGGCCCTTTAATGATGACAGATTAGCGCACTTTAATGATGACAGATTAGCGCCCTTTAATGATGACAGATTAGCGCCCTTTAATGATGACAGATTAGGGCCCTTAATGATGACAGATTAGCGCCCTTCAATGATGACAGATTAGCGCCCTTTAATGATCACAGATTAGCGCCCTTTAATTATGACAGATTAGGGCCCTTTAATGATGACAGATTAGGGCCCTTTAATGATCACAGATTAGCGCCCTTTAATTATGACAGATTAGGGCCCTTTAATGATGACAGATTAGCGCCCTTTAATGATGACAGATAGCGCCCTTTAATGATGACAGATTAGCGCCCTTTGATGACGACAGATTAGGCCCTTTAATGTCCATTTAACATGAAAATCTTCCATATTTCTACTTTAAAGTACGAATATCAACTCAAATGTCGACCACCGTTATTGTTGACATCAGCCATGTCAGAATCACCTGTGTCAGTTCATCTCCCACTCACAGCCACTGTTCTAAGTTCATGATTCTGGCCTAAACCCGGTGTGTGGCTGTGGCTGCAGGTACCCCTTCTACATGCTGGCCTCTCTCCACATCGACTGGAAGCCTCTGAGCTGGCTGCGATACTCCGTCTGGATCCCTCTCTATCCTTTAGGAGTCCTGGCAGAAGGTCAGACTTTACTCTCTGGTCTCTCTCTCTCTGGGCCCTCTCTCTCTCTCTGGGCCCTCTCTCTCTGGTCTCTCTCTCTCTCTCTCTGGTCTCTCTCTCTGGTCCCTCTCTCTCTCTCTGGTCCCTCTCTCTCTGGTCTCTCTCTCTCTGGTCTCTCTCTCTCTGGTCTCTCTCTCTCTGGTCTCTCTCTCTCTGGTCTCTCTCTCTCTGGTCTCTCTCTCTCTCTGGTCTCTCTCTCTGGTCTCTCTGGTCTATCTATCTGGTCTCTCTCTCTCTGCTCTCTCTGCTCTCTCTCTGGTCTATCTCTCTCTCTGGTCTCTCTCTCTCTGGTCTCTCTCTCTCTGGTCTCTCTGGTCTATCTATCTGGTCTCTCTGCTCTCTCTCTGGTCTATCTCTCTCTCTGGTCTATCTCTCTCTCTGGTCTCTCTCTGGTCTCTCTCTGGTCTATCTCTCTCTGGTCTATCTCTCTCTGGTCTATCTCTCTGGTCTCTCTCTGGTCTCTCTCTGGTCTCTCTCTGGTCTCTCTCTCTGGTCTCTCTCTCTCTGGTCTCTCTCTCTGGTCTCTCTCTCTGGTCTCTCTCTCTGGTCTCTCTCTCTCTGGTCTCTCTCTGTGGTCTCTCTCTCTCTGGTCTCTCTCTCTCTCTGGTCTCTCTCTCTCTGGTCTCTCTCTCTGGTCTCTCTCTCTGGTCTCTCTCTTTCTGGTCTCTCTCTCTGGTCTCTCTCTGGTCTCTCTCTGGTCTCTCTCTCTCTGGTCTATCTCTCTGGTCTATCTCTCTCTGGTCTATCTCTCTCTGGTCTCTCTTTCTGGTCTCTCTCTCTGGTCTCTCTCTCTGGTCTCTCTCTCTCTGGTCTCTCTCTCTCTGGTCTCTCTCTCTCTGGTCTCTCTCTCTCTGGTCTCTCTCTCTCTGGTCTATCTCTGGTCTCTCTCTGGTCTATCTCTGCTCTCTCTCTGGTCTATCTCTCTCTCTCTGGTCTATATCTCTCTCTCTGGTCTATATCTCTCTGGTCTCTCTCTCTCTGGTCTCTCTGGTCTATCTATCTGGTCTCTCTCTCTGCTCTCTCTCTGGTCTATCTCTCTCTCTGGTCTCTCTCTGGTCTCTCTCTGGTCTATATCTCTCTGGTCTATATCTCTCTGGTCTCTCTCTCTCTGGTCTATCTCTCTCTGGTCTATCTCTCTCTGGTCTATCTCTCTGGTCTCTCTCTCTGGTCTCTCTCTCTCTCTCTCTCTGGTCTCTCTCTGGTCTATCTCTCTGGTCTCTCTCTGGTCTCTGGTCTCTCTCTCTGGTCTCTCTCTCTCTGGTCTCTCTCTGGTCTCTCTCTCTGGTCTCTCTCTCTCTGGTCTATCTCTCTCTCTGGTCTCTCTCTCTCTGGTCTATCTCTCTCTCTCTGGTCTCTCTCTGGTCTCTCTCTGGTCTCTCTCTGGTCTATCTCTCTGGTCTCTCTCTCTCTGGTCTCTCTCTCTCTGGTCTCTCTCTGGTCTCTCTCTCTGGTCTCTCTCTGGTCTCTCTCTCTGGTCTCTCTCTCTGGTCTCTCTCTCTCTGGTCTATCTCTCTGGTCTCTCTGGTCTCTCTCTCTCTCACTGGTCTCTCTCTCACTGGTCTCTCTCTCACTTGTCTCTCTCTCTCTGGTCTCTCTCTCTCTCTGTGGTCTCTCTCTCTCTCTGGTCTCTCTCTCTCTCTCTGGTCTCTCTCTCACTGGTCTCTCTCTCTGGTCTCTCTCTCTCTGGTCTCTCTCTCTGTGATCTCTCTCTCTCTGGTCTCTCTCTCTAGTCTCTCTCTGGTCTCTCTCTCTCTCTGGTCTCTGGTCTCTCTCTCTCTGGTCTCTCTCTCTCTCTGGTCTCTCTCTCTCTGGTCTCTCTCTCTCTGGTCTCCCTCTCTCTCTGGTCTCCCTCTCTCTCTGGTCTCTCTCTCTCTCTGGTCTCTCTCTCTCTGGTCTCCCTCTTTCTCTGGTCTCTCTCTCTCTGGTCTCTCTCTCTCTCTGGTCTCTCTCTCTCTGGTCTCTCTCTCACTGGTCTCCCTCTCTCTCTGGTCTCCCTCTCTCTCTGGTCTCTCTCTCTCTGGTCTCCCTCTTTCTCTGGTCTCCCTCTTTCTCTGGTCTCTCTCTCTCTGGTCTCTCTCTCTCTCTGGTCTCTCTCTCTCTCTGGTCTCTCTCTCTCTGGTCCGTGTTCGGCTCATTGCAGACTCTTCTGTCTTTCAGCGGTGGCAGTGGTTCAGTCCATCCCCATCTTTGATCAAACCAAACTCTTCAGTTTTCCGTTGCCCAAAGCCGTCGGTTCTTCCCTGAGCTTTTCCGTCTTTCTGCGCGTTTATCTGATCCTCATGTGTTTCGGTGAGAAGCTATTTTTACACATTTAATTATTCAGTTTCTTCAATGCTAAAATCACCCTTTTCTTGCAGGTCTGTACAGTAATTTTAAGCACTTATACAAGCAGAGGACGAAGCGCTTTAGTGCCAAAAAGCGGAAAACACATTGAAAACGTTTGACTTTATCGTCTGATTGTCATTCACTGATAATGTATTGATTTCTGATCATGTTTAAGAACTTCTGTGTCACTGTTTTGTTGTGGGTGAAATCTTCAGGTGTTTTTATAATAAAGGCAACAGCGAGTCCTGGATCTACAGCCCCTCCCTCAATCTGGGCCCCCGAGGTTTCTCACTTTGTCCCATTGGGTTTTAAGAGTTGATTCTTGCTGAAGGTCTAAGGATATGAAGAGGAGAGAGAGGATGAAGGGGGGTCTCTCTCTTTCTGGTCTCTCTCTAGTCCGTCTCTCTGGTCTCTCTCTAGTCTCTTTCTCTCTGGTCTCTCTCTCTGGTGTCTCTCTCTCTCTGGTCTCTCTCTCTGGTGTCGCTCTCTGGTGTCTCTCTTTCTGATCTCTCTCTCTGGTGTCTCTCTCTCTGGTCTCTTTCTCTCTGGTGTCTCTCTCTGGTCTCTTTCTCTCTGGTGTCTCTCTCTGGTCTCTTTCTCTCTGGTGTCTCTCTCTGGTCTCTTTCTCTCTGGTCTCTTTCTCTCTGGTCTCTCTCTGGTGTCTCTCTCTCTGGTCTCTCTCTCTGGTCTCTCTCTGGTCTCTCTCTCTCTGGTGTCTCTCTCTCTGGTCTCTCTCTCTGGTCTCTCTCTCTGGTCTCCCTCTCTGGTCTCTCTCTGGTGTCTCTCTCTCTGGTGTCTCTCTCTGGTGTCTCTCTCTCTGGTCTCTCTCTCTCTCTCTCTGGTCTCTCTCTCTCTGGTGTCTCTCTCTCTGGTCTCTCTCTCTGGTGTCTCTCTCTCTGGTCTCTCTCTGGTCTCTCTCTCTGGTCTCTCTCTCTCTGGTCTCTCTCTCTGGTCTCTCTCTCTCTGGTGTCTCTCTGGTGTCTCTCTCTCTGGTGTCTCTCTCTCTGGTGTCTCTCTCTGGTGTCTCTCTCTGGTCTCTCTTTCTGGTCTCTCTCTCTGGACACTGCAAAAAGTGGAGTTAACTTGATTTAAATGTATTTATCTAATCACACCATTTGACTTTTACTCAAACCCAGGACCTTCTTCCTGAGAAGCGAGAGGGCTAACCACTCAGCCACCGTGCCGCTAAGGCTAAGCTAACAACATGGCTTACTTTATCTTCGATCAATAATTAAATTCATATTCACAAGTTTAAAAATCATGATCCACTGGCAGAATTTTCCTTCAGCCAGAGAGGACCCAGGATGAAGGTTCTGTGTCTTTCTCTGATCAACAGCTCTGACGACGTTAAGGACCTTTTGTCAACAATAAAAGGCAAAAACTTATGTAAAAATGTATTTGGGAAAAATATACAAGACGTACAAATATTTACACAAGTCAACACTGAAGAAATGATAAAATAAAGTAAACATTGCTTAAGTGGTTTTGATCTTAATTTGAGCACATTCTGGTCTCCTACATAATCCCTACATTCACAGAAATATGGAAGAAAAGAAAAAATAGATTAAAAAAATGAAACAATGAAATAAAACAAACTAAGAATAAAAAATGAACAAAAATTATAAACATCTATAAATCTTGTTTTAAGTCTCAGTCAGAATCAGTGAGAGGGACCAGAGAGAGACCAGAGAGGGAGGGACCAGAGAGGGAGGGACCAGAGAGGGAGGGACCAGAGAGGGAGACCAGAGAGGGAGACCAGAGAGGGAGACCAGAGAGGGAGACCAGAGAGGGAGACCAGAGAGGGAGGGACCAGAGAGGGAGGGACCAGAGAGGGAGGGACCAGAGAGGGAGGGACCAGAGAGGGAGACCAGAGAGGGAGGGACCAGAGAGGGAGGGACCAGAGAGGGAGACCAGAGAGGGAGACCAGAGAGGGAGGGACCAGAGAGGGAGACCAGAGAGGGAGACCAGAGAGGGAGACCAGAGAGGGAGACCAGAGAGAGACCAGAGAGGGAGAGCAGAGAGGGAGACCAGAGAGGGAGACCAGAGAGGGAGACCAGAGAGGGAGACCAGAGAGGGAGACCAGAGAGGGAGACCAGAGAGGGAGACCAGAGAGGGAGACCAGAGGGAGGGACCAGAGAGGGAGGGACCAGAGAGGGAGGGACCAGAGAGAGAGGGACCAGAGAGAGAGGGACCAGAGAGAGTGGGACCAGAGAGAGAGGGACCAGAGAGGGAGGGACCAGAGAGAGAGAGACCAGAGAGGGAGACCAGAGAGGTAGGGACCAGAGAGAGAAACCAGAGAGAGAGACCAGAGAGGGACCAGAGAGGGAGACCAGAGAGAGAGACCAGAGAGAGACCAGAGAGAGAGACCAGAGAGAGAGACCAGAAAGAGGGACCAGAGAGGGAGGGACCAGAGAGGGAGACCAGAGAGGGAGGGACCAGAGAGAGGGACCAGAGAGAGAGACCAGAGAGAGGGACCAGAGAGAGGGACCAGAGAGAGAGACCAGAGAGAGGGACCAGAGAGAGGGACCAGAGAGGGAGGGACCAGAGAGAGAGGGACCAGAGAGAGAGGGACCAGAGAGGGAGGGACCAGAGAGAGAGAGACCAGAGAGGGAGACCAGAGAGGTAGGGACCAGAGAGAGAAACCAGAGAGAGAGACCAGAGAGGGAGGGACCAGAGAGGGAGACCAGAGAGAGAGACCAGAGAGAGAGACGAGAGAGAGAGACCAGAGAGAGAGACCCGGAGAGGGAGACCAGAGAGGGACCAGAGAGAGAGACCAGAGAGAGAGGGACCAGAGAGGGAGGGACCAGAGAGAGAGGGACCAGAGAGAGAGGGACCAGAGAGAGAGGGACCAGAGAGAGAGGGACCAGAGAGAGAGGGACCAGAGAGGGAGGGACCAGAGAGAGAGAGACCAGAGAGAGAGACCAGAGAGGGAGGGACCAGAGAGAGGGACCAGAGAGAGAGACCAGAGAGAGGGACCAGAGAGAGGGACCAGAGAGGGAGGGACCAGAGAGAGAGGGACCAGAGAGAGAGGGACCAGAGAGAGAGGGACCAGAGAGAGAGGGACCAGAGAGAGAGGGACCAGAGAGGGAGGGACCAGAGAGAGGGAGACCAGAGAGGTAGGGACCAGAGAGAGAAACCAGAGAGGGAGGGACCAGAGAGGGAGACCAGAGAGGGAGACCAGAGAGAGAGACCAGAGAGAGAGACCAGAGAGAGAGACCAAAGAGAGAGACCCGAGAGGGAGACCAGAGAGGGACCAGAGAGAGAGACCAGAGAGAGAGGGACCAGAGAGAGAGGGACCAGAGAGGGAGGGACCAGAGAGAGAGGGACCAGAGAGAGAGGGAGACCAGAGAGGGAGACCAGAGAGGGAGACCAGAGAGGGAGACCAGAGAGGGAGACCAGAGAGAGAGACCAGAGAGAGAGACCAGAGAGAGAGACCAGAGAGAGAGACCAGAGAGGGAGGGACCAGAGAGAGAGGGACCAGAGAGAGACCAGAGAGAGACCAGAGAGGGACCAGAGAGAGACCAGCGAGGGACCAGAGAGAGACCAGAAAGTGAGGGGAAAAAAGCATCTATCTATTAATCTTTCAGAATGTGCTTAAATTAAGACATATTTTTTCAAATTTTGGCAATTTTTGACTTATTTTTCATCACTTTTTCTGCGAATTCTCAGTTCCAAAAATGTCTCTAAACACATAAGTCCCGGTCTGGTCCTGGCGAAGGCTTCAGCTGGAGAAGTCCGTGTGCATGGGGACAATGTTGTGGTCGAAGGCGGCGTACTGCGAGTCCCCGGTGCTCGCCAGTTTGAGCTGTTGGGCGGCGTGCGAAAGCTGAAAGGCCGCGTCAGGATGTGCAGAATCTGGCAACAAGGTGCACTCCCGTTCCAACAGGTCTGCCACCCCTTTCAGAAGCTCCCAAAATCCAAAGGCCAGAGCGGCTTTCCTCAGACGGTTCAACTCCTTCGCAGCAGACGGAGGAAGAACAGGTCAGAATTCCATAGATTTAGTTTAATTTGTTCGATCGTTTTAAACTAAAACAAGTGCGCACAACAAAACAAGATACAAAGTACAAGGAGCAATAATAATCAACAAAACAAATCAATACAAGTGAAAAGTTCAGACTGAAGACGTTAGCAAATCCAGATATCATTGGCTGAGATACAAGACATCTGTCAAATGGTGGTCTCTCTCTCTTTCTCTAGTCTGTCTGTCTCTCTCTCTCTAGTCTGTCTGTCTCTCTCTCTGGTCTGTCTGTCTCTCTCTCTGGTCTGTCTGTCTCTCTCTCTGGTCTGTCTGTCTCTCTCTCTGGTCTGTCTGTCTCTCTCTCTGGTCTGTCTGTCTCTCTCTCTGGTCTGTCTGTCTCTCTCTCTCTGGTCTGTCTGTCTCTCTCTCTGGTCTGTCTGTCTCTCTCTCTCTGGTCTGTCTGTCTCTCTCTCTCTGGTCTGTCTGTCTCTCTCTCTGGTCTGTCTGTCTCTCTCTCTGGTCTGTCTGTCTCTCTCTCTGGTCTGTCTGTCTCTCTCTCTGGTCTGTCTGTCTCTCTCTCTCTGGTCTGTCTGTCTCTCTCTCTGGTCTGTCTGTCTCTCTCTCTCTGGTCTGTCTGTCTCTCTCTCTCTGGTCTGTCTGTCTCTCTCTCTGGTCTGTCTGTCTCTCTCTCTGGTCTGTCTGTCTCTCTCTCTGGTCTGTCTGTCTCTCTCTCTGGTCTGTCTGTCTCTCTCTCTCTGGTCTGTCTGTCTCTCTCTCTCTGGTCTGTCTGTCTCTCTCTCTGGTCTGTCTGTCTCTCTCTCTCTGGTCTGTCTGTCTCTCTCTCTGGTCTGTCTGTCTCTCTCTCTGGTCTGTCTGTCTCTCTCTGGTCTGTCTGTCTCTCTCTCTGGTCTGTCTGTCTCTCTCTCTGGTCTGTCTGTCTCTCTCTCTCTGGTCTGTCTGTCTCTCTCTCTGGTCTGTCTGTCTCTCTCTCTGGTCTGTCTGTCTCTCTCTCTCTGGTCTTGCTCTCTCTCTCTCTAGTCTGTCTCTCACTCTCTGGTCTGTCTCTCACTCTTTGGTCTGTCTCTCACTCTCTGGTCTGTCTCTCACTCTCTGGTCTGTCTCTCACTCTCTGGTCTGTCTCTCACTCTCTGGTCTGTCTCTCACTCTCTGGTCTCTCTCTCTCTCTGGTCTCTCTCTCTCTCTGGTCTCTCACTCTCTGGTCTCTCACTCTCTGGTCTCTCACTCTCTGGTCTCTCACTCTCTGGTCTCTCACTCTCTGGTCTCTCACTCTCTGGTCTCTCTCTCTCTCTCTGGTCTCTCACTCTCTCTCTCTGGTCTCTCTCTCTCTGGTTTGTGTATGTAGATATATACATGTGTGTGTGTGTGTCTATACATGTGTGTGTGTGTGTCTATACATGTGTGTGTGTTGTACCTTATAAAAAGTTTGAGTTTTATCCGGTAACTTTCTGGCGTTCCTCAAGATCTTCTGCACGTCCGTCTGTAAATAATCCAGAATAAAAATTGCCGTAAGAGTATTTTAAAGTATTTATCTGAAGTACATTAATCTTTAAAACTCAGTGGTCCGACCTGGAGTCCGCTGGCTTTGATCCAGACCGTCACGTTCTGAGCGTAGCTGCGTTTCACCGGAGGCTGCACCGGGAACGGGCTCTTACTGTCGTCTTCTCCGTACGGATTCTCTGGAGCTTCTGGAACCAACACGGACAAAAGTTATCAACACGGGAGAGCTGCAGGAAGTAAGACATGTTTGTTTATATAGCGCCTTTCACAGAGTCACAAAGCGGCGAGGGGAGGGGAAACCGGAGCACCTGGAGGAAACCTATGCAGACACAGGGAGAACATGCAAACTCCTCACAGAATAGCCTCTCTGGTCCCCCTCTCTCTCTTTGGTCCCCCCCTCTCTCTCTCTGGTCCCCCCCTCTCTCTCTCTCTTTGGTCCCCCTCTCTCCCTCTCTTTGGTCCCTCTCTCTCTCTCTCTGGTCCCCCTCTATCTCTCTGGTCCCCCCCTCTCTCTCTCTCTCTGGTCCCCCTCTCTCCCTCTCTTTGGTCCCTCTCTCTCTCTCTCTGGTCCCCCCCTCTCTCTCTCTGGTCCCCCCCTCTCTCTCTCTGGTCCCCCCCTCTCTCTCTCTCTTTGGTCCCCCTCTCTCCCTCTCTCTGGTCCCCCTCTCTCTCTCTCTGGTCCCCCCCTCTCTCTCTCTCTTTGGTCCCCCTCTCTCCCTCTCTTTGGTCCCTCTCTCTCTCTCTTTAGTCCCCCCCCTCTCTCTCTCTTTGGTCCCCCCCTCTCTCCCTCTCTCTTTGGTCCCCCCCTCTCTCTCTCTCTTTGGTCCCCCCCTCTCTCTCTCTCTCTCTCTCTCTCTCTTTTGGTCCCCCTCTCTCCCTCTCTCTTTGGTCCCCCCCTCTCTCTCTCTCTCCCTCTCTCTTTGGTCCCTCTCTCTCCCTCTCTCTTTGGTCCCTCTCTCTCTCTGGACATGATTTTAGGGGTAGGGGAAACCGGAGCGCCTGGAGGAAACCTACGATCTACTTTTCTTAATTAGGTATCTGGTACACTTCAGTCCCTTTGAGTCCGCTTTGATCTACCTGAGATGGGTCCGAGGTGAGAGAACTTCCCGAGCCAGGGCAGCGGCTCCGGACCGGGCTCAAACACGGACATCATTAGGTTGGATTTCTTTTTACTGTCTGCCTGAGAATACAACATCCCGAACCACTCGGGCCTGGAACACACACAGGTCAGAGATTTACTTACAAAGGTACAAGGTTACAAAGGTTTCTTTGTCCCGGGAGGATCATGAAGGCTATTGGTCCTCCCAACTGTCAATCATTCTGGTAACATGTGACGTACGGCTCTCTCTGGTCTCTCTCTGGTCTCTCTCTCTGGTCTCTCTCTCTCTGGTCTCTCTCTCTGGTCTCTCTCTCTGGTCTCCCTCTCTCTGGTCCCCCTCTCTCTGGTCCCCCTCTCTCTGGTCCCCCTCTCTCTGGTCCCCCTCTCTCTGGTCCCCCTCTCTCTGGTCCCCCTCTCTCTGGTCCCCCTCTCTCTGGTCCCCCTCTCTCTGGTCCCCCTCTCTCTGGTCCCCCTCTCTCTGGTCTCCCTCTCTCTGGTCCCCCTCTCTCTGGTCCCCCTCTCTCTGGTCCCCCTCTCTCTGGTCCCCCTCTCTCTGGTCCACCTCTCTCTGGTCCCCCTCTCTCTGGTGTCTCTCTCTGGTGTCTCTCTCTGGTCCCCCTCTCTCTGGTCTCCCTCTCTCTGGTCCCCCTCTCTCTGGTCCCCCTCTCTCTGGTCTCCCTCTCTCTGGTCCCCCTCTCTCTGGTCCCCCTCTCTCTGGTCCCCCTCTCTCTGGTCCCCCTCTCTCTGGTCCACCTCTCTCTGGTCCCCCTCTCTCTGGTGTCTCTCTCTGGTGTCTCTCTCTGGTCCCCCTCTCTCTGGTCTCCCTCTCTCTGGTCCCCCTCTCTCTGGTCCCCCTCTCTCTGGTCTCCCTCTCTCTGGTCCCCCTCTCTCTGGTCCCCCTCTCTCTGGTCTCCCTCTCTCTGGTCCCCCTCTCTCTGGTCCCCCTCTCTCTGGTCCCCCTCTCTCTGGTCCCCCTCTCTCTGGTACATACCCGAGTTGGACCAGCGCCACCATCCCTTCCACCTTCAGACTTCCGTGGAGCAGAACACAGAAGTTTGGGTTCTTTCCCGCCGTCTGAGACGACGAAGCTTCTTCTTCCATTTCCTCTGAGGCTCCGGCGCTGACCTCGTCCACGTCTGAAACACCAGGAGCAACACAAGTCAACACAACATCTCTGTGTGTGTGTGTGTGTGTGTGTGTCTGTTTGAGAGTCTGTGTGAGAGTCTGTGTGTCTGGGTCTGAGTCTGTGTGTGTGTCTGTGTGAGTGTCTGTGTGTGTTTGTGTGTCTGAGTCCGAGTCCCAGTCCGTGTGTGTGTGAGTCTGTGTGTCCGAATCAGAGTCCGTGTGTGTGTCCGAGTCCGTGTGTGTGTCTGAGTCCGAGTCCATATCCAAGTCCTAGTCCGAATCCGAGTCTGTGTGTCCGAGTCTGAGTCCGAGTCCATATCCAAGTCCTAGTCCGAATCCGAGTCTGAGTGTCCGAGTCTGAGTCCGAGTCCATATCCAAGTCCTAGTCCGAATCCGAGTCTGTGTGTCCGAGTCTGAGTCCGAGTCCATATCCAAGTCCTAGTCCGAATCCGAGTCTGAGTGTCCGAGTCTGAGTCCGAGTCCATATCCAAGTCCTAGTCCGAATCCGAGTCTGTGTGTCCGAGTCTGAGTCCGAGTCCATATCCAAGTCCTAGTCCGAATCCGAGTCTGTGTGTCCGAGTCTGAGTCCGAGTCCATATCCAAGTCCTAGTCCGAATCCGAGTCTGTGTGTCCGAGTCTGAGTCCGAGTCCATATCCAAGTCCTAGTCCGAATCCGAGTCTGTGTGTCCGAGTCTGAGTCCGAGTCCATATCCAAGTCCTAGTCCGAATCCGAGTCTGTGTGTCCGAGTCTGAGTCCGTGTCCATATCCAAGTCCTAGTCCGAGTCCGAGTCTGTGTGTCCGAGTCTGAGTCCGAGTCCATATCCAAGTCCTAGTCCGAATCCGAGTCTGTGTGTCCAAGTCTGAGTCCGAGTCCATATCCAAGTCCTAGTCCGAATCCGAGTCTGTGTGTCCAAGTCTGAGTCCGAGTCCATATCCAGGTCCTAGTCCGAATCCGAGTCTGTGTGTCCGAGTCTGAGTCCGAGTCCATATCCAAGTCCTAGTCCGAATCCGAGTCTGTGTGTCCAAGTCTGAGTCCGAGTCCATATCCAGGTCCTAGTCCGAGTCCCAGTCTGTGTGTGTAATGATAATGGCTGGATACAATTAATGAAAAATAGAAAATGGATGCATCCAAAACAACAATAAGAGTGTTCCAGGCGTTTCAGACGTCTGAGGTCAGAGCAACACTTTTCACTTGTTTTAAATGAATTGTACATTTAATTATTTTCATATTTGTACATTTTAAACGTGTGCATTTTGGTCCTAAAAGCCTCCTTTGGACAAGTGTTGAAAGTTAGCATGGTCTGGCTACAACACTAACGACAGAGCATCTGGTCTGTCCAACTGTTGTGTCCATAACAAATAAATAAATAAACTTTTTGAATAGACTTATTACCTACTTACACTTCTGAACCAGTGGCTCTATGTGTGTTTTATGATGCATTTCGTTTGATTCTCTCTGTTTTGTAAAGTCCTCGGCCATAACTGCTGTTGTGATTTAGGGCGATATACAAAAATACTGAACTGAACTGAAGGTAATTGGTTGTTGTTAATTTGTTATAAACCCCTCTCCCTCTGGATCCGTCTCTCACCAGCTCCTTGTGAGAGAGTGAACGGCCTGAAGGTAAAATGAGTCATGATCTTTAAAGTTGTACTTGGAATCACGTCTTGTGCTTTTTAACTTAAATGAATCTATACAGGATTTGTGTTTGGTTTGTTTACTTCAGGCCAACGTTAAGAAGTCATTTCCACATCACATGAAGAAGAGAATCCAGCCACTGTGGAACTTATGCAGAAGATTTTTACAGTGTATTCAAAAAAACTGCAGCCTGAGACCGGACTAGAACCAGGAAGTACCATTACATTAGTCCCGGCTAGAACCAGGAAGTACCATCGCATTAGTCCTGACTAGAACCAGGAAGTACCATTACATTAGTCCTGACTAGAACCAGGAAGTACCATTACATTAGTCCTGACTAGAACCAGGAAGTACCATCGCATTAGTCCGGACTAGAACCAGGAAGGAGCACAGGGACTGGCCTCCTGCTGGTCCCAGAGTCAGGACTAAACATGAGGAGGCAGCGTTTCAGATTCTTGCTAAAACCTGGAAGTCTTCCTGAAAATGTGAGACAGGCTTCTTCTCTGACAATGTTCAAATCCAGGTTAAAAACAGTTCTATTTAGCTGCGACAAATGAGGGATGTAACCTTCACTTTTGAATTTACTGTAATGATTATGTTTATATTTATGATTTTTCGATCTCATTTTATTCAGCACTTTAAATCCCTTTTGTGTGAACTGTGCTATATAAATAAACCTGCCTCACCTTTGTTAACCGCAATCGGCAGAACCAAGTGTCTGGAGATCACAGGAGGACTGGCGATGTCGGAGATTTCCACAAATCCGACTAATTCCAGATCTGAGAAACAAAAACACAGGACGGTGAATGTTTAGGTGAAAAAGCAGAGATTGTGGAGGATGTAGTTCCTCCTTTAACCTGAGCTGACGACTCGCGGCGTTGGCTCCACCTCCTCATCCATGACCACGGGCTCAGGGCGGGGGAACACCTGGACGTCTGCGGACAGGTTCCCGCAGTGGAGGACGGCGTGGAACGGAGAGTAGGCAAAGTCGATCAACTTCCTGTAAAAACACACAAGAAGCAGAAACAAGAGTATTTTTGTTTTTGTAACAGGAAGTCACAAACTAGGAATCTGCTTTGGCTCAAGCTGCATTAAAGGTAAAGGCATAAAAGAATCTTCATAAGACTCAAGAGCTCACAAAACAGTACATTACCTGACATAAATGCATCTCTATATTGTAGTGTGGTCTTATACTAGACACAGGATCTATAAATGGAAATATCTTGAGTGTTTTTCTTATGGTCATTACATTTCATTAATAATAATAATAATTGTAATCCATACATTTTCGCTTTTCTGGACTCTCAAAGACGCTTAACATGTCATTAATCATTCTCTCCAAACACGGTGGTGATAAACTACTTCTGTAGCCACAGCTGCCCTGGGACACACTGACAGAAGCGAGGCAACCAGTCTGTGCCATCGGCCCCTCCCACCACCACCAACCATTCACACACACACCAGACTCATTCTAAAGTGGGGGAAGTGTCTTGCCTAAGGACACAACCACAGTTTACAACCTGCTGTTCCCAGAGGTCTCCCATCACAGCACTAACCAGGCCCTGCCCTGCTTAACTTCAGAGGTCTGACAGGATCTGACCATTAGGGATGACTAATGGTCATGTGAACTCTGAGGAGCACAGGGACTGGCCTCCTGCTGGGACTCTGAGGAGCACAGGGACTGGCCTCCTGCTGGGACTCTGAGGAGCACAGGGACTGACCTCCTGCTGGGACTCGGAGGAGCACAGGGACTGGCCTCCTGCTGGTACTCTGAGGAGCACAGGGACTGACCTCCTGCTGGGACTCGGAGGAGCACAGGGACTGGCCTCCTGCTGGTACTCTGAGGAGCACAGGGACTGGCTTGTGTATTGAACTGTGCAATACAAATAAACTTGCCTTAAAGGAATAGTTCACCGTTTTTACATACTGACATATGTTCTTACCTCACCTTAGACTAGTTAATACGTACCTGTCTGGTCTTAGTCCGTGCGCTCTGTCATGCAAACGGAGCAAAAACGGGAGCACAAACGCAGCCTCCTCTGTATATTTTGTAGCACCAAAAGGTAGCTCCCGCTAGAAGCTACCAAACTCTTCCAAGTGTTCCCTATTAAATGTATATAGTTACGTGACGTGTTACACTGCAAAGTATAGTAACACAGAAATGTAACAGTCGATTTTCTCAGCGGATAAAACGGGTACTATATTGTGAGGCGTAGTAATCTGAGGAGCGCTACGTCCGCGCACTAACTTCTCTCCGGAGACTTCTCTCTCGCTCACTTCCGTCAATAGAAGCAGCGTGACTTGTAGTACGGAGAGAAGTTAGTGCGCGGACGTAGCGCTCCTCAGATTACTACGCCTCACAATATAGTACCCGTTTTATCCGCTGAGAAAATCGACTGTTACATTTCTGTGTTACTATACTTTGCAGTGTAACACGTCACGTAACTATATACATTTAATAGGGAACACTTGGAAGAGTTTGGTAGCTTCTAGCGGGAGCTACCTTTTGGTCCTACACAGTATACAGAGGAGGCTGCATTTGTCCTCCCGTTTTTGCTCCGTTTGCATGACAGAGCGCACGGACTAAGACCAGACAGGTACGTATTAACTAGTCTAAGGTGAGGTAAGAACATATGTCAGTATGTAAAAACGGTGAACTATTCCTTTAAGTTGCCACAACCTCCTTCTTCTTTCAGTAAACTAGAAAACCTCGCCTCCTTGTCCTCTCCTCATCACCCAGAAGGCCCCGTCCCTATAGCACCACATCTGGTCTGAGACACCACCTCAGACAGGGCTGTGGAGCACTCTGAGTTGCCTTGTGTATTAATTGTGCGATACAAATAACCTTGCCTCTTACCCAAACATGGCCTGGACACTCTTCATACACAGTGGTCCGTCCACAGTAAAGATCTGTCCGTCTCCTCCGCTCAGACGCAGGAGTTCATCCAGGTTCTCCATGGCGTCCGTCATCTGCAGCTACACACACACACACACACAATTGAAAAAGATAATTAAAATCACACAAAGGATTAAAATAATGACATTAAAATACAATATAATATAATCTGAGAGGCTGCCTCCCCATGTCTAGTCTAGTCCTGGTTTAAATATGGCTGGTATTTCATTGTGATGTCTGGTGCACTCACTGGGGACTTTTGCAAATGTATTCCAAGGTGGTTTTACTGCAAATGGCAAATAAATAATCATCTTACAGTTTTTTCCTGTTGCTTGAACACTATAGACATACGCTTAGACCAAAGTTGCAGAACTTGAAGCTTTTGTTCTAAACCTAAAACACAGACTGACCATTCCTTAAACAAAAGTACTGCTTTGCACTCTACTTTCATTTCTACAACACACTTTCTCCTTTTGCAACACACTTTCTCTTTCTGCAACACACTTTCTCCTGCTCACTACACACTGTGTCATACATAAGACACTTTGTGCATATTTGCGATCCTGTGTTATCGTTGGGAAAACACATCTATTCAAAATACCAAACACATTGTGTGACTAAAAACACTGAGACACACACCAGAAAACACTGAATTACAAAATGCAACACACATCAGACAGACACAAACAGGCTTCAGTTTAGCCATTTTCAGAACTTTGCAAGTTTGAAGGCAGGAAGAGCAAGACAGAGGAAGACAAGGAGTTTAAGAGGATTAAAACAACACAATATTTTTATGACATTAGAACAACTTTTGTGGATCTTGTGATAAACCACCGCCTCAAACTGAGGGAAGCAGAGAGTCCAGACAAGGTCCTTCAGGACCTACATGTTTCCAACACTCTACTGCAGACTGTATATACAGTATTTACAGTACTGTATCACATGTACTGTAAGTCTCTACTGCAGACTGTATCTACAGTATTTACAGTACTGTATCACATGTACTGTAAGTCTCTACTGCAGTTGGCTATTGCTCCTTTTTGAAAGAAATGTAGTTTTGTGAAACATACAAGACGGTAAAGTACATAAAACTGAGATATAACAGTACTGTGTACATTTGTTTTCTGTAAAAAAACTAAACCTATAGTAACAAAATGACTAAAAGAACATCCGGAGGTGGTCGGCAACTGTTCACCAACAACATGAACTTGCCTTCGTGGAAATAGTTAGACCATGAACCATGATCCATAATCCACACACGCACAACTGCTTAGTTTTACATTAGAGTTTTTATGTTTTACTGCATTGACACAATTGTACTGTACTGTAAAGTATACTGTAGTACTGTACTGTAAAGTATACTGTAGTACTGCACTATAAAGTATACTGTAGTACTGTACTGTAAAGTATGCTGTAGTACTGTACTGTAAAGTATACTGTAGTACTGTACTGTAAAGTATACTGTAGTACTGCACTATAAAGTATACTGTAGTACTGTACTGTAAAGTATGCTGTAGTACTGTACTGTAAAGTATACTGTAGTACTGTACTGTAAAGTATACTGTAGTACTGCACTATAAAGTATACTGTAGTACTGTACTGTAAAGTATGCTGTAGTACTGTACTGTAAAGTATACTGTAGTACTGTACTGTAAAGTATACTGTAGTACTGCACTATAAAGTATGCTGTAGTACTGTACTGTAAAGTATGCTGTAGTACTGTACTGTAAAGTATACTGTAGTACTGTACTGTAAAGTATGCTGTAGTACTGTACTGTAAAGTATACTGTAGTACTGTACTGTAAAGTATACTGTAGTACTGCACTATAAAGTATGCTGTAGTACTGTACTGTAAAGTATGCTGTAGTACTGTACTGTAAAGTATGCTGTAGTACTGTACTGTAAAGTATACTGTAGTACTGTACTGTATTGAGTTTATATTATGTGTAACCTTTCAGTGTTACAGAGAACAAAAACAGTTCCATTGAGCTGATAAACAGAATAAAAACAGTGAAAATGACTGCAGTGTTTTATATAAAGTACTGTAGTGTGTTGCTTTCAATCTGAAAGTGTGTTCACGTGATGCAAGTGTGTGTCATTTTGTCCTCAGAGTTTCATTTTGACGAATGATTGTTTAATTTTGAGAGCAGAGTTTGAGTTTTGAGAGCAGAGTTTGAGTTTTGAGAGCAGAGTTTGAGTTTTGATAGAGGAGTTTCATTTTGACACAGATGTGTCTGGTTTATGTCCCAGTGTGTGTCAGGTTCTCGTGTGTGTAGAGTTTTGGGACTTTGAGCGAAATTTTGCAAACTGTGTTCAAGCAACAGGAAAAAACTGTAATAATCGTTTTTTTTTTTCTTGTCTTGTCTTTGTCTGTTCTGTACTTTCATGTTTTGTGTTGTGTTGTTTTTGTGGTCTTGTTGTTGTCCGTTATAAATAAATAAATAAAATTAAAATAAATAAAAAATAAATAAATGAATAAAAATACATTAAAATATATGTATTGATGTGAATAACATGCACATGCTGACACACAGACAAGAGTGAATAAAGTATAACCACCATAACAATGTATATTACCAGTAATCACATGTACTAACAATTATATTGATCAGTAAATGTTCTTATAAGTATCTCCATAAAATGTTCTTATATTATCAGTAAGAGTCTGCATAATAGGCCTTTGTTTAATGTGTTAGTGGGGTCAGTGAGAATTCAAGGACAGGCTGGTCTCTGTGCAAAAGTAACCTTTTCAGGAACGATGTGTCTGCTTCGCATGAGACAAAAGTCTCGGGGACTGAGGTGATAAGGAGCCCATGACGTCTTCGAGGGACGAGTCCTGATCTTCAGCACATTTATAAAACTGTATTATGTAGAAATTGTGAACTAGTCTGGACAAGGGACCTGCAGTATAAAGTCAGAGCGCCTGACTTTATACTCATATATAGATTTGAGAGGGAGAGCTAACTAAGTCCAGACCGCTGTTTAGACTCTTTGTATCAGGGAATAAACTCTTTGGATTTAACTTTTCGAATACTGGTCATCTTTATATGGGATTTTGAACACGTCATTTTTTACAATAGTATACAAAAATAATAATAATAATAATAAAAAATACATGTATAAAAAAAATAATAATAAAATAAAATAAAATAAATAAATAAGTGAATCTGACTCTGTATCGACTGGCGGTCTCACCTCCTCTGCGTTAGCGACACACATCACGTAGAGTTTAGTGGGAAAGGGGAACGGGAGCGGGAACTTCTTGTCTTCTCCGAGATGTTTCAGGGTTTGGAGAGAATGGCGGAGAGAGCCTTTTCCAATCCCCAAAGAACCGTCAGTCACCAGCACCATCTGCAGGACACGAGGAGAATTACATCATCTCACACTTAAAGGATTCCACAACATTACGGGCTCTAGAATGTAGCATGAGATTAGCATTAGCAATTCTATCATTATAAATCTAAATCTGTATTTCAGTTTATTATAAGAGCATGTTAATAATGGCCACGCGGTACCAGCCAGATCTGTGGAGACACTGGTACAGCTGCTTGATCCGAGAAGTGAGGCTTATTGTTGTGTTTTTGAGTGATGTGTTTGTATTAACCTGGACCATGAGTCTTATGGTATTATCTTATCTATGCTAGCTAGATAAGATCAGACCTTTATTAGTCCCACAGTCGGGAAATTTCAATGTTATCGTTGCCCATATTACAGCAGCTCTATCAAACAGGATTTATTATTTAAGATAATAGATAATAACATTAAAAAGTACTATGTAATAAGATAAAAACTCCGGAGCTATAATATTTAAATCCAGGTTTTAAAACAGTTCGGTTTAGCTGTGCATACAACTGAAGGACTGTATTGTCACTATGAACTATGGTTATTTATTTGTGATTTCAATGCCTTGTTTCTATCTTGTTTTGTTAAGCACCGAGTTGTCTTGTGTTTGAACTGAGCTATACAAATAAACTTGCCTCAGTCTTGCCTGAGGTTGTGTGGGCAGTTCAGGTCTGTCGGAAGTATCAAGATGAAAAAAAGGCTTGTAAGATATTGTCAGTTGGTTTGATGGTTTGGTCCTGCTTTAGTCTAAAATCCCAATTGTTATGTGCTGATTGTTCACATATGGTTTCTCCCAACAACAACAACAAACAAAAAAAACCTTTGCATGTAGTTTTAAAGTGCATGCAGTTTAAAAAAGTGAAACTGTTGATTCAGTAAAAGGCCACAGACAGGTTGTCATATATCAACAAACCTGACAGGGACACGCACTGCCCCACTCCTGCTGAACCACGTTGCTCACTCCATGAAGAGCTGCCTCAAAACACGTCTTGTCATAATCCTCCAAATTCCCGAGCGCCTCCTGCAACAAAACAACAAAGAAGCATCACACATCTGAAAGCAAACATTGTCTCATTTGTAGTTTAAAGACCTTATGCCGGGTTTAAAAAAATATATATTGTGGATATCAAAATTGCATGACAATGTCGATCTGAAATAGATTCCGGCAAAAAAAATCCTATATTTTATAAAAAGAACGTGTTTTTCATGAATTTAAGTTGTCTATGCTCTAACCTGTGTGTGACGTCACAGCGGGTTACGCCCATTAGAGCCCTGCACTTGAGCCCTTGGCCCGAGGGCCTCGACGGCCCGACAGCCCGAGGGCCGGGCTTCGGGCCGATGACCGCATAATGACCTCGGACACGGGCCGGGCTCGGGCTCTTCATTTTCAGAGCGGCAGAATAGATTTACGAGCGCACCCACTGAATATAGCGTTCTATCACGCTGTAGTGTTTGTTGTTCTGTGTAGTGTTGTCATTGACGGCACATAGCATTACTTATGTAATGTGCAGATGTGTTGCAGCATCGGGGGCATCATACAGCTGTGTATCATACAGCTGTGTATCATACAGCTGTGTATCATACAGATGCGGCCGTTCACTCTGCACCACTCCGCACACACAGAACTCATTGCAACACATCACTACCATGTATATGGGCGGCACGGTGGCTGAGTGGATAGCACTCTCGCCTCTCAGCAAGAAGGTCCTGGGTTCGAATCCCGGCCGGACCAGGGCCTTTCTGAGTGGAGTTTGCATGTTCTCCCCGTGTCTGCGTAGGTTTCCTCCGGGTACTCCGGTTTCCCCTACCACTAAAAATATGTACAATAGGTCTGGCATGCGCCTCCTGTTCGGCGACCCCGCTCCCATCTCTGTGTGGAGTGAGAGGACAAGTGCCCAAAAAATAACAATTGTAAACCGCTTTGTGACTCTGGTCTGTGAAAGGCGGTATATAAATAAAGCTTACTACTACTTACTACTACTTACTATAACTCCGCCCTCTAGCTAAGTCTGCGTTCATATCAGTGCGCGGCACTATATACTACGCTAAAACATTGTTATGGGAGGTTACAAAAAAAAAAAAAAAGGCGGGCTTGATGCGGGTATCGGGCCTGAAAATTCAGAAACCATATCGGGCCGGGGGGTGGCTGGGGCGCCACCCCCTCGGGCCAGGGCCGGGCTCGGGCCCAGATAATAGGCCCGTGCAGGGCTCTAACGCCCATGCATTGAAAACCATGGATCTATGCCACAGGACTGCCTTTTCTCTCTTCTCTCCACTGATGCCCAACACAATACTGCCCTCTACAGATGACAATTGCTCACTACACATAAATTGCCGTTTTGAGTGTGAGAAAGTGTCCGAGGTGGGATTTGAACCCAAGTATCTGGATCGACAGTCCATCGACACAACCTCTGGACTATCTCAGTGACAACAAGAGTTATAATCTAGTATTTATATTAGACTCGCTGTACACGGCCTTGTCATCTTGAATATCCGCGAAAAAAGAACGAATACCAAATTGTAAACAACTTACAGTACCCACTCTGACGTCACCAAGGGCTGTGAAGTTTTTTCGTCTCTAAGGGCGTTGCTATGGGGTTATTTCGATTTGGCGGGATCATACAAAAAAAACAACAACTGATTTTGAAACCTTTAGTAGTTCTCTTCTAATATAAAATGGCATTAAAACTGTATTTCTAAATAAATCAAACCTGGCATAAGGTCTTTAAAGGCCGAGCTCCTACCTGTAATGCATTGTAATCTCTGGTGAAAGGCACAAGGAGTTCCCAGAGAGAGGAAAACGCCATCAGTGACGTAAATTCCAAGCGATAATTAGTTGCCATGTGTTCAAAAAGCATGTTGAGTCCGTGCACTGCCAGGTTCTTCCTCTGGTATTCTTCGCTCCCATCCAGGGCGACGGGCCGAGTCATGGACAGAGACACGTCCATCAGCACCACCGTAGGCATCTTTCTGTCTGAAGAGGCGTCAAATATAGACAGATACACGTCAAAACCCCCGCTTGCACGCTACGGGAGGAAAACATGGACATAACACATCATATTAGAACCAATCTGACACGTTCACTGAATCATATTGCGTTAAGCTGTTGGACAAACTTATCGGCGAGTGATGCTATTTCTATAAAAATATAACCATTTTTAGTGTATTACGTTTGGATAGGTATAATATGAGGAACACGAATCTCCACAGTGCTGTAAAATACATAAAAACATAATAACATGCCTCTCAAGAGCTTTGTTTATCCAGTACTCCTGTCAATGAACGCCAGAGATAAGTTCCGTGTAGCAAAAGTGGACTGCCGCTCATAGTTCCGCTCTCGTGTGTTCCTACCAGACACAGCATCGGTTTTTTTAAGCTTACGTATCAAAATATCGAGACGTGAAAATATACAAAACGTGTCTAGTTTAGTTTAAGGGTTGTTAGGTTAAGTTGTGTTCAGTAAGTTTAGAGTTTAGGGTTAAAAATAACTATGTGATGCATTTTCGCCACAGGGGGCAGAGGCGAGCTGTTCAAGTGCACATCTGCAAACTCCTCACGCCTTAAGGTAGGACTCTTAAAACTATCAACTTCTTCGCCAAAGTGTAAGGATTTATGGTTAAAGCCGATAGAGTGGCATGAAAACTTAAAATAGTTTGTTGCACTCGATTGAAATGGCCCGAAGACCTATAAAAACGTCACTAGAAGAGATAGAAAACATAGGTCATTGCCAGATAACATAACATCAAGATGCGTGTCCCGTTACAGCTTGTGCACTGTAGTATTTTGCATGTTTGAGGTGTACATAATAAAGATAACCTATGTTAGTCGCATATGCACTTACAATAATCTTACATTGTATATGACTGCTATAACACTGTGTTCTTCTAACCATTCCTCAGAGAGATTCTTGGTGTAAGAAGTCCTCAACCAGCACAAAACACACACAAACAAGATGAAGTGGAAACCCAAGTGCTTCTTCCTATATGCCATGTTCTTGTGTGTGTTTGGAGCCGGGTCCAATGAAGTGATTACAGAGAACCCCCATAAGACCCCAGATGAGGACGACACATCCATACAAGAGCTGCACCCCCCTTCTGCTCAGACCACTGCCCAAACAACACGAGAGACTAACTTCTTGCGGGACCTGGACACAAAGCTGGAAGACTCTACCACCAGAGCCCCTCAACCCACAACTGTTCTGCACATGACGTATAAAACTAGTGACACCTCAACTTTGGCAGCTCCGACAACACCAACAGCAAAATCTTTAGATAAATTCCCTTTGGATCTGTTCTCGGTTGAGCAGAGGAGAAGAGGCTGGGTGGTTTTACACATAGTTGGAATAATATACATGTTTATAGCACTGGTAATACTTTCAGAGGAGTTCTTTGTCCCCGCGCTTGCAGCTATAACAGATGTTTTTGCTTTATCTAGTAGCGTGGCAGGAGCAACCGTCATGGCAGCAGCTTGTTCCACTCCCAGATTCTTTACTTTCTTAATAGACCTTTTCATGAATGGAGCAAAACCCGGGATTGACTCCATCGTGGGCTCGGCCGTCTTCAACATCCTGTTTGTGATCGGCATGTGTGCCCTGTTTTCCCGGGAGATGCTGCACCTGACCTGGTGGCCTCTCTTCAGGGACGTGTCCTTCTACATCCTGGACCTGGTGATGCTCATCGTCTTCTTCTTGGACAATGTGATCGTGTGGTGGGAGAGCCTGATGCTGGTGGGGGGCTACACTCTCTACGTGGTCTTCATGAAGTACAATGTGCAGATAGAGAGGTTTGTCAAGACGCTGCTGCTCAAACACAGAAGCACCGTCATCGCCATGAACGAACACAGAAAGGTGAGTGCAAATAATGTGCAAATAATGTGGAATATGAAACCATGTGTGTGTCACTTTACATGTACAGATGAAAACATACAACTACTGTCTATACTTACTATATACTGGCTCTAGAATATACACTACTTTCACAATGGTGAATGCAAGGGGTTGCGGTGAGTTACGGACGCGTCAGTGCCTGTCACGCACCAAAACGTGACGGTTGCGAGATGTCAAAAAAATTCCTTGGTTTATCCTTTCTTTCTTTCTTTTTTCTTCTGCACTTTGAGCCTTAATTTGACCCCCTGCACAATCATGAAAACATGCCAAATTTTGCCCAAAATTCAGAACTGGCGAAAAATTTACTTTTTTTGTGTTTATTTTTATGGGACTAAAAAATGCCAGAAGAGCGCCCCCTACAACAGCCGATTTACATTGCGCCTATGGGAGAGGGTCCGAGGCCAAGTTAGTCGTGTAGCCACTACATTTGGTACACATGTTCCTCAAGTCAAGACATGTCAGTTGGAAAGCGACTCCTCCTCGACCGTTTTGTCGATTTACAACGGCAAATGTACACCTCGCACAAACATCAAACCAGTCGCCACCGTTTCACTGATTTGGCTGAAAATCGCTCCACATCATCTCATGGCGCCGTAAAGATGGCGCCGTGGCAAGAGCTCTGGTGTGTGTCGTCTGGTGCACACTGGGGTAGTCTTGCACAGTTTTTCCAATGTGGTTTTACTGCAAATGGCAAATAAATGAATCTGATCTGATCTGATCTGAATCTGAATCTGATCTGATCTCAACACATGTACCATCAATAGTTGTTTGTAGAATTTTGATTAGTCACATGGTCCTCCAATGGAGAATGTATATATATGGACACTCTCAGATTATACATGCACTCCTGTTTACATATACAAAGTCTGATATGTGCTAAACTTGACTCTTTTGTTCTACTCCTGGGCCTAGGTCACCTAAAGGTGTGAAATAATACATTGGCTCTTTAGCGCCCCCTACAGACTGAGCCAAAGTCTTACATGGGGAGCCAAAGGCAACTGATCATATTCATTACAGCTTCACACACATCTATGGCTACGGGAGTAAATAATGGTGCGGCGGCGCCCCCTCATTTGCTCGGTGTGGTGAGGGCTGTTTGACGCCGCTTGCGGCTTTAATTGATGTTTGTCTTTCCTTCACCTGAAACTGTACATTGAATTTCTGTTGTTCATTATTTGCCTGTTTTGAGACAAAAAGCCACAGGCAAATTTTGAAATACATTTTATGAGGATCTTTGAACATTGTCAGATGAAATTATTATATATTTCTTAGAATTGACCAAAGGCTGTCTTTGACCAGTGTAAAGTCCGTGAAAAACGCATAAGCCGCAAAGAATTATGTGATTAGAAATGTGAAGTATGACCCTCTTTTAACAGTATTTGTACATTTCTAATTCAAAGATGCATGGATTTTGTGTTTTATTTTGACTTGAAGGTGAGATAATGGAGAGAGATGAGAGAGAGAGACCAGACAGAGAAAAGAGAGAGAGCAGTGAGGGGGAGAACAGAGAGAGACCAGGGAGAGGCCAGAGAAGGAAAGTATTTAAAATCAAACGATCAAACAGCTGCAAAGTAGAAAAGAAAAAACAATATTTTAATATATTGTCTTTATTTGGAATCTGCTTAAGTCAAACACAAGTTCATTAGTCAACATTTGTCTAAACCTAAAAACAGCCTCATAACCTCTTACTTAGATCTAGTTTAGATCCACGACACAGATCTGAACCTTCTTACAGCTCACACGCCAGAACAGATCCAAAGTCAAACGCACAAACTGAGGCTGTCGCTTTGCCCTGAATAATCTACACTGGGACGGACTGGTTCTCCACAGGTCCAGAGGTTTTCCTTCCAACCAAACAGGAACACGCCAGACTACACTAATTTCCTCAGGTCTTCAGGTCGAGCCTGGACCCGGGGCCATGAGGAGTCTGGTCCTGCCTTGTTGGACTGAGACCTCAGCCACACCTCCTCCTGAACCAGCCGGACCTCCCTGATCTACAACATGGTCTGGACTGAGACACAGACAAACCTGCCATGGTAACGTCCATTGGAGAATAGGATTAGGATTAGATAGAGAGATACTTTATTGATCCTCGAGAAATTCACGAAAAATAATGGAGCAGCCTCTTGGTTCAGACCATTTTCTCTGCTCTGGTCCAAAGTAAAATGCTGAATGCTTCATTAACATTTTTCTAAAAGTTAGCATTCCTCCTGTGGATTTTCAGGTGATACGCTTGATTCGGACCATGAATCCTCTCTGCTCTGGTCTGGACCAGTGTAAAACCATGAATCCTCTCTGCTCCGGTCTGGACCAGTGTAAAACCATGAACACTGAACTGCAGCAACATCTCGGGTAGAAAAAAGCAAGAAAAATGAGAAGTATAAAGCACAAAACAACTGTTTCAGAGACACTTGGGACTTGCAGCCGTTTCCAGCGCATTCAAAAGTGATTTTGAAGGATTGAAGATCTAAACCATGGGTTATTGTTGGGGTTGGATGGTGCAGTGTGTATTATTATAAAGCCCAAAATGTAGAGTGTGACACAAACAGTGACTAAGCAGGAGAACCAATAGTTTCGAGGATCCACCCGGAAAAAGAAAACCCATCTATATTCCTTTAATTTGCTTAACAAAACTAAATAGCTCATCAGAACTGTTTAAACTGGATTTCAACATTGTCAGAGAAGAAGCCAATTTTACGAACATTGTTCTATGGCTACGGGACCACGCCGCCCTCTTTTGCGCGGTGCGGCGAGGGCCGTTCGACGCCGCTTGCGGCTTTAATTATACTTATTTTTATCATTATATAGTTGTGGTTTGAAAGTTACACACTCCAACTTTAAATGTTTCACCTTCATCTCGCAGGAAACGGCTGCAGACGGATCAGACGAAGCCTCCAGGAACCACAACGGCAGCCACAAGGACCTGAGGCGAGCCAACTCTCAGCAGGAGGAGCCCAGCGAGTCCCAGGAGGAGGCGGCACAGGAGAACCGGCCCCTGAGTCTGCACTGGCCCCAGAGCAACTGTGGCCGAGGACTTTACCTGCTGCGGCTGCCGGCTCTGCTCCCACTGTGGCTCTCGCTGCCGGACGTCCGAAAACAGGTCTCAACTCTAATCTTAGATATTACAGCTAGAAGTGGGAAAAAGGTGACGATTCCCACTCCTAAAGTACTGCGTTATTTGGGCCACGATTTAAGAAAAGCACTTTACAAAACTGATGCAATATTATTATTATTTATTTTTATTTGTTGTGTTTTTCTTCAGGAATCCCGGAAGTACGTTGTGCTGACGCTGCTGGGGTCGCTGCTGTGGATGAGTCTCTTCTTGTACCTGTGGACCTGGTGGGCGCATACGGTCAGTGCTCCCTGCAGGGTCCAGACAGAGGCGGGTTTTTGATTTTTAGTCTGAGGAGGAACTGTGCCTCCTGCCTGTTCCATAGAAATAGATGAGTAGTGGCCTGGTCTCACCATCCATCCATCCATCCATTTTCTGCCCTTTAATCCATTTCTGGGTCAGGGGGGTGGCAGTCAGAGAGACCACCCAAGTCTCATAGCACCAGCCCCTCACTGACCCTCTGCAGGTGGTGAGTCCACAGGAGGACGGCTGCTCTCTGACTGTGAGCATAGCCTTGATCTTTCAGTGGGGGCTTTGGGCAAAGTGGGGTTAAGTGTCTTGCCCAAGGACACAACGACAGCAGTCATCACCTGGTCTCACCCTTAGACTCTAAATATTAACGGTCTTACCACACGATCGCACTAAGGTCTGGATTAAGCTCCATTGACTCCGTTAACAGGTGGGAGGGGCTAACTCCTTTTGCAGATTGAAACCATTGGATCTGAGTTTACTGCGACGTATGTAATGAGCCCGAGTGTGTGAGGCATGTAGCATTTAGCCTAGCATTAGCCTTTAGCCTAGCTTTAGCCATCTCCTTTGCCGCCGTGGGGAGTAGAGCCACAACATCTTTGCTTCAATGACAGTTACTAAACATTCCTCTTGCTCCGGCTTCAGTTTCTTGATATTTGGATCAAACCAGAACAGATTATTTTACTATCACATTCTCCGACAAACTACAACCAGTGAATTCAGCACAAACTCTTGACGTCACCGACACCGACCTACAACACCCGCCTCCCCCGCTCTCTGATTGGTCGGAGGGGATTCAACCGAGGAAACTGCAGCCACTAGGATCAGACCCAGACGTACATGTAGGAAATGACCATGGACCAGAGTTTACACATGGTAAGACCAGACGTACATGTAGGAGATGACCATGGACCAGAGTTTACACATGGTAAGACCAGACGTACATGTAGGAGATGACCATGGACCAGAGTTTACACATGGTAAGACCAGACGTACATGTAGGAAATGATCATGGACCAGAGTTTACACATGGTAAGACCAGACGTACATGTAGGAGATGACCATGGACCAGAGTTTACACATGGTAAGACCAGACGTACATGTAGGAGATGACCATGGACCAGAGTTTACACATGGTAAGACCAGACGTACATGTAGGAAATGATCATGGACCAGAGTTTACACATGGTAAGACCAGACGTACATGTAGGAAATGATCATGGACCAGAGTTTACACATGGTAAGACCAGACGTACATGTAGGAGATGACCATGGACCAGAGTTTACACATGGTAAGACCAGACGTACATGTAGGAGATGACCATGGACCAGAGTTTACACATGGTAAGACCAGACGTACATGTAGGAAATGATCATGGACCAGAGTTTACACATGGTAAGACCAGACGTGCATGTAGGAAATGATCATGGACCAGAGTTTACACATGGTAAGACCAGACGTACATGTAGGAAATGACCATGGACCAGAGTTTACACATGGTAAGACCAGACGTACATGTAGGAAATGACCATGGACCAGAGTTTACACATGGTAAGACCAGACGTACATGTAGGAAATGACCATGGACCAGAGTTTACACATGGTAAGACCAGACGTACATGTAGGAAATGACCATGGACCAGAGTTTACACATGGTAAGACCAGACGTACATGTAGGAAATGACCATGGACCAGAGTTTACACATGGTAAGACCAGACGTACATGTAGGAAATGACCATGGACCAGAGTTTACACATGGTAAGACCAGACGTACATGTAGGAAATGACCATGGACCAGAGTTTACACATGGTAAGACCAGACGTACATGTAGGAGATGACCATGGACCAGAGTTTACACATGGTAAGACCAGACGTACATGTAGGAAATGACCATGGACCAGAGTTTACACATGGTAAGACCAGACGTACATGTAGGAGATGACCATGGACCAGAGTTTACACATGGTAAGACCAGACGTACATGTAGGAGATAATCATGGACCAGAGTTTACACATGGTAAGACCAGACGTACATGTAGGAAATGACCATGGACCAGAGTTTACACATGGTAAGACCAGACGTACATGTAGGAGATGACCATGGACCAGAGTTTACACATGGTAAGACCAGACGTACATGTAGGAGATGACCATGGACCAGAGTTTACACATGGTAAGACCAGACGTACATGTAGGAAATGACCATGGACCAGAGTTTACACATGGTAAGACCAGACGTACATGTAGGAAATGACCATGGACCAGAGTTTACACATGGTAAGACCAGACGTACATGTAGGAAATGACCATGGACCAGAGTTTACACATGGTAAGACCAGACGTACATGTAGGAGATGACCATGGACCAGAGTTTACACATGGTAAGACCAGACGTACATGTAGGAAATGACCATGGACCAGAGTTTACACATGGTAAGACCAGACGTACATGTAGGAAATGACCATGGACCAGAGTTTACACATGGTAAGACCAGACGTACATGTAGGAGATGACCATGGACCAGAGTTTACACATGGTAAGACCAGACGTACATGTAGGAGATAATCATGGACCAGAGTTTACACATGGTAAGACCAGACGTACATGTAGGAAATGACCATGGACCAGAGTTTACACATGGTAAGACCAGACGTACATGTAGGAGATGACCATGGACCAGAGTTTACACATGGTAAGACCAGACGTACATGTAGGAAATGACCATGGACCAGAGTTTACACATGGTAAGACCAGACGTACATGTAGGAAATGACCATGGACCAGAGTTTACACATGGTAAGACCAGACGTACATGTAGGAAATGACCATGGACCAGAGTTTACACATGGTAAGACCAGACGTACATGTAGGAGATGACCATGGACCAGAGTTTACACATGGTAAGACCAGACGTACATGTAGGAGATAATCATGGACCAGAGTTTACACATGGTAAGACCAGACGTACATGTAGGAAATGACCATGGACCAGAGTTTACACATGGTAAGACCAGACGTACATGTAGGAGATGACCATGGACCAGAGTTTACACATGGACAAGGCCATGCTAGATGAGTCGATAAATCAGTGAATTTAACACACAGCACAACATGAATATCCTTCTTACAGTTGTTGAGGCAGCTGTATTTGTCCTGTATGTTATGAAGAGTACGACACATGTTATAAATGTGTCTTGCAGGTGGCAGAGACTGTGTTTGTCCCGGAGCACATCATGGATCAGCTGTTTGCTCACGTGAACCTCCCTGTGCTCCTCACGGCTCTGATCGTGGCTCGCAGAGGTCGCAGCGACATGGCCACCTCCGTCTCTTTGGGAAGCAACATCTATGAAGTCACACTGGGGTAAATATAGAAATGTAGACTTTTATTATAGACCATAAACATGTCGCTGGAGAACTGTCTGGAACTGACAGAGGCAGCGAGACGTGGAGTGTAGTGGCCACGGGAAATGGTTGAATAGATCGATTTTAGGAGAGAGAGAGAGAGAGAGAGAGGGAGAGAGATTGAGAGAGAGAGAGAGATACACAGAGAGAGGGGTAAGGAGATTGAGAGAGAGAGAGAGATAGAGAGAGAGGGAGGGAGATTGAGAGAGAGCTAGAGACAGAGAGGTAGAGAGCGATATAGAGATAGCTAAGGAGAGAGAGAGAGGTGGAGAGAGAGATATAGAGATACAGTAGGTAGGGAGATTGAGAGAGGGGTAGAGATAGATAGGGAGAGAGAGAGAGAGATAGAGATTGAGAGAGAGAGAGATATAGAGATAGCTAGGGAGAGAGAGAGAGATATAGAGATACAGTAGGTAGGGAGATTGAGAGAGAGGTAGAGATAGATAGGGAGAGAGAGAGAGATATAGAGATTGAGAGAGAGAGAGATATAGAGATAGCTAGGGAGAGAGAGAGAGATATAGAGATTGAGAGAGAGAGAGAGGTGGAGAGAGAGATATAGAGATACAGTAGGTAGGGAGATTGAGAGAGAGGTAGAGATAGATAGGGAGAGAGAGAGAGATATAGAGATTGAGAGAGAGAGAGATATAGAGATAGCTAGGGAGAGAGAGAGATATATAGAGATTGAGAGAGAGAGAGAGGTGGAGAGAGAGATATAGAGATACAGTAGGTAGGGAGATTGAGAGAGAGGTAGGGATAGATAGGGAGAGAGAGAGAGAGAGAGATATAGAGATAGCTAGGGAGAGAGAGAGAGATATAGAGATACAGTAGGTAGGGAGATTGAGAGAGAGGTAGAGATAGATAGGGAGAGAGAGAGAGATATAGAGATTGAGAGAGAGAGAGATATAGAGATACAGTAGGTAGGGAGATTGAGAGAGAGGTAGAGATAGATAGGGAGAGAGAGAGAGACACAGACTCTAACATCTTAATTTTCAAGCTTTAGTACAAGATCCATTTGAAAAACAAAACCACAGAATATATAAGTAGTTGTATAAGTGATTCTTGCTTTGTCTCCCCCTCCTCTCTCCCCTCCCCTCTCCCCCCCTCTCCCCCCTCTCCCCCCTCTCCCCCCCCCCCCCCTCTCTCCCCCCTCTCCCCCCTCTCTCCCCCTCCTCTCTCCCCCCCTCTCCCCCCTCTCCCCCCTCTCCCCCCCCCCCTCTCCCCTCCTCTCTCCCCCCCTCTCTCCCCTCCTCTCCCCCCCCCCCCCCTCTCCCCTCCTCTCTCCCCCCCTCTCTCCCCTCCTCTCTCCCCTCCTCTCTCCCCCCCTCTCCCCTCCTCTCTCCCCCCCTCTCTCCCCTCCTCTCTCCCCCCCTCTCCCCCCTCTCTCCCCTCCTCTCTCCCCCCCTCCCCCCCCCTCTCTCCCCTCCTCTCTCCCCCCCTCTCCCCCCCTCTCTCCCCCAGACTGCCTCTGTCCTGGCTGGCCTTCTCTGCCGTCCATGGCTGGGCCCTCCTGGACATCAGCAGCACTGGACTGTCGTGTTCGGTCTCGTTGTTCTTCCTCTCGCTCCTCGTGGTCTTCCTCACCTTGGCCTCCTGTAAGCTGCAGGTCAAACGGCTGCTGGGCTTCTCCTTCGTGCTGCTCTACGGCCTCACCTTTTTACTGAGCGTGATGCTGAAGAGCCACGACGGGTTCAGGGCCTATTGTCAAAGCCTCAATGCCTGAATTTATTTTAGTTTTGGTTTGGCCCCATTTTCACAGACGACTTTGAATCAGATCTGGTTTTGCGACACTGTGCTTTTGTCCATTGTGCACATTTATTTTTTTTTGCTTGGAATGTGCCTCAGTATTGTTTACGACTTTAATTAATTACAGATGTTTTTACTGCTGAAATAAAGGTGAAACTCGGAACATTATACAGGACAGGCTGTAGACCCAGGACTGAGGCTGTAGACCCAGGACTGAGGCTGTAGACCCAGGACTGAGGCTGTAGACCCAGGACTGAGGCTGTAGACCCAGGACTGCTAAGTTAAATTACAGAAATAGATTCAACAATGCTCTGATGCCCTGGTTATACGGAGGCACTGCGCAGACGTTGCTATGAACAGAAACGACCAGGTTCCTTATGCAAATTTCACAGCGTTCATACGAGGATCAAAAACGATGTAGTTCTAGCGCCTGGCCAGTAGGGGGCAGAGGAACTTTACAACATGACACTTCCTCTGCAAGAAGTGAAAGAATGCACCAACATCATTCTGCATTTAACAGCAGCTGCGAAAATGGAAACTGAAACTAGAGCTTTGCGTGGTTTCGAACAAAGGAGAAGAAGAACAACAACAACATCTCAGAGACTTAACAAAACCATTGTTCTCACCAACACAGATCTACACGGACAGACGGGCTAATGATCCCCTCCGTTAGCGAAGCACACGTAGCTAGTTAGCGTACCCGCCGCCATTGTTGTTTACGTTTGTTCTACTGCGCATGTCCAAATGTATGTGCGGGGGTCAGATCCATTTGGTGATGTTGCTTGTGTCATGTGTGTGTGTGTTGTTTGTTTCATGTGTGTGTTGCTTGTGTCATGTGTGTGTGTGTTGCTTGTTTCATGTGTGTGTTGCTTGTGTCATGTGTGTGTGTGTTGTTTGTTTCATGTGTGTGTTGCTTGTGTCATGTGTGTGTGTGTTGCTTGTGTCATGTGTGTGTTGCTTGTGTCATACAATACAATACAATACAATTTATTCTTGTATAGCCCTAGGTCACAACAGAAGTCATCTCAGAGACTTAACAAAACCATTGAAATCACCAACACAGGTCAGAGAATCAACAGTTAAAACACATGAAGAATATAAAGCACACACAGAAGAAAATGTCCATACATGTTGTAGAATGCTAAAGTGTCCTGATCATCACCAATCCTTTCTGTTGGACACTAACTGTCCAACAAGACCCTCCTGCATCGACAAGGAAAAACTCTTAAAAAACCCAGTGGGAAAAAGTGAGAAACCTTGGAGGAGAACTAGGGAAACCCACAGGGAGGGAGTCCCATATGAGAAAGGGATCCGCTCCTCCGGACGGACAGGCTAATGATCCAGGACCTAAGCTAGCTACAGAACGTGGACCAGTGGACGCTGAACGTGGACAGGTCCGGTGCAGGACCGAAGCACTCCCAGGCGGGTCGGGCGGGGCAGTCCGCAGGTGTAGATGGAAGAGGCCAGGCTCAGAGATCCCGTCATCGTACCATGAAACAGACAATGGGACAACGGGTGAATAGCAATGAACAAACTACAGTTCATTCTACACACTGTCATGTGTGTGTGTGTTGTTTGTTTCATGTGTGTGTTGCTTGTGTCATGTGTGTGTGTGTTGCTTGTGTCATGTGTGTGTGTGTTGCTTGTTTCATGTGTGTGTTGCTTGTGTCGTGTGTATGTGTGTGTTGCTTGTGTAGTGTATGTGTGTGTGTGTGTTGTTTGTTTTGTGTGTGTGTTGCTTGTTTCATGTGTGTGTTGCTTGTGTCGTGTGTATGTGTGTGTTGCTTGTGTCATGTGTGTGTTGCTTGTTTCATGTTTGTGTTGTGTGTATGTGTGTATTGCTTGTGTCATGTGTGTGTGTGTTGCTTGTGTCATGTGTGTGTTGCTTGTGTCGTGTGTATGTGTGTGTTGCTTGTGTCGTGTGTATGTGTGTGTTGCTTGTGTAGTGTATGTGTGTGTGTGTGTTGTTTGTTTTGTGTGTGTGTTGCTTGTTTCATGTGTGTGTTGCTTGTGTCATGTGTGTGTTGCTTGTGTCGTGTTTATGTGTGTGTTGCTTGTGTCATGTGTGTGTTGCTTGTTTCATGTTTGTGTTGTGTGTATGTGTGTATTGCTTGTGTCATGTGTGTGTTGCTTGTTTCATGTGTGTGTTGCTTGTGTATGTGTGTGTTGTGTGTGTTGCTTGTTTCATGTGTGTGTTTCTTGTGTAGTGTATGTGTGTGTGTGTGTTGTTTGTTTTGTGTGTGTGTTGCTTGTTTCATGTGTGTGTTGCTTGTGTCATGTGTGTGTTGCTTGTGTCGTGTGTATGTGTGTGTTGCTTGTGTCGTGTGTATGTGTGTGTTGCTTGTGTAGTGTATGTGTGTGTGTGTGTGTTGTTTGTTTTGTGTGTGTGTTGCTTGTTTCATGTGTGTGTTGCTTGTGTCATGTGTGTGTTGCTTGTGTCGTGTGTATGTGTGTGTTGCTTGTGTCATGTGTGTGTTGCTTGTTTCATGTTTGTGTTGTGTGTATGTGTGTATTGCTTGTGTCATGTGTGTGTTGCTTGTTTCATGTGTGTGTTGCTTGTTTCATGTGTGTGTTGCTTGTGTCGTGTGTGTTGCTTGTGTCGTGTGTATGTGTGTGTGTGTGTGTTGTTTGTTTTGTGTGTGTGTTGCTTGTTTCATGTGTGTGTTGCTTGTGTCATGTGTGTGTTGCTTGTGTCGTGTGTATGTGTGTGTTGCTTGTGTCATGTGTGTGTTGCTTGTTTCATGTGTGTGTTGCTTGTTTCATGTGTGTGTTGCTTGTGTATGTGTGTGTTGCTTGTGTAGTGTATGTGTGTGTGTGTGTTGTTTGTTTTGTGTGTGTGTTGCTTGTTTCATGTGTGTGTTGCTTGTGTCATGTGTGTGTTGCTTGTGTCATGTGTGTGTTGCTTGTGTCATGTGTGTGTTGCTTGTTTCATGTTTGTGTTGTGTGTATGTGTGTATTGCTTGTGTCATGTGTGTGTTGCTTGTTTCATGTGTGTGTTGCTTGTTTCATGTGTGTGTTGCTTGTGTATGTGTGTGTTGCTTGTGTAGTGTATGTGTGTGTTGTTTGTTTTGTGTGTGTGTTGCTTGTTTCATGTGTGTGTTGCTTGTGTCATGTGTGTGTTGCTTGTGTCGTGTGTATGTGTGTGTTGCTTGTGTCATGTGTGTGTTGCTTGTTTCATGTTTGTGTTGTGTGTATGTGTGTATTGCTTGTGTCATGTGTGTGTTGCTTGTTTCATGTGTGTGTTGCTTGTTTCATGTGTGTGTTGCTTGTGTATGTGTGTGTTGCTTGTGTAGTGTATGTGTGTGTTGCTTGTGTCATGTGTGTGTTGCTTGTGTCGTGTGTATGTGTGTGTTGCTTGTGTCATGTGTGTGTTGCTTGTTTCATGTTTGTGTTGTGTGTATGTGTGTATTGCTTGTGTCATGTGTGTGTTGCTTGTTTCATGTGTGTGTTGCTTGTTTCATGTTTGTGTTGCTTGTGTATGTGTGTGTTGCTTGTGTAGTGTATGTGTGTGTGTGTGTGTTGTTTGTTTTGTGTGTGTGTTGCTTGTTTCATGTGTGTGTTGCTTGTGTCATGTGTGTGTTGCTTGTGTCGTGTGTATGTGTGTGTTGCTTGTGTCATGTGTGTGTTGCTTGTTTCATGTTTGTGTTGTGTGTATGTGTGTATTGCTTGTGTCATGTGTGTGTTGCTTGTTTCATGTGTGTGTTGCTTGTTTCATGTGTGTGTTGCTTGTGTATGTGTGTGTTGCTTGTGTAGTGTATGTGTGTGTTGCTTGTGTCGTGTGTATGTGTGTGTTGCTTGTGTCATGTGTGTGTTGCTTGTTTCATGTTTGTGTTGTGTGTATGTGTGTATTGCTTGTGTCATGTGTGTGTTGCTTGTTTCATGTGTGTGTTGCTTGTTTCATGTGTGTGTTGCTTGTGTATGTGTGTGTTGCTTGTGTAGTGTATGTGTGTGTGTGTGTGTTGTTTGTTTTGTGTGTGTGTTGCTTGTGTCATGTGTGTGTTGCTTGTGTCGTGTGTATGTGTGTGTTGCTTGTGTCATGTGTGTGTTGCTTGTTTCATGTTTGTGTTGTGTGTATGTGTGTATTGCTTGTGTCATGTGTGTGTTGCTTGTTTCATGTGTGTGTTGCTTGTGTTGTGTGTGTGTGCCGCCATTGTTGTTTACGTTTGTTCTACTGCGCTTGTCCAAATGTATGTGCAGGGGTCAGATCAGCAGCAGAGAAACACTGAAAGAGCGCCCCCTGCTGAGCATCTGAGGCTGGATCTGAACTCGTCTTCACCTGGAACAGTCTCCGTGTAAACAGGGGGTAGAAACAGACATCCAACTATAGCGTTTTACTGCAGCAGCGTCTCAGTGTAAACGGGGCCAGAGTTTCTTCCAGAGGTACTGCGGAACATTCCAGACAAAAAACAACATTGAGATGGACCTGAGCAAAGACCGGACCCTCTAGTCCCACTTTTGAGTCCTTGAAAAGTCTTGAATCCAGCCTTTAGGTCTTCAAAGTCCTGCTCAGGTCATACATGTTATAATAATGAGGCAGATGTGAAGCCATTTCTTGATTATTTTTTCACACAAGACTAGTGCCTTTTAGAAGTATATTTAAGATTCATACATTTTTATAGATTCCAAGTCGTGCTTTGAGGAACAGATTTTAGTGTCTCACAAAAACACTTATTGCTGAGCGTAAACAATCATATTATCTTTCTATTTTTCTATTAAAAAGTAAATAATGTGTGTTTTTAGATGTCATGATATTAAACAATGACGGTACAATGTTAGCGTCAAAAAGAAATCTATAAGAATTTTACTGTAAGATAATGATTATAGAGGTGTGTGTGTGTGTGCTTGTGTGTGTGTGTGTGCCTGTGTGTGTGTGTGTTGCTTGTGTCGTGTGTATGTGTGTGTTGCTTGTGTCTTGTGTGTGTTGCTTGTGTCGTGTGTATGTGTGTGTTGCTTGTGTCATGTGTGTGTGTGTTGCTTGTGTTGTGTGTGTTGTTTGTTTTGTGTGTGTGTTGCTTGTTTCATGTGTGTGTTGCTTGTGTCATGTGTGTGTGTGTTGCTTGTGTTGTGTGTATGTTGCTTGTTTCATGTGTGTGTTGCTTGTGTCATGTGTGTGTTGCTTGTGTCATGTGTGTGTTGCTTGTGTATGTGTGTGTGTTGCTTGTGTCATGTGTGTGTTGCTTGTGTCGTGTGTGTGTTGCTTGTTTCATGTGTGTGTTGCTTGTGTCGTGTGTATGTGTGTGTTGCTTGTGTCGTGTGTATGTGTGTGTTGCTTGTGTCGTGTGTGTTCGAACGAGAGAAAATGAAACCAAAAAGTTCCTTCTTCACCTCTTTTTCAAACGGTTTCTTTTCTGTTTTTTTGTGTCTAGTTTTATTGTTTATCGATTTAAATTAAATTCTTACTTTCACGAGAATCAGAACAAACAAAACAAAAATAATTATGATTTATTTTTACCATAAAAAGTGGTTCTAACTGCTCATATTTAGCTTTTTATTTAGTTTTTAGGTAAACCATGAGAATAACGACTTCATGTCTCATCATAATCTACATCCAGGTGTTAAACCGGTCCTCAAAGGTCTGTGGCTGCGGGTTTTCATTCCAACCAAGCAGGAGAGCACCGGACCAAAGAGTATAGAAACAGTAACTTCTATTCTATACTATACTATACTATACTATACTATACTATACTATACTTCTATACCCTGTGACCAGACTCCACACATTTCCTCAGGGGAAGACCAGTGGGGGCGGGTCCCGGCTCAAAAATATCCATGAGCTTGTGCGCTGACATTCTGAAATCTGGCTCCTTGTCTGTGGGGGTGTACCCGGAAACAGAATTATCCACTGAATCCTTATGCCGCCTTTTTAACTTTTGAAAACAGCTTTACATCCTGGCCCAAAAACGTTTATTGTGGACCAGCCGAGTTTAACCGCTGTGTTTTTTCAGAATTTTTTTGGGGTCGTGCAGCTAACGCATGCGCTAAAGTGTTTTTTCACAATTTTCCTGCGAGAGAGGCTACTGGCGGCCATTTTGAAAAGAACCTTTGTGATCACACATACATTTCAACGGAGGAAATAGGCGTCACTACAGCCACTGATATATATTTACAGTCTATGGTTAAGACTGGACTTACTGGAGTCTGCTGTGCTCCTGCTTGGTTGGAATGAAAACCTGCAGAAGAAAAGTAGAGGCTTATAGTCCAGAACTTACGGTAATTATTATAAAGAGTATTAATGTTACCAACTTGTAAATATATCCCAAAAATCCTGAATTGTTTTTTGATTGAATGTACGTGTGCAGAACATACACGTTTGTTTTGTTCAAATATAAAAGCTTTATGATAAGTGCTGTAATTGTTCACATAACATGCACGTGAATGTATGATTTATATTGAATATGTACATTACCATTGGTGTAAATACACGTTTGTATGGAGATGATTGGCCTGTGTGTGTGTTCCTGCCTGTTTTCTGTGTGATTGTCTGTAAATGAGATCTTCCTGAGCCGGTATCATGATAAAGGGAGAGTAGAACTATAGCCATAATCCTCTTAGCACCCTGAGATGGGCTATTAGGCATTCTGCTGATCCATTGTCAAGACTGCTGTGTCCTACATTCTCTGCACACTGGAAACACTCCTGCCTCGGCCGCAAATATGCACTTTTTTACATCTAGTCTTAATGGTGAGTATCTGCCTCATTCTGTGTGAGGCCTCGCTGTCATTTGAATGTAGTGATTGTTAATATGTTTGAGTTTGTTCACAGATGGAGTCAGTGTGACATGACACAGACGCCCCACAGTCTCAGAGAACAGAATCTGAGTCCTGAGAACAGATCTGCAGGAGTCTAGAGGAGTCTGTAGCATCTGTAGAGTCTGTAGAGTCTGTAGGAGTCTGAAGGAGTCTGTAGGAGTCTGTGGAGTCTGTAGAAGCCGCAGAGATGATCTGTAGCCGCAGGAAGCGCCTGCAGCTCAGCCGTGTCCTCTTCCTCCTCTCGGGCGTCTCTCTGTGCACGCTCTACCAGCTGACCATCAGTGCCCGACTGCAGGCTGCTCCTCTGGACTTTGTGCAGGGCTCAGCGGAGGGACCAGAGGAGAACGTTACAGAGGACATTGGTTCCCAACAGTCTGGACACACTGTACAGACTTTACAGCCAGAGACTTTACCTCCAGAGACTTTACCTCCAGAGAGAGTGACCACAGCACTGCCTGCTGTGGCACCACCCACCAACAAGACTCTGATCCACTGTATTTATGTGGCTCCAGAGCCTCCCCTGGTGACCCCCACCCCCCTCCCAGCTCCTCCTGAAGCTCCCACTGCCCCTGAGCCTCCTGCAGACGCTCCTCATGTGAAGGGGGAGTACCCTGAGGACCTGTTCACGGTGGAGGAGCGGCGCAGGGGCTGGGTGATCCTCCACATCCTGGGGATGATCTACATGTTTGTGTCTCTGGCCATCGTCTGTGATGAGTTCTTCGTCCCAGCGCTGGGCGTCATCACTGATAAGTTGGCCATCTCTGACGACGTGGCTGGAGCCACCTTCATGGCGGCCGGAGGCTCCGCTCCTGAGCTCTTCACCTCTCTGATCGGAGTGTTTATCGCTCACAGTAATGTGGGGATCGGAACCATCGTGGGCTCGGCCGTCTTCAACATCCTGTTTGTGATCGGCATGTGTGCCCTGTTTTCCCGGGAGATGCTGCACCTGACCTGGTGGCCTCTCTTCAGGGACGTGTCCTTCTACATCCTGGACCTGGTGATGCTCATCGTCTTCTTCTTGGACAATGTGATCGTGTGGTGGGAGAGCCTGATGCTGGTGGGGGGCTACACTCTCTACGTGGTCTTCATGAAGTACAATGTGCAGATAGAGAGGTTTGTCAAGACGCTGCTGCTCAAACACAAGAATATTATCAAGATAATCACAGTGGACGAGGCGGAGAAGGTGAGAGTTATTCCTTTGAACAGAAAACATGTTTTTATGTGATCACGAGTCATGAAGTTTGAAGTCACATCAGCTTATGTCTGTCACCAATGGATAATATCATAAATAATGTTAATACTTTATATTCTCAGACATACCAAACATTAACTTCTGTCTTCCAGGTCAATGGTGACGTTGTGGAGCTGGAACCCCCGATTAAAGAGGACAAGAACCGCTTAAAAGTAACGACCAGACTGTGCCAAAACCATAACCACGCAGTTTAATCTCACACCTGTCTCTTCCTTCAGTTAAAGCCTGCTCTTCAGCGCGGAGGGAGCTCAGCCTCTCTGCACAACAGCACCATGAGGAACACTATATTCCAGCTCATGATCCACACGCTGGACCCTCTGGGAGAAGGTAGGCCCCTCTTTTGCCTGTGCAGAATGTAAGCTCAGTCCTTTTTTGTCTTTACATAAACTTGCCTTGCCACAGATTAGCCACACGAGGCCTCGGCACTAAGACCAGATTGTGATTAAGCAGCTCATAAATACTTTCTCTCCCGTGGCACCTGTGTAATATCTATGAAGAGCAATGTGTTTCTCTATCGATCATCTAAAACCCTCTCATTGTCTCCTGTTTTATTTATCTCTGTCTATTTCTGACAACAAATCCTACACATGTTTTTGAAGGTAAATTTAAGGATAAGGCTGAGACTTTGAATAATGTGGCGAGCAAGAAAGCAGAAAGCAAACGTCAAGACAAAAAAGCAGGTAATTTCATCGTCTCTCTGAGTCTTTGTAGGTTGGAGCTAGCTTAGCGACATGTGGTTCTTTCTTCTTTTATTGTATTTTTTTCCTCTTCCTGCGTTGATGCAAAAACCTTATAGCATTCTTCCTCTGCGCACGACTGAAACTAGCATACACACAAACATCCTGATCAGTGCTTGGATGGGAGACCGACCCGGCTCACACTGGAGCGGCTGTGGAAACTGTTGTTGTGTCCACTTCCTTATGTTGCCTAGTATGAATCAGGGGTCTGTGTGTGTGTATATGTGCACAGGCGTCGGACTGGGGGGGGGTAAAGGGTACTGAGTATCCGGGGCCCAAGGCAGAAGGGGTACTATAGACTAGCGTATGTCTTTATATGTACAGTATATGTATTTTGCATTAACTTAATAGGGGCCCATTGAGTATGTTTGTACCCGGGGCCCAGAATTTGTTGCTACCCCTCTGTATATGTGTGTGTGTGTGTGCGTGCGTGTGTGTGTGTGTGTGTGTGTGTGTGTGTAGGAGGAGACAATGGTGCCTTCTGCCTTCCCGAGGGCAGCTGTGGCTACTGTAGCTTACCACCATCATATACGTGTGTAATGTATACATAAGATAAGCTAAGCTAAGTATACTTGTTTACCATTTAGACTTTAAGGTTATCTTTGTGTCTAGACTGGTTTTCTCATCCTTCCATCGGCATCTGCCATAACATCTGTCATATGTGACCATTATCCGTGTCGCTCTTGTCTCAGTCAAAAACTTCAATGTGTTGTGATGACATTTGCAATAATTGTGTTAGTTCCTTAGTATTTATCGCCCATGGTTCAGTTTGTTGTGATTCCTCAGATGGAGCTCAGAAACCAGAGGGAGACGCCCCTAAAGCTCCAGACGCAGAGAAGAAGGAGGCAGAGGACGACAAGAAGGTACTCTCCCAAAACGCCCTGAGGGTTTTCAAACAGAGCCGGAGTCTGTCTTTGGTTCCATTTTATGTAAGACTCACAGAAGCCTCTGAGCTCCACTCCCCAAACTCCCCAAACTCCCCAAACTCCCCAATCACCCCAAACTCCCCAATCACCCCAAACTCCCCAAACACCCCAATCACCCCAAACTCCCCAATCACCCCAAACTCCCCAATCACCCCAAACTCCCCAAACTCCCCAATCACCCCAATCACCCCAAACTCCCCAATCACCCCAATCACCCCAAACTCCCCAATCACCCCAAACTCCCCAATCACCCCAAACTCCCCAAACTCCCCAATCACCCCAAACTCCCCCAATCACCCCAAACTGTTGCACATTTATTATTTAAAACAAAATTAGACTTGGTAACTATATATACAGTATACCAGATATAAATGTTCACACATCAGCTGTTTGTATCCACCACTGAACCTGAAGACACACATTAGAATGAGTCTGGTGTGTGTGTGAGTGGTTGGTGGTGGTGGGAGGGGCCGATGGCACAGACTGGTTGCCTCGCTTCTGTCAGTGTGCCCCAGGGCAGCTGTGGCTACAGTAGTTTATGTTTGGAGTGAAAGAAAAATTATGTGAAGAGACTTTGAGCGTCCAGAAAAGAGCTTTAAAATACGGATACATTATTTTTATTATTATTATTATTATCAACACAAAAACTCCTTTAGAAAAATACATTTACTCCGTGTTGTAGAAACTTATTCCAGACTTGTAAATATGATCCAAACCTCTGAAAAACGCACAAACTGAAGACATTTCTTTTGATCATTATCCAACTCTGTAGAGTCGTTAAACACCTCAGAGCCTGGTCCTGACACAGACACCGTCGCTGTTCTACACACAAAACTTATCTGTGGTTTTATCCGTGGTTTTATCTGTGGTAAATCTGCACCGAACCTAAAACCATCAACACCACCAGCTCCTCCCCTCGGCGGGATTAGATCTCAGTACCATGTGTCTGTTCTGGTGCCAGGACTGACGCGATGATTACAGTTATGATTCTCTTATTGATAACTCTCCACATTCTTCCAACAATGTTTTCAATGTGTTTACGATTAGCACTGGGAGCGTGGCGGGGACAGAGGCATTCTGGGTAATAACTTATGGTTCACCGCCGGGACGAGCGCGGAGCATGTGACACACAGAAGGGAAGTGAGAAAGGGTTTGATAAGGGACAGGGTGGTTGTGTAGTGGTTGTGTGGTGGTTGTGCGGTGGTAGAGTGATGGTTGTGCGGTGGTTGTGTGGTGGTTGTGTAGTGGTTGTGTGGTGGTTGTACGGTGGTTGTGCGGTGGTAGAGTGATGGTTGTGCGGTGGTTGTGTGGTGGTTGTGTGGTGGTTGTGCGGTGGTTGTGTAGTGGTTGTGTGGTGGTTGTGTGGTGGTTGTGTGGTGGTTGTACGGTGGTTGTGCGGTGGTAGAGTGATGGTTGTGCGGTGGTTGTGTGGTGGTTGTGTAGTGGTTGTGCGGTGGTTGCAATTTTCTCCAGCTAAATGCGGACAAAACCGAAATGATTGTCTTTGGTCCCGAGAAACAAAGAGAGACCGTCATTTGTCACCTTCAGTCTCTCTCCTTAAGGCCTTTAAATAAGGTCAGAAATCTGGGAGTAATAATGGACTCTGACTTAAACTTCAATAGCCACATTGGATCGGTAACATCAGCAGCTTTTTATCATCTGAAAAATATTGCCAAAATTAAAAATATTGTGTCCAGGGCAGACTTGGAGATTCTTATCCATTCTTTTGTTTCCAGTAGGCTGGATTACTGCAATGGCCTGCTCACAGGTATCTCCAAACATGCAGTAAGACAGTTGCAGTACATTCAAAATGCTGCAGCCCGAGTCCTGACTAGAACCAGGAAGTACGACCACATTAGTCCGGTCCTCAGGTCTCTGCACTGGCTTCCCGTGGCCCAGAGGATAGACTTTAAAGCAGCTCTCCTGGTGTACAAGTCTCTCCATGGCCTTGCACCAAAGTACATCCATGATATGCTAGTCCCATATGAATCACCCCAAACTCCCCAAACTCCCCAATCACCCCAAACTCCCCAATCACCCCAATCACCCCAAACTCCCCAATCACCCCAAACTCCCCAATCACCCCAAACTCCCCAAACTCCCCAATCACCCCAAACTCTCCAAACTCCCCAATCACCCCAAACTCCCCAATCACCCCAATCACCCCAAACTCCCCAAACTCCCCAATCACCCCAAACTCCCCAATCACCCCAAACTCCCCAATCACCCCAATCACCCCAAACTCCCCAAACTCCCCAATCACCCCAAACTCCCCAAACTCCCCAATCACCCCAAACTCCCCAATCACCCCAAACTCCCCAAACTCCCCAAACTCCCCAATCACCCCAAACTCCCCAATCACCCCAAACTCCCCAATCACCCCAAACTCCCCAATCACCCCAAACTCCCCAAACTCCCCAATCACCCCAAACTCCCCAAACTCCCCAATCACCCCAAACTCCCCAAACTCCCCAATCACCCCAAACTCCCCAAACTCCCCAAATTCCCCAAACTCCCCAATCACCCCAAACTCCCCAATCACCCCAAACTCCCCAATCACCCCAAACTCCCCAAACTCCCCAATCACCCCAATCACCCCAAACTCCCCAAACACCCCAAACTCCCCAATCACCCCAAATTCCCCAAACTCCCCAATCACCCCAAACTCCCCAAACTCCCCAATCACCCCAAATTCCCCAAACTCCCCAAACTCCCCAATCACCCCAAACTCCCCAATCACCCCAAACTCCCCAATCACCCCAATCACCCCAATCACCCCAAACTCCCCAATCACCCCAAACTCCCCAAACTCCCCAATCACCCCAAACTCCCCAAACTCCCCAATCACCCTGTGATTAAAACTATCCACTCATACTGACTCCAAACAGACTTATTAAAACTATGATGACGACGTGTGCCTCTATTCAACAGGGGATGAACTCGTGACTATAATATAAGTCGTTTATTTAGGCAACTTATCGATACACATTTCATATTGAGTCATGGTGAGCTTCTGTTGCCGCCAGAGTTGCCCTGAGGCAGACTGATAGAAGCAAGGTTAAAGGCGCTATACCCGTTTCTGCAATGTTTGAATGTTTAGCCCCGCCCCCCAACTCGCTCAATGGCTTCTCATTTCCCCTACGCTCTCATAACACGGAGCCACCTAGTTTTATTTGCGATCTGATACGTATGCTAACATTAGCATTAGCGCAACTTGTACGCTGTGCAACAATCACTGATTAAATGGTGCAAAAGCAATGCACTGCTAACACAATATATAAGTAAAAGAATACCATTAGTTTCGCGTCCGGATGTATTAATTTAAACATTAGAATATATTCTAATATTTAATTATAATTTATTATACAGCTCCTCACAGCAGCAGCACTCCATTGACTTGAATGCAATTCTTCCGATCATTTTTTCTTGATAACAGAACTCTCAAACCAATAATGACCGCAGCCCCAATGCAATCTCTGTTTGTAATTCAGGTGTGTAAAATACTGCCATTACTTTGCAAGTACAACAAGCTATCAGCGCCTGTCACTACATTGTGCAGTTTTTCTGCACACTTGTCTGTGTAGAGAAGCTAGCGGAGCTAGCCACGCTCAATAAACAAATACATATCAATCAATCAACACCATTAAACGTCAATCGGACAATACAGTATACACATATACATCCTTAACACACATGCACGGACGATTTCAGAATTTGCTGTCAACGTTTTCATGACAAAAATACTGTTTTAAAGTGACAAAAAGCGATCGCGAAAAACCCGGAAGTTACCATGAAACAGCTAGCTAGCTTAGCTGTTACCTGCCTAGCACGTCCCGGTGAAACCTTTGGGAGCTAACTATTTTATTTGCAGTCATTAAATACATTTCTAATTATAAGGGTTGTCTAATATTTGTTCAAATATGTATATATTTTTTATTTTAGAATTATATTCGAATTTTGAAGTCGAAGCCCTGGTGTTAAGCAGCGCTGTAGAGGCTAGAGGACGCAGGCTGCTCACTGCTCGTTCTATGAGAGGAGGAGAACGAGCGGCCCGCTCAGACTCTACTCAGCACTTTTCACTGCCTGAATTTCATACATAGTGGAATCAATGACCTCAAGTTTTCAATTAAATTATGTATTATGATACAACTTGTATGTAGTAAAAAGCATTTTTATGAACTACTTAGAAAAAAAATCGGGTATAGCTTCTTTAATATGCATGAGCCCCTCCACTCTGTAACTCTCTGGTTCACATGGTGCAAGGTTTGGGAGAAATCAGAGAAACTCAGAAAGAGCAGGTCTCTGGGATCAAACCTGAGGCTGTGAGGTCGAGTGCTGCCATTTAGCACAGCTGTAGAGGGCGGTGTCCTGAGGTACAGGCGCTACAACAGCAGCTCATGTCTCAATCACTGTGTGTTACCGTTGCTCACCCTGAGTTCAAGTATATCGTTTTGTTTAAAGGAGCAGTCTGTAAAAATGTGCCCAAAGTGGTACTGCAGCCTCTCCCTCTCTCCCTGACTCAGGTTGCCAGATATGCAGACGAATCCAGCTGGGACCATAACAGCTGAATAGACAAGAGTTTAGTCAACAACAAATCTATAACCAACACCTTTTTCACAAAGATAGAAATCCTGGTTTTATTCCTTGTTTTGTCGTTAATGATTTGAGAATCATAACGAGAACTTTTTTAGTTCTGCGCCACATGGTACTTTACTAGTGAGATTAGCTCCACGCGGTGAGTTCTGGCGCCCGGATCACAGACTTTCTGATTGGTGAAACGGTGGAGGGCGGGACATCGAAATGAAAACAATAACAAGATTTAGGGGCTGGAAAAGTAATTTAGAAATTCAAATATCGCTGAACTACTGTTATCAGTTAAAGAAGTATTGGAAAAGAGCAGTTTTTATTAATGCCTTTTGACAGATTAGGGCCCTTTAAGGACGACTGGACAGGAAAATCTGACATATTGCTACGTTAACATAAAATAAAACCATTAATTTAGTTTCAGGTTAATTATGTTTCCCCAATAATATTTGTATCTGTCTGATTTCAGAGAGTGGAAAGAGTGTAGCCTTCCAAAAACGTCTTAATGAAAACTGCTCAATAATTCTACTTCTCTTAAGATATGGGTTAAAAATGTGTCGGTGTCAGTGGAGAAGCCTCGGTCTGAGTCTGTGTCTGCTGCAGGAGGAGGAGCCTGAAGACAGCGGCTCCAATGGTTCTGACGACTCCAGCGGAGACAGCGACGAGACCGAGAGCGAGACCACGAGTGACGACAGCGACCTGAGCGAGGAAGAGGAGGAGGAAGAGGAGGAGCCGCTGTCTTTACAGTGGCCGGACACACCCAGGAAACAGGCCACTTACCTGTTCCTGCTGCCAATCATCATCCCCCTCTGGCTCACGGTGCCCGACGTCCGCAACCAGGTGAGATAGACCAAGTGAGATAGACCAGGTGAGACAGACCAAGTGAGATAGACCAGGTGAAACAGACCAGGTGAGATAGACCAGGTGAGGTAGACCATGTGAGACAGACCAGGTGAGATAGACCAGGTGAGATAGACCAGGTGAGACAGACCAAGTGAGATAGACCAGGTGAAACAGACCAAGTGAGATAGACCAGGTGAAACAGACCAGGTGAGATAGACCAGGTGAGGTAGACCATGTGAGACAGACCAGGTGAGATAGACCAGGTGAGATAGATCAGATGAGACAGACCAGGTGAGACAGACCAGGTGAGACAGACCAAGTGAGACAGACCAGATGAGACAGACCAGGTGAGACAGACCAGGTGAGACAGACCAGGTGAGACAGACCAAGTGAGATAGATCAGATGAGACAGATCAGATGAGACAGATCAGATGAGACAGATCAGATGAGACAGACCAGATGAGACAGACCAGGTGAGACAGACCAGGTGAGACAGAACAGGTGAGATAGACCAGGTGAGACAGACCAGATGAGATAGACCAGGTGAGTTAGACCAGGTGAGACAGACCAAGTGAGATAAACCAGGTGAGTTAGACCAGATGAGATAGACGTCCGCAAACCAGTTTTTAGAGTCTGCTTGGTTTGGACCATTTTCTCTGCTCTGGTTCAGAGTGAAATTCTGAATTCTTGCAGTGGATTTCAGCTTGATCTGTTTGATCTGTTTGGGTGGGACCATCGTCTCTCCTCTGGTCTGGATCAGTGTAAAACCATGAACACTGTGGTAACATTTACACATAGAAAAAAAGCAAGAAAAATACAGATTTTAGAAACACAAAACAAGAGCTGGTTCAGAGAGACTCGCTGCTGGTTCCAGAGCTCATCAAGATTCACCAACACACACACTTCCATCTTATTTATTTGTGCAGAAATCTCGGAAGTTCTTTGTGATGACTTTCCTGGGGTCTATCGCGTGGATCGCCATCTTCTCCTACCTCATGGTGTGGTGGGCGCATCAGGTACAAACTGCTCTCAGTCTGTTTCATGTGAACCATTCTTATTGTAAACATAGAGTGAGTTAACTGACTGGTTCAAATGTCTTTACTCATTCACTCCACACACTGATGATGAACTATGGTAGCCACAGCTGCCCTAAGATCAAACTTTATGACTTCAGTGCCTTGTTGCTCACAGTTGTACGTCTTATTATACAATACTTAAAGCAAAAGGTCATATTTGTCATATTTGTGTAATATATTCCAATGTAGTTTCACTGCAAACGGTAAATAATCTGAATCTGAACCATGTGCAGCTGTAAGGACCGTACCTTCTCTGTCCCCTTTGTAGGTGGGAGAGACCATCGGGATCTCAGAGGAGATCATGGGCCTCACCATCCTGGCCGCGGGGACCTCCATCCCGGACCTCATCACCAGTGTGATCGTGGCGCGTAAAGGCCTGGGCGACATGGCTGTGTCCAGCTCTGTGGGCAGCAACATCTTCGACATCACTGTGGGGTCGGTATGAAGACTTCTGCATCACTGTGGACACAGAGGAACACCCGTCTGCTCCTACATATATTAGTTTAGTTTAGTTTAGTCTTTATTTGAAGGGACAGTGTACAGAGACATTAAGCTCAAAGACAGATATGTTCTGCACCAGATTAAAGCTAAAAAGCTGTTTCCATCTGCAGTCCCTGGTTACAATAAAATACATGGATACAGTAATGTACAATCCTAAAATAATAACATTGCAATACAACACATTCTCTCTGATAAAGACGCACACATTTAGCCTCATACCTGTTTGTTAAAACCACACTTCATTCACAGCATCACACCTACACAATACACATGTCACAACCACACATTCAGATGTCTATATCTATATACTATACCCTATATCTACACCTTTACTATACCCTATACATTTATTTTATTTCAGTGAACATTGTAGATTGACACTGAAGGCATTAAAACTATGAATGAACTCATGTGAATTATGTACGTACTAAAAAAAGTATGAACCAAGTGAAAATATGTGTTATTTTCTGGTTCTTCAAATTAGCTCCTTTTGCTCTGATACTGCTTCACTCTTGGCATTCTCTGGATGAGCTTCAACAGGACCTGAAATGGTTTTCAACAGTCTTGAAGGAGTTCCCATGATGCTTAGCACTTGTTGGCCCCTTCACTCTGTGGTCCAGCCCCAAAACCATCTGGACTGGGTTCAGGTCCAAAACCATCTGGACTGGGTTCAGGTCCGGTGATTGTGGAGGTCATGTTGGTCAAACAGCCCTGACACAGCCTGGTGCGGGTCTACAGCAATAGTCATGAAAAGAAACTCATTGAAAGAGAAAGTGTGTCCAAACTTTTGGTCTGTGCCGTACACCTACACCACAGAATGCAAATAGTAACAGACGTAGTGACGCCTATCTCCGCTGTTGAAACTAATGTGCCATCAGTTTTGCTGTCGGTGGGTTTTTTCAAAATGGCCAAAGGTTCTGGAAAATGGGAAAAAAAGCATTTGCGCATTTGTTCGCCGGCATGAGCACCATTGGACCAAGAGCGACTTTTGGATCATCCTGTAAAGCCGTTTTCAAGAGGAAAGAAGCATTGGGTAATTCTGTTTCCGGGTCCACCCCCACTGCACGTGCTCATGGACATTTGGACCAATACCCTATATCTATTTCTTATACCTCTGCATCACTATGAACACAGAGGGAAAACACTCCTGCTAATCCTGGGGATTACAGTACTTACACCGAGTACTGCAGAGTAATCTAGTGTTGATATACAGTATGTTGTGTTTTGCAGTCTCCCGGTGCCGTGGCTCATGTACTCCATCGGTCACGGCTTCGCTCCGGTGGCCGTCAGCAGCAACGGTCTGTTCTGTGCCATCGTGCTCCTCTTCCTCATGCTGCTCTTCGTCATCATCTCCATCGCGTGGTGCAAGTGGAAGATGAACAAGCTGCTGGGCTCCACCATGTTCCTTCTCTACTTCATCTTCCTGGTGCTGAGCGTGATGCTGGAGGACCGCATTATTGTCTGCCCCGTCTCCATCTGAAAGCAGACCAGGGCAAAGTGTGGCGCGGGAGCCACACACGGCCCCGATTTACGTCTCTTTGTGGCCCTCGGACCTTCTCCCACCAACAAACATCACTGTCTCCCCTCCTATTTAAATGAGTGGGAGTCAGTATGAATGTTTGCAACTTCTGTGATGCTATGCTACAATGCTAATAATAATTCATCAAAGACATTCATCTGTCCGCAATACTTAGCCCTCTTTAGCTTCAAATAAATTCAAAAATGGTCCAAAAATACAGGAAAACTAGAAATAGAAGCATTATTATTAAGCAAGCAACTATTGTAAGAGCTAGGGACAAGTTACACAGCTCACTATCGTTTTTGTGGTTTTAAAGTTTGGCACTCAAGCTTTAAAAGTTTGAGGTCCAGCAGATATTGGTGATTGTTCTGTGTTTCATTACAAAAAACAGGTTGCTCGAATGCTACACGAGTCTCTCAGGTGCTCCTCTGCTTGTTATTCAGAACAGGACAGTGGGACAAAAACTTATGACGCAGTGGTTAGCGGTGTTAGCTCGGTGTCGCAGTGGTTAAGATAAGATAAGATACATTTGGCATAGATAGAATCACTCAGATTGTGCAAAAAGACAGAATTGTGCTTAGGTCCAGGGTTTGATTCCACCTCCAGGCCTTTCTATGTGGAGTTTGCATGTTCTCCCTGTGTCCCGTACCACTCAAAACATGTAGAATAGTTCTGGCACGTGCCTCCTGTACTGGCCCCACTTCCATCTCTGTTTGGAGTGAGACAAATGCCCACGACAATTGTAAAGCGCTTTGTGACTCTGGTCTGTGAAAGGCGCTGTATGAATAAAGATTACTTACTTACTTTCTTAAAAAGCCTTTACTGAATCATAGCTTTAAGTTTAAAATGTGTTTATTGACCTGCAGCAATAATGTGGCTATCTTTGTTAGCATAGTGACAGACAAACTGTGCTCTGAAAGTTATGAAAGTGCAGACAGTGATTAAATGAGATGTCTTTGGACTGAAATGTGAAAATAATAATAATGTAAGTCCTTCAAATACAGGTTTTTTCAATATTTTTGAGAAGCCCGCTGCTTACGCTCACTTGCTAGCACTCTTATTAGCTTAGCCTAGCTCCGTAACAGTTTGTTGAACGGCTACCGCATGCTAACGGCTACTAGTAAACAGAGTTATGCTAACTAGCACTAGCTCTTCTGAAGTTGAAAAACAAGCTGAACCAGAATCAACATCCATCTTAGAGAACAGTCGTTTTAACTGACATACATACAACTACACAGAGATACAGAAAAAGTCAGAGCTAGAATTGTACTTTAGCTGAGTTAGCCGTCACATGCTAACCAAAGCATACGCATTCATTATCTTTGCAATAACGTTTGGACCAAGGTGAAATTATTTTTATCTTTAATGAAAAACTCTTACAAACAAGTATTGGTGGTACAAGTGTTAAATAATACTGCAGATACATCAAGTATTGTAAACATGTAGACACGGTGTTAGTCACAAAGTGGTCCACTGTGGCTGTAGTGAGACTGCAAAAAACCATGAAATATGAGGTAATAATTGCTTGAATCGGGCGCTTTTTATCTTAATCTGGGCACATTGTGACTGTGTTGAAATTGAAACAAGCTTTGCCAATGGGACAAAGCCATTTTCTTTCTCATTCCAAGGCAGACATTACTTGCATATTCTTAAAACAAGCTCATTTTGCTTTGTCCCATCTTGTAAATCTTGTTCTTAAGCAGACAAAATGTGTTCAATTTTGATACATTTTTTCCCCAAATTTTAGCAATTTCTGACTTATTTTCCATCACTTTTTGCAGTGCTCCAGCTTTATCCAGCATCAAGTCCTTTGTTCCAGTTACACAAACAGCGACATCACAAGCCTGAGGAACAACACGGCTCATATCAGTGCAAAATACATGAAACACTTCCCACATGTCCAAAACCAGGCTAAACGCTGAGATCCTGCTTAGTGCTTAGTTTAAAGAGTGCACACGACAGCCAAAAAGAACAGAGACAGACATAACGGGGATACTCTGTACAGACCTCTACAGTATTAATAAATCATTTCTTTTATTAAAATAGTGTCTCCTTTATTTAAAACAATAAATACAGTTGGGTTGTTGTTGTTGATTGTACTTCGTCAAAGGATTTCTCCTCGTGGTCCCTTTTTACTGTGTGTAGTACGTCACTCAAGCTCTCATTGGTGAAAATATTGCTTCTAAAAAGGGTTTTTGAAGTTAAAAAACAAGTTTGTTTTGGGGTTTAAGGAGACGTATTGTGCTTTTGTCGGAAAGTTTGTTAGAAGCGATATGTCTTTATACTATTTCAAACACATTGATATGAATAGGGTGTGTTCAATACCACAGAAAGGAAATGTTTACAAAATGTTTTCTCAGATCAGACCAGAGAGAGACCAGAGGGAAAACAGATAGAGACCAGAGAGAGACCAGGGAGAGAGACCAGAGGGAAACCAGATAGAGACCAGATAGAGACCAGGGAGAAAGCAGAGAGAGAAAGACCAGAGATAGATTAGACAGACAGCAGAGAGAGAGATAAAAGAGAGACTAGAGAAAGACTATAGGCTCTTTGGTCTGTTTAGTTCTGCTCACTGTAAACGCCACAACAAAGTGCCGACATAGCAGCAACAAAACCGAACAGCAGATTTATGTACACATTTTTCTGCTGTCAATTCAACCCATCATTGCTTTACTAGTAAGAAAAGTAAAGTGAGGAGGAGTGAGTCTGAAAGAAAGCGGAGAGATGACTCACTCTCCCAACAATTTTCACACGGTCAAAAGTTTTACAAAGTAGGTTTTAGCACAATATGTCTCCTTTTTAAAGAAATCCTCTGCGTTCGACCTTGTACCTCGTCTACAGTCTGTGCTGCAGCTGCCTCAGAGAGAGTCACACGACAAAAACAAAAGACAAAAAGTGCGTCATGAAAACACAAGTAATCAACAGTCTTCACAGGGTTCAGTACCAGCGGGAGGTCAAACGCACACACCTGCCTTCTCCGAAACAAAAACAGTCTTAAAATAGACCGTGTAGTAGCTGTACAAACATGGAATCCTTATAATCCACTTTAAAGTACTCAAGTATTTACATTGGTCCTGCGTGGCTCAGTGTGCGTGCGGTCGTGGCAGTGGCTGCACTTGTCCATTGGTCGTTCTTTTGTGCTTTAGCATCTGAGCTACAGGGTTGCAAAATATAGACAACAGTTGCGATCGTTTGGAAGTGGACATTGCATGGTTTGACGGTAGATTTTGACTCAGAGGATCATCCAATTCATTCTTCGAAATCTAAACAAAATCGGTTGGTGATTATGCATGCAATGAGTAAACAAGGGCGTGCCACAAGGGTCCATTCTGGGCCCTGTGCTTTTTACTGTAAATATTAACAGTACCAGCATCATATATATATAAAAGAAGAGACCCAGATTTACACACACTGGAATAAGTGCTAGAAATATTCTGTGGATGTGAGGCCATTTTGACAGTGGTGAAGTTTGATTGGCAGGTGGTTTAATTCCGTGAAATGTCTTTGATTTTTCTCAAAGCAATTTTTTTTCTTTAGAATTGTCCTTTGGTTACTTCCATTGTATTGCAGTCAAAATCTACTGAAATGTTGTGGTTGAATAGGCTGAATACATCAGGGGTCTCCAACCTTTTCCCTCGCAGAGCTGCTCATTTTCGACAGTCGACAAAATGTTGTGCTACGATGGACAAAGTGAATGGTCTGAAAAATTGTCTTAAAACAACGGAACAACCAGCTTTAGTCTTGTTTCCAGCACAGATGCAGCAAATGTATTCGGTGTTGTTTTAAGACCAAAATGTTCTCTCATCAATTTAGCCACATTTGGGCAATTTCTCACTTTGTTTTGGTTTTTTTTGTATCATAATCCTTTTAATATTTACTTAGTGGAGCTACTTTGTGGAAGAGAGTGTCGAGATACTGATAGCTCCTGAGACACAGGTTGGCGATCCCTGGCTTACACACTACTAAGAAAAAAAATCCTGTGGTTGTCATGGAAACATCTTCAAAAACGTCTTCTTGTCGTGAGACTGGAGGATTGGGTTTGCTTCACATTTTGGTGTCGTCTAGATTCTATAAACTGAGGGAGTGGCTTTGTACGCACATAGATCAAACTTAAATCTCGTAGCATCGTTAGCTACGGTGCCAGAACGGTGAGCCCTATAGTGCGGGCAGGTCCTGAGGTTAGAGCCCTGGTTCTCCGAAAGTCCTGCGACACTCCATGACCCCGGCTCCTGGGGGCCGGTCACAGTTGTGCGTCAGCTTCACCTGCGCCGGAGTGAGGCGGTCGTAGGCCAGTTTGTATTCTCTGTCGAAAGCATCTGCAACAAGAGACAGTCCCAGTGTAAGAAGTCAGGTCTGTGTTCTAAAGATCCACAGAGATGTTCCTCTCTGCTGCAGGAGGGTCTAAGGACACATCCAACCACATTTATGGACATTGGTTTCTGCTCCTTAAGGACCAATGAGGTTCAGACTGGAAGAACTAAGCTCACAGCGCTCAAAGTCCTCCCACTGTCGCTAACAGCAACAGCATCAGTCAATCATAGATGCAGCGCCACACTGCCCTCACCTGGCAGCAATCAGGCACTGCACGCATCAAGCTTCATATGGTGAGGAAGCTCCATCCAAGCAGCAGCTTCATTCACGCTGCAACCCTCCTCCTCCCCGTCTCCGCCTTGTGACCAGCTCTGTCATGTTTCTCCACGCTCCCACCACCAGGGTCTAGGCCCCGGGGGATTTCATCTCATAATGTCTTTCCCTTTCTGCCTCATAATAGTGCTCTGTCGGTGTCTAAGCGCCAAATTCTAACCACATTTCCAAGACCTCTGAGATAACTGCGGTTGTGATTTAGAGCTATAATAAGACATTACTATATTATGCCAATACAGCACTAGTTCAAGATAAATGTCTCGAATATTTTTTGAGTTGAAGGTTTATGAGAAATCCTTATAAAGCGAACAAACATGTGGTCCAGGATCCACTATAAAAGGTCAGTGGAATGCTAACAAGTCTAAGTCCAGGAGGGAATTCCCATCAAGTCCAAAAACATCTGGATTGTAAAACATATGTGTCCAGATGACGTTTTACTGTTTCTAGATTCATGGCCAAACAAGATGGAGGACACAGACTTACTGATGTTGATGTTGTGTTTTCCCAAAGACACCAGTGCGAGGAACAGCAGGTCTCTGTACAAGCTCCTGTCACAGAACAAAAGACACAATAAAGTTATGTTTTGAATCCATACAGTACAATAGAGGTTTAGTCTCTATGGTCTCTAAGTCTATCTCTTCACTGCAAAAAGTGTTGAGAAATAAATCAAATCTGAATCTTAAAAAACTAGATTCTCCAATGGGACAAAGCAAAATGATCTTGTTTTGAAAATATACAGAAATGCCTCCTTTCGAATGAGGAAAAAAGGTTCTTGAAATACGACTATGTCCTAGTCCCGTTGGAGAATCTGGTTTTAACACAGTCACAATGTGTTAAGATTGATTCAGGAATTTATTACCCTATATTTCATTTCATTTTTTGCAGTGTCAGTCTTTGATCTTTCTCTTTGTTGACAGATAAGATAAGATAAGAATTCCTTTATTCGTCCCACAGTGGGGAAATTTCGATAAGTTGACAAGTTGAAAGTTAAATTTGATAAGTATTCTTTATTACTGTAGTAGTAGTATTAGTAGCAGTAGTAGCAGTAGTAGTACTATTAGCAGTAGTAGCAGTAGAAGTAGTAGTAGTAGTATTAGCAGTATTAGCAGCAGTAGTAGTAGCAGTAACAGTAGCAGTAGTAGTAACAGTAGTAGTAGTAGTAGTAGCAGTAACAGTAGCAGTAACAGTAGCAGTAGTAGAAACAGTAGTAGTAGCAGTAACAGTAGCAGTAGTAGAAACAGTAGTAGTAGCAGTAACAGTAGCAGTAGTAGAAACAGTAGTAGTAGCAGTAACAGTAGCAGTAGTAGTAACAGTAACAGTAGCAGTAGCAGTAGTAACAGTAACAGTAGCAGTAGTAGTAGTAGTAACAGCAGTAGTAGCCGTAACAGTAGTAGTCCGGGTCAGGGTCAGGGTCAGGGTCCGGGTCAGGGTCCGGGTCCGGGTCCGGGTCCGGGTCAGGGTCAGGGTCAGGGTCAGGGTCCGGGTCCGGGTCCGGGTCAGGGTCAGGGTCAGGGTCCGGGTCAGGGTCAGGGTCCGGGTCCGGGTCAGGGTCCGGGTCAGGGTCAGGGTCCGGGTCAGGGTCAGGGTCCGGGTCCGGGTCCAGGTCCAGGTCAGGGTCAGGGTCCGGGTCAGGGTCAGGGTCCGGGTCAGGGTCAGGGTCCGGGTCCGGGTCCAGGTCCAGGTCAGGGTCCGGGTCCGGGTCAGGGTCAGGGTCAGGGTCCGGGTCAGGGTCAGGGTCCGGGTCCGGGTCCAGGTCCAGGTCAGGGTCCGGGTCCGGGTCAGGGTCAGGGTCAGGGTCAGGGTCCGGGTCAGGGTCCGGGTCAGGGTCCGGGTCAGGGTCCGGGTCCGGGTCAGGGTCCGGGTCAGGGTCAGGGTCCGGGTCAGGGTCAGGGTCAGGGTCCGGGTCCGGGTCCAGGTCAGGGTCCAGGTCAGGGTCCGGGTCCGGGTCAGGGTCAGGGTCAGGGTCAGGGTCAGGGTCCGGGTCAGGGTCAGGGTCAGGGTCAGGGTCAGGGTCCGGGTCAGAGTCAGGATCAGGGTCAGGGTCAGGGTCCGGGTCAGGGTCCGGGTCCGGGTCAGGGTCCGGGTCAGGGTCCGGGTCAGGGTCCGGGTCAGGGTCCGGGTCAGAGTCAGGATCAGGGTCAGGGTCCGGGTCAGGGTCAGGGTCCGGGTCAGGGTCCGGGTCCGGGTCCGGGTCAGGGTCAGGGTCCGGGTCAGGGTCCGGGTCAGGGTCAGGGTCAGGGTCAGAGTCAGGATCAGGGTCAGGGTCCGGGTCAGGGTCCGGGTCAGGGTCCGGGTCCGGGTCCGGGTCAGGGTCCGGGTCAGGGTCCGGGTCAGGGTCCGGGTCAGGGTCCGGGTCAGGGTCCGGGTCAGGGTCCGGGTCAGAGTCAGGATCAGGGTCAGGGTCCGGGTCAGGGTCCGGGTCCGGGTCCGGGTCAGGGTCCGGGTCAGGGTCCGGGTCAGGGTCCGGGTCAGAGTCAGGATCAGGGTCAGGGTCCGGGTCAGAGTCAGGATCAGGGTCAGGGTCCGGGTCAGGGTCAGGGTCAGAGTCAGGATCAGGGTCAGGGTCCGGGTCAGGGTCCGGGTCAGGGTCCGGGTCAGGGTCAGGGTCCGGGTCAGGGTCCGGGTCAGGGTCCGGGTCAGGGTCCGGGTCAGAGTCAGGATCAGGGTCAGGGTCCGGGTCAGGATCAGGGTCAGGGTCCAGGTCAGGGTCCGGGTCAGGGTCCGGGTCAAGGTCCGGGTCCGGGTCAGGGTCCGGTGTGTGATGTCACCTCTGCCTCCTGAAGCCCAGCTCTGGCCCCAGCAGCTGCAGGATGTGGCTCATGGGGACGTACAGCTCGCTCTTCTTGATGCTGCGAACGATTCCCTGCAGCAGCTCCACCGTGAACACCTGACCCTCTCCACACACGCCCGAGCGGACCAGCGAGTTAGCACCTGAAACCAGAGAGGACCAGCCAGTTAGCTCCTGAAACCAGAGAGGACCAGCCAGTTAGCACCTGAAACCAGAGAGGACCAGCGAGTTAGCACCTGAAACCAGAGAGGACCAGCCAGTTAGCACCTGAAACCAGAGAGGACCAGCCAGTTAGCACCTGAAACCAGAGAGGACCAGCGAGTTAGCACCTGAAACCAGAGAGGACCAGCCAGTTAGCACCTGAAACCAGAGAGGACCAGCCAGTTAGCACCTGAAACCAGAGAGGACCAGCGAGTTAGCACCTGAAACCAGAGAGGACCAGCCAGTTAGCACCTGAAACCAGAGAGGACCAGCCAGTTAGCACCTGAAACCAGAGAGGACCAGCGAGTTAGCACCTGAAACCAGAGAGGACCAGCCAGTTAGCACCTGAAACCAGAGAGGACCAGCCAGTTAGCACCTGAAACCAGAGAGGACCAGCGAGTTAGCACCTGAAACCAGAGAGGACCAGCCAGTTAGCACCTGAAACCAGAGAGGACCAGCGAGTTAGCACCTGTTTAGTCCTGACTCTGGGACCAGCAGGAGGCCAGTCCCTGTGCTCCCCAGAGTCCCAGCGGGAGGCCAGTCCCTGTGCTCCCCAGAGTCCCAGCGGGAGGCCAGTCCCTGTGCTCCCCAGAGTCCCAGCGGGAGGCCAGTCCCTGTGCTCCCCAGAGTCCCAGCGGGAGGCCAGTCCCTGTGCTCCTCAGAGTCCCAGCGGGAGGCCAGTCCCTGTGCTCCTCAGAGTCCCAGCGGGAGGCCAGTCCCTGTGCTCCCCAGAGTCCCAGCGGGAGGCCAGTCCCTGTGCTCCTCAGAGTCCCAGCAGGAGGCCCGTCCCTGTGCTCCTGAGTTGGTTCCTATGGCACTAACCTGTCATGGATGTACTCTGATTTTTACGTTTGACTCATCCATCCATTTTCTTCCTCTTAATCCATTTCTGGGTCAGGGGGGGGGGGTGACAGTCAGAGCTGCACCCAGTACACTGAGCACCAGCCCCTGTGTACTCCTGTGTACTCCTGTGTACTGGGCACCAGCCCCTGTGTACTCCTGTGTACTCCTGTGTACTGGGCACCAGCCCCTGTGTACTCCTGTGTACTCCTGTGTACTGGGCACCAGCCCCTGTGTACTCCTGTGTACTGAGCACCAGCCCCTGTGTACTCCTGTGTACTGGGCACCAGCCCCTGTGTACTCCTGTGTACTGAGCACCAGCCCCTGTGTACTCCTGTGTACTGGGCACCAGCCCCTGTGTACTCCTGTGTACTGGGCACCAGCCCCTGTGTACTCCTGTGTACTCCTGTGTACTGGGCACCAGCCCCTGTGTACTCCTGTGTACTCCTGTGTACTGGGCACCAGCCCCTGTGTACTCCTGTGTACTCCTGTGTACTGGGCACCAGCCCCTGTGTACTCCTGTGTACTGAGCACCAGCCCCTGTGTACTCCTGTGTACTGGGCACCAGCCCCTGTGTACTCCTGTGTACTGAGCACCAGCCCCTGTGTACTCCTGTGTACTGGGCACCAGCCCCTGTGTACTCCTGTGTACTGAGCACCAGCCCCTGTGTACTCCTGTGTACTGGGCACCAGCCCCTGTGTACTCCTGTGTACTGGGCACCAGCCCCTGTGTACTCCTGTGTACTGGGCACCAGCCCCTGTGTACTCCTGTGTACTCCTGTGTACTGAGCACCAGACCCTGTGTACTCCTGTGTACTCCTGTGTACTGAGCACCAGACCCTGTGTACTCCTGTGTACTCCTGTGTACTGAGCACCAGCCCCTGTGTACTCCTGTGTACTCCTGTGTACTGAGCACCAGACCCTGTGTACTCCTGTGTACAGGGCGCCCTCCCCCCATGTTTGACTCAAATGTGTTCAATTCTTAAGATTTCTGCAATGATCCAATGTAGAAAAGTCCTCTTCATAAACTTGTGTTTATCACAAACAACACGGGCGGCACGGTGGCTGAGTGGATAGCACTCTCGCCTCTCAGCAAGAAGGTCCTGGGTTCGAATCCCGGCCGGACCAGGGCCTTTCTGAGTGGAGTTTGCATGTTCTCCCCGTGTCTGCGTAGGTTTCCTCCGGGTACTCCGGTTTCCCCTACCACTAAAAATATGTCCAATAGTTCTGGCATGCGCCTCCTGTACTGGCGACCCCGCTCCCATCTCTGTGTGGAGTGAGAGACAAATGCCCAAAATTAACAATTGTAAACCGCTTTGTGACTCTGGTCTGCAGTGAAAAGGCGGTATATAAATAAAAACTTACTTACTTACTTACTTACTTACAAACATTTCACATCAGAAAATCTCCAAGTCAAGCTTTGATCCAATCCCTTCAGTCTCAAGTGTGTGTGTTCACTTAGTGTGTGTTCACTCAGAGTGTGTGTTTACTTAGTGTGTGTTCACTCAGAGTGTGTTCACTCAGAGTGTGTGTTCACTTAGTGTGTGTTCACTCAGAGTGTGTGTTCACATAAACCTAGTGTATAGTCGCGTGGATCACCGCAAGACCCTTACGTAGCCGCGCACCCTCGAACATTTCTAACTACGCAGGCCGCGCCGCAGAGAAGCTCCGCTGTGATTGGTCCGTGTGTGATTACTTTCTGTGAAGCATGAGCGGCTGCAGGAGCAGGGACGAGGGACTGCTTCGAGCTTCAAAGGAACCGAAGGAAAAGCAGTTTGGGCTCAGAGCCTGATCTACAGGAGACTGGAGCTCTGTTGCATATCTAACTTATATATAACTTATATATAACTTATATCTTATATCTAACATAACTTATAAACTGTGCAGTTGTTTCTTTTGCACTGTTCCTGTCTTTGTTTGAATCGTAGCTGCGTCTGTTCCATTCCTCCTCCACTTGTAAATAGTTCATGTTTGTCTCAGATATTTAGCACTTATTGTTTTGCTGTTTGTGCTGAAAACACTTTAATAATAACTATGTTTCCAACAGAACTGTGTCTTTATTCACAGCATCACAGTTAAATGAGAGTCCATAGAACTGTCACATAAACATAATGATCTCAAACAGCTTCACTCTTGTTGTTGTTCTGAAGATGAGAAAGTAACAGCGTAAATGGGACCGCTTTGGTTTCTCAGGCAACTCCTGTGAGATCGCCATCACGTGGTTGGGTGTGGGATTACAACATTCTCTTCAAAACTCTGCAAGGGGAACGCGCGAGTGTAACACAGTGTAACTGTGGCTGCGTAGGACCAACGTAACTGCAACCATAACCAGCGCCGCGCGAGTGTACACAGGCCTTTACAGTGTGTGTTCACTCAGAGTGTGTGTTCACTCAGAGTGTGTGTTCACACAGAGTGTGTGTTCACTCAGAGTGTGTGTTCACACAGAGTGTGTGTTCACTCAGAGTGTGTTGTTGTTCACTTACAGTGTGTGTTCCAGAGGACGTAGCAGGGCTGCAGTGTGTCCTGGTGCAGAGCCAGGTTGTCCCACATGATCCTGACCAGGACCTGTTTACTGTCCTCTGCCATGAAGCTCTGGGCCTGAGGGACAGAGGGACACAGCGGCCAGTTTAAAGACACCATAGAGTTAACTCATAAGGTCAACAATAATTACTTTAAAACACATTCAAATGTACTCCAATTAAGAGTACAGCTACATTTAACACTAGAACTCTCAGAGTCTTTCGTTTTGTAAGTGTAATAACCTTTTTCCATATTTTGAGTTATATTCACCAGTTTTATGCCAATGCTCTGAGCCACAGTCACACCTGACTATTGTTAGTAACTTTCAGATCTTTCAGATCTTGTATCTGTCTCATGCACATAGATCTGTACCTGTTCTCCCTGGATGCAGTGCTGGGAGCCCAGGACCAGGGCGGGAAGGTTACTGGGCAGCTCCAGCCTCCTGAAGAACCACAGAAGGTTCCAGAAGACGATGGGGTGATGGTCCACGACGCTGGGGGAGGACAGGGCCTGCTCCCCCTCGTTCACCAACAGACTCTCCAGCTCCTTCCACAGAACCAGCGGGCTCAGGTACGGCACGGTCACTAGGGACGGGGCGCCGGGCGAGCTGGGAGGGGGGGCCGAGGGGGCTGAGGGGGCCGGGGGGGCCGAGGGGACTGAGGAGACTGAGGAGACTGAGGAGACTGTGGAGACCGAGGGGACTGAGGGGGCTGAGGGGGCCGGGGGGGCCAAGGTGACTGAGGGGACTGAGGAGACTGAGGAGACCGAGGGGACTGAGGGGACTGAGGGGACTGAGGGGACTGAGGGGGCTGAGGGGGCCGGGGGGGCCGAGGGGACTGAGGAGGCCGAGGGGACTGAGGGGACTGAGGGGACTGAGGGGGCTGAGGGGGCCGGGGGGGCCGAGGGGACTGAGGAGACTGAGGGGGCCGAGGAGACTGAGGGGACTGAAGAGACTGAAGAGACTGAGGGGACTGAGGCAGGATTCTCCTCTTCCAGGACAGTGTCACAGTGTTTAGAAAGAGATCTGTAAAAATATTAGAATACAGGCCTTTTAGTTATTTATGTTTGTTTGGATGGATGTGTTTCTGCTGCTGACACCTGCATCTCTCCTACAGGGACCAATAAGGTCTCTCTCTCTTTCTCTGTCTCTCTGTCTCTGTGTCTCTCTCTCTCTCTCTGTCTCTGTGTCTCTCTCTCTCTCTGTCTCTCTGTCTCTGTGTCTCTCTCTCTCTCTCTGTCTCTCTCTGTTGTATAACCGGTTGTGTGTCTGTTGTGTGACCTGTTGTGTGGCCTCAGCTCCTTGATCTCCACGCTGAGAAAGGGCAGGAAAGCGGATCCGCAGAAGGGGCAGCAACTGTTGAGGTTGGAGTCGTTGGCCGTCCATCCCGCCATCACCTCCTCGTCGTACACCAGCGCCTCACACGTCTTACAGCGGCTGCAGCTGGACATCAGGACCTGAGGAGGAACCAGGAAGTGAGGGAGAGAAGCCACACAGGGCGGGGTCAAAGGGCAAACACATCTCCACATTCTCACCTCGATGGAGAAGCTGGGAGAGGCCTGGAAGCGGCTGCACTCAGGAGACGAGTCCGGAGTGAGACCGGATTTAGCAGCAAGAGACAAACCACCTGAAAGAAACGTTAGCAATGAAAAAGATTTAAAACTTCATTGAATATTAATGTACAGCTAAACTTGAGTAAACCTAACAGGCCTTGAACCAGCTTCAAGGTGCCTGACTTTCCCCATGTTTTTAGAGCAAAGGGAACTGGAGCACCCGGAGGAAACTTACAGACACAAGGAGAACTGGCAAACTCCACACAGAAAGGCTGGAGGCGGAATCGATCTCAGAACAAGCGCTAACCACTGCGCCACTTTGCCCTCTATCTAAGTCAGTGTTTTTCAACAACTGTGCTATGATACCAGCCAATATCATGGCTAACCTATGATATTGGCTGGTGTGCTGTGAGAAGTTTGCCAACTTTGTCTAAAAATAACTGCATTCACTATTGGCGAGCGCTGACTGTGGAGTAGAGTTTAGCTTTTCAGCCCGAGCCCGAGCAGGCCCGAGGCCCGAGGCTCGGGCTGAACATTAGCTGGCTCGGGCCGGGTCGGGCTTCATTTTTCAGGCCCGAACAAAACTCTACTGTGGAGTAACCACGTAATACTTTTTTATATCAGTAGGTGGCAGCAGATGTAAGTACTTTGAAATTTAAGAATTGGATGCAACCACCAAATGCGGGGAGCATTGTGGCGAGAAATGTAAGAATTGGACGCGACCAACAACATAAGAGGCAGCGGCAGTAGCGGCGCCAGGTTTGCAGTTATGGGTAGGCCTGCAGATTAGTAAGTAGGCCTAATTCGCTCGCAAACTACAAGGGGTGTTTGTAGTGGGGATACAAAGAATATGGTGCAAACGCGGCGCCACAGATTTAGCGTCGCTGGCCCTGGCCCTGAAGGAGAATTAAATAGACTAAATAATACACATAGCGTAGTTTATTTGAAAATTACAAAATCAAATGCATGTACAAGGAACAGTACATAATCTTAAATCTAATTTACAAGAGCAGGCGGCGTGACTTTTGATTGAAGACAGCGAGTATGTCCTTGTAATCTATGTTCTCCGTTAATTCTCTTTCAAAAGACAATAGGGACAGAGAGTTAAGTCTTTCTGTCAGCATCGTCGCCCTGGTGCTTGTCTTTATTCGGTTGACGGTGGAAAAGAGTCTCTCCACCGTACATGTGGTCATCGGCAGAGTGAGCAGCGCTCGCAGGAGACTATTCATGACAGGGAATATGTCACGTGGACACGAATCAAGAACTTCAATGAGTGTGGGAAACTTATCTCCAGTTTCATTCATTTTTCTTTGAATGTGCTGCACAAAGACAGTGTGCTCTGCTCCGTTCAAGTGGATGGAGAAATGCGTGCACACGGGATGGATCGTCTCTATGTCTCCAAATGTGTCCGTGCGTGGCAAGCAGGCAGCGGTGGCCTTCATGAAGCCGTATGTGTCAGGCTTGAAGCGGATATTCAACTCCGTTATTTGTCTATCCAATGTGTCGTTCCAAAGTCTTTGAAGATCTGAATTTGTCTGCACAGTGAAGGACTTGCCCAAAGTAGATCCAACCAGAGAATCCTCTAACCTGGCAGGTAACTTTCTTTTGCGTGACGCGCCAATGTCCCAATTGATGATGTCGTGTTTAATCATCAGGTCATCTGCCAGAGCCAGTGTTTTATTGTATGTCGCATTTTCGTGTCTGAACTTCGTGTAATTGTCTTTGAGTCCTTCGATTAAATCAGTGCAATCTGTGACTGACAGTGTAGGGGACTGCAAGCCTTTTGTGGCGTAGTCACTGACTTCAAACAGCAGATTAAACGTAACAAGGAGGAACAGGAATTTTTTATTCTGTATCTGGTTCAATAAGGCGTCCGCATCCATTTTTGTTTGGCCACTTGCACTTTCAGAAAAAGAGGCGAGGGTCTCCAAAATCGGTCCCAACAGTGTCAGCACTTTACTCACAGTATTTGACCAGGAGGTCCAGCGAACATCACAGGCTCTCTCCAGCTCCAAAGGTTTTTGCCCTGGCCGTATTTCCATAAATTTTGCGTGTCTGTGTGCTCCAGTCATAAAGTGATGCAGGTCATTTAAAACAACAAAAAAGGTTTCAATGCACGGAGAGACTTTTGCTGCTGTGCACAAGACAAGGTTAAGTCTGTGGGAGTTGCAATGCACATACACAGCGCGAGGGAAGGTTCTCTTCAATATCACATGCACACCGCCCTTGTTCCCCGACATGACGGATGCACCATCAAACCCAAACCCTACGCACAGCTCTGGGTCAAGTTGCAGCGGCTCCAAAACCTCTAATATTTTTGTTGATATGGCCTCTGCTGTCAAGTTCTCAGTCTGCACAAATCCTACTGCTCTTTCTCTCAATGCGCCTTTGTGCAGGTACCGGACACACACTGCCACCAGTTCTTTTTTTGATATGTCCTTACACTCATCTGCTAAAATGGCATAATATGCGCTGGGCTCGTCATGCAAATCTTTCTTTATTTTACTTATAATGAGGGAGGTTGTGATCTCAAGTATTTCATTTTGTATACTGTGATGTAAAAGCTTTCCATTCTTTGGCAATTGGTCAAGTCGTTCTTTAATTTGTGGATCATATTTTGAAACCAATTCCAGCAACTCTAGGAAATTTCCTTTATTCAATGCATCTGCATTTTCCCCTGTGACCTCGCAGTGGAATCTCTTGTTTGGCACAGAACAGGACTAGGTCGATAACCAGTATGATGTGCTCCCTGTTTCTGTCAATTAATGCTTTGTTTTGGGCATCTCTGTTCAACTGATTGATAATATTCCCACGCTCTCGGTGACTCTGATGGTATCCTGCCATTTTACCCGAGGCCCTCTCGTGTCCCTTGCTCCCTTCGTGCTTTATACAAATCGCACTAATGTTTTTCCAATCTTTCGTTCCATTAAAAATGAAGGTATTGTCTTGCAAGGCATCTGGAAAATGTCGACATTTATTGCAAAACACAGCATCCTTCGAGATGCTGTATTCCAGCCATGGAAACCTCTGGTACCAGTGTGCAGAAAACCTCCTGTCCTTTCCCCCTTTACTGGAAGAGGGGAAAGTGCGCAGGTTGGGCTGCGTGGGAGGCTCGTCTTTAGAAGACAGATCGTGGGGACAGAGGCGAACGTCCTGTGGGTCGGCTGCATTATCTCCTACAACACAAATAACTAACTTTAACTTTAAATTACTACACGTAAACGTAAAGAAACTACATTCTAATTAAAATTATTGTCAACTTGTTGATATAAAAAAATAACAGCACGCATGATACAGCCTTCAAGACATTTAATATAAACACCTTTTCTCTTTTGAAATTATCATAAAAGTATACAATGAAAGTTGGTTCAAAAAAGTACTTTGTCGGTGCACACTTCTGAGCAGAACTAAAATCTTTATGAAGGCTGACAGACGCGGTGGTCGTAACGCATTTTCGTAAATGTAGCCTATGAATAAAAACAAATATGCTAAACATTAAAATGCTCAATGTCCTCGTTTGTATTGCTAATGCAAATGCACAATTGGTCATTTATTACAAACAGTTCATATATATTAGGCTTAGGCCTACCCTTATGCGTTATTTCATATTATTTTAATAGCCATAATATCGTAGTTGTTTTGTTATAGTCCACAAGCAAGCCTTCTAAATGGGAAAATAGTACGTGCCTTCTTGTCGAAGCTGCTGCTCTGACCTACGGGGCTGGGCCTCTGGCTCCTCCTCTACCTGAGTCTCGCCTTCACAAAGTTCAGACCGAACTTTCTTAAAACTAAAATTAAAAAGGCTACTCTGTTTTGAATGTTTTGAGAACATTGTCAACAAGGAATAGCTGCTTGTTCTCGGGGAAACTAGTTCGCTAATGAGTTTCGCGCCGTTTGATATGATCATGCATCTCATTGGACAAAATTGTTTAGCCAACAAACAGAACTATATTTAGAAGCAACGTAAGAACGTGATCACGTTTTCTAAAAAAAAACATTTGAACGCCACATTTAGGCGATAATTTATGATAACAACATTTAAATTATGACTTATGAATAAAAAAGGCTTATGACTTGAGAGGCAAAGAACAAATTTGAGCAGGCCAAGAAAAAAAATGGTAGGCCCCGGCCTACCTAGGCCTATCCCTGGCGCCGCGTCTGGGCAGCGGGGAGAATTTTGGTGAGTGAAAGTCATTGGGACGTTTTTCTGAACAGGATTCACATCCTCCGCTCTGACCCCGGGGCAGCTGTGGCTCGTTTTGTACTAACAGCCGCTTTGACCACAGCTCAGCGAACGCACATCTGTAACATGGGGCCGCACGCGGACCCTAGTCGCGTGGACAGAACCATGGAGTCGCGGACAGAACCAGCGGTCCTTGAGTCGTGTTCTGGACCATCTCCTGTGTCTCCCCGAATCTCTCCTTATATCAGGATTTTCAGACAGAAAAGTGAAAAAGAGAGGACAACCCTCCGTCAGCCAATCAGCTCAAAGCATCATTTAGTGAGGGATTTTTCATACAATTATACAAAAGATATTATGTTTTCTATTATGCTAAAGTCAGAGATTGTATTTTTTTGTACAGACTTAATATTAATTCATCTTGTGCTGTGTGCTCCTCATTCCTACTGTTCTGCAACACTGACATTTCCCCGCTGTGGGACAAATATATACAATCCTTTAATCTTAATCTTAATCTTAAAGCAGCATGTTGTGGATTGCTTTGTTCACATTTACCAGAACCTTTTCATTGCGTCAAACCAAAATTGTATTAAGGAGATAAAGTTAGATACCCGAGCTTTAAAGTGTCTTGCCCAAGGACACAACGACAGCAGACATTAGTGGGAGTCGGTGGAGAAAGTCTTGTGATGGGCTCGAACCCATGACCATCAGGCTCAAAGGCCAAAGCTCTACACACTATTAGACATTTTTAGTTTTTGTGTGTGTTTTTGTCCTGAAAAAATAAAAAGTAAAGTCTGACCAGAGAAGGAGTTGTGTCTGAAGACCCGGTCGGGGGTGCTGGGGCTGCGTCTGAGGCCGCGGGAGGCGAGGTGCTGAGGGGACGTGAACCCCTCGGGCTCCAAACACAGGTCTGAGTCCAACAGAGAAGAAGAGTCTGCGTCTGCGGAGGTCAGCGACGACACGCTCAGACGGTCCATGTTCACGTCCTGCAGGAAGGAGAGGAGGAAGTTTCATTATCCTGCACCATCCATACAGAGGGGACCAGACCTCTCTGGTCTCTCTCTGGTCTCTCTCTCTGGTCTCTCTCTCTGGTCTCTCTCTCTGGTCTCTCTCTCTGGTCTCTCTCTGGTCTCTCTCTGGTCTCTCTCTGGTCTCTCTCTGGTCTCTCTCTGGTCTCTCTCTCTGGTCTCTCTCTCTGGTCTCTCTCTGGTCTCTCTCTCTGGTCTCTCTCTGGTCTCTCTCTGGTCTCTCTTTCTGGTCTCTCTCTGGTCTCTCTCTGGTCTCTCTCTGGTCTCTCTCTCTGGTCTCTCTCTGGTCTCTCTCTGGTCTCTCTCTGGTCTCTCTCTGGTCTCTCTCTCTGGTCTCTCTCTCTAGTCTCTCTCTCTTCATCTCTCTAGGGTCTCTCTCTGGTCTCTCTCTCTGGCCTCTCCCTCTGGTCTCTCTCTGGTCTCTCTCTCTGGTCTCTCTCTCTGGTCTCTCTCTGGTCTCTCTCTCTGGCCTCTCCCTCTGGTCTCTCTCTGGTCTCTCTCTGACCTCTCTCTCTGGTCTCTCTCTCTGGTCTCTCTCTCTGGCCTCTCCCTCTGGTCTCTCTCTGGTCTCTCTCTGACCTCTCTCTCTGGTCTCTCTCTCTGGCCTCTCTCTCTGGTCTCTCTCTCTTCATCTCTCTCTTCATCTCTCTCTTCATCTCTCTCTCCACAAACAAACCTGTGAGAGTGAGTTCTGGGAGGACAGGCGAGAGTACAGCCGGCTGGCCTTCTCAGCCACGCCTTTTCCCGCAGAGATGACGCTGAACTTGAAGACGTCCAGACTGGGCGTGAACAGGGAGTCCATGGAGAAGGACGAGGCCGTGGACGGGGTGGGGGAGGTGGGAGACTTCAGGGGGGAAGCTCTGTCCCGCAGCTCCCCCAGTGGCAGGGAGGGGGATTGCCTGAGCCGGTCTTTGGTCTTGAGGGGCAGGGGCAGGTGGGAGGCAGAGCGCTGGAGCGTGGAGGGTCTGGGAGACGAGAGCGGAGACGGTCCACAGTCCGGGTCTGCGGTGCTTGTGCTGGTGCTGGGGTCGCAGGAGGCTGTCGTTGTCTGGGAAAAGTCAAATATTGAGAGAATATATTCACTTTTGCTCATGGAAGGTTTTTAGGTCACTAGGCTGAAGAAAAGACAGAGAGAACACCACATTTCTTTCTCTTGTTTATGTATTTGTACAAGGGTCCCTCAGTATAATGCACTCTCTGGTCTCTTTCTGGTCTCTCTCTCTGGTCTCTCTCCCTAGTCTTCCTCTCTAGTCTTCCTCGAGTCTCTCTCTGGTCTCTCTGTGGTCTCTCTGTGGTCTCTCTGTGGTCTCTCTTTGGTCTCTCTGTGGTCTCTCTGTGGTCTCTCCCTAGTCTTTCTCTACTGTCTCTCTGGTCCCTCTCTCTGGTCTCTTTCTGGTCTCTCTCTCTGGTCTCTCTCTCTAGTCTTCCTCTAGTCTTCCTCGAGTCTCTCTCTGGTCTCTCTATGGTCTCTCTATGGTCTCTCTTTGGTCTCTCTGTGGTCTCTCCCTAGTCTTTCTCTACTGTCTCTCTGGTCCCTCTCTCTGGTCTCTTTCTGGTCTCTCTCTCTAGTCTTCCTCGAGTCTCTCTCTGGTCTCTCTATGGTCTCTCTATGGTCTCTCTATGGTCTCTCTGTGGTCTCTCTGTGGTCTCTCTGTGGTCTCTCTGTGGTCTCTCTGTGGTCTCTCTGTGGTCTCTCTGTGGTCTCTCTATGGTCTCTCTCTGGTCTCTCTCTGGTCTCTCTCTGGTCTCTCTATGGTCTCTCTATGGTCTCTCTATGGTCTCTCTTCGGTCTCTCTTTGGTCTCTCTGTGGTCTCTCTTTGGTCTCTCTGTGGTCTCTCCATAGTCTTTCTCTACTGTCTCTCTGGTCCCTCTCTCTGGTCTCTCTGGTCTTTCCCTCTCATCTCTCTCTGGTCCCTCTCTGTTATTTTTCTCTTGTCTCTCTGGTCTCTCTCTCTAGTCTCTCTCTGGTCTCCCTTTCTGGTATCTCTCTCTCAAAAACAAAAAAGTCAATTGTCTTGGAAAGTCGTCATCACCTCTGAACTGCCTCTGCTGTCCCTGGTCTCGTCCTGATCCCTCTCTTTGGCTCGGTCTCCCTCGGCCTCCTCCTCCTGGACCTGGCACAGTCGGTCGGTGCTTGGGGGTTTGGGTGGAGGAGCAGGGACCCTCACGGAGCCCTCCTGTCCCGCACACAGCTCCAGAGACTTGGGGCGCTCTGGTCTGGACACAGTGGGGTCCGCACACACCAGCCGGCCCCCGGAACCTCCAGGAAAAATATCACATGGAATTTTAGACATAGACACGAGCTTATGACATGGAGGAGCCATTATACTGTACAGAGAATAGTGACATTTAAAAGATTCTGCTTCGGTTAGAAGAGAATTGTTATCGTATGAATTCTCTAGCACCAGTTTTTATGAAACTCCCACTTTACGCTGAAATGGGAGCGTCCAAAATTTGTTTTATCAGTTTTGGACCAAAGACTTAATTTAATGTATTTGTGTATTTAAATATGGCATGCACTCAAAGACACTACATATACTAGATGAGATGTGAAGTGCACTGAATGTGTTAAAATATATCATCTGGTTGTGTTCATGACATGTGAGTAGATGTACAGTGCCTTGCGAAAGTATTCGGCCGCCTTGAACCTTTCAACATTTTGCCACATTTCAGGCTTCAAACATAAAGATATGAAATTAATTTTTTGTCATGAATCAACAACAAGTGGGACACAATCGTGAAGTGGAACGAAATTTATTGGATAATTTAAACTTTTTTAACAAATCAAAAACTGAAAAGTGGGGCGTGCAATATTATTCGGCCCCTTTACTTTCAGTGCAGCAAACTCAGTCCAGAAGTTCCGTGAGGATCTTTGAATGATCCAATGTTGTCCTAAATGACTGATGATGATAAAGAGAATCTGTCCATAGGACAACAATCAGTCGTGCACTGCACAAATCTGGCCTTTATGGAAGAGTGGCCATTTCTCAAAGATATCCATAAAAAGTCTCTTAAAGTTTGCCACAAGCCACCTGGGAGACACACCAAACATGTGAAAGAAGGTGCTCTGGTCAGATGAAACCAAAATCGAACTTTTTGGCCACAATGCAAAACAATATGTTTGGCGTAAAAGCAACACAGCTCATCACCCTGAACACACCATCCCCACCTCAGCTGTAGTTATCTGCAGTTCATCCAGAGCGATCATGGGCCTCTTGTCTGCATCTCTGATCAGTCTTCTCCTTGTTTGAGATGAAAGTTTGGAGGGACGGCCGGGTCTTGGTAGATTTGCAGTGGTCTGATACTCCTTCCATTTCAATATAACTGCTTGCACAGTGCTCCTTGAGATGTTTAAAGCTTGGGAAATGTTTTTGTATCCAAATCCGGCTTTAAACTTCTCCACAACAGTATCTCGGACCTGCCTGGTGTGTTCCTTTGTCTTCATGGTTCTCTCTGCGCTTTAAACAGAACCCTGAGACTATCAAAGAGCAGGTGCATTTATACGGAGACTTGATTACACACAGGTGCATTCTATTTATCATCATCAGTCATTTAGGACAACATTGGATCATTCAAAGATCCTCACTGAACTTCTGGACTGAGTTTGCTGCACTGAAAGTAAAGGGGCCGAATAATATTGCACGCCCCACTTTTCAGTTTTTTATTTGTTAAAAAAGTTTAAATTATCCAACAAATTTGATTCCACTTCACAATTGTGTCCCACTTGTTGTTGATTCATGACAAAAAATTTAAATTTTATATCTTTATGTTTGAAGCCTGAAATGTGGCAAAATGTTGAAAGGTTCAAGGGGGCCGAATACTTTCGCAAGGCACTGTATGTATAAGAAAGGACCTTCTTCTATTGTGAGTCTGTTTCAGAGAGTGTGTGTTGTATTGTGATGGTATTTATACTGGATTGTACATTACTGTATCCATGTATTTATAACCAGGGACTGCGGATGGAAACAGCTGTTTAGTTATAATCTGGTGCAGAACATATCTTTGAGCTTAATGTCTCTGTACATTGTCCCTTCAAATAGAGACTAAATAAAGTCCTGGTTAGTCTGTGGAGAATACAGAGATGGGACTCACCAGCCTCACTGTCGCGCACACACAGACGCTCCTCCTCTTTGGACAGAGAGTCGTAGCCTTGATCTGACTGACCACCTGTCCACAGAAGAGCAGGTCACTACAGACTTCCAGAGGGCTGCAGCTATCCACACCATCAACACCATCAACAGCATCAAGCCTCTCCAATTCAGTTCAATTCTTTATTTACAAAACCTCAGAGTCATACAAGTTATTCACATTTATATTGTAGAGTTGGTTGGTGTTTTGTAAAAAAGGGAACTCCCAGGAAGCTGCATTAGCTTAGGCGGCCCCAAAAGCAATACATGCAAAACAAATGTGACAATTTATACCATGTCTCCCTGGATCCCTCTGGATCCCATTGGACCCCTCTAGACCCCTCTAGACCCCAGGGGCAGATGAACGGTTACAGATTGTGATGTGTTTTCTGACCTGTGCTGAAGCCGTCGTCGCTGGAGTCGATCTTAGTGAAGTCGGTGTCGATGGAGATTCGTTCCGCGGAGTCGTTAGCGCTGTCCACGCTGCCGTGGCTCACCGTGTCCAGGTCACTGCCGTCTGCAACGCAAGGGTCCGAGGGTCAGATTCAGTAAAACCACATTGGGACACATGTGCATACAGTGTGCAACAAACAAGTACACACATATAACAAGCTAAAAAGTACACCGCAAAACATGATCAAATATGGAGAGCAGCTTCAGTGACAGACTTATTCACCCACACTGTGAGAAGGAGAGATTCCGCAGGTGTTTCCTTCCTGCTGCAGTCAGACTGTACAATGAGAACTGCTGAGCCACATGTCATGTCATCTGTAATTAGTAAATCTGTGCAATACTGCAATTTCAGAATGTCCACAACAAGATGCCGCTATGCTAATTATTTCTAGCATTGAAGCTTCTTGTGTTGTGTGCTCCCTTTGTGCTCCTACTGCTATCCCATTGGCCAATCTGGTTTTAAGATTCAGTCAGAAGAGTAAGAAGTCTGAGAGCTTTGAACCTGAGAGTTGAGGGTCTTTTCTCAGACTGGTTTGTTTTTTCAAGGCCTGCTTGAACTGGACGACTCCCAGGACCATGTTCCGGACTTTTCTCCACATGAAGAAGCCTCCTCTGGTGCTGGAGGGCCACGTGCTCTCCAACACCGCCTGCAAGACACACACATGGTCCCAGTGAGAGAAGACACACATGGTCCCGGTGAGAGATGACACACATGGTCCCGGTGAGAGAAGACACACATGGTCACGGTGAGAGAGGACACACACACATGGTCCAGGTGAGAGAAGACACACATGGTCCCGGTGAGAGAGGACACACATGGTCCAGGTGAGAGAAAACACACACGGTCACGGTGAGAGAAGACACACATGGTCACGGTGAGAGAAGACACACATGGTCACGGTGAGAGATGACACACATGGTCCCGGTGAGAGAGGACACACATGGTCACGGTGAGAGATGACACACATGGTCCAGGTGAGAGAGGACACACACACATGGTCCCGGTGAGAGAGGACACACATGGTCACGGTGAGAGAAGACACACATGGTCCCGGTGAGAGAGGACACACATGGTCCCGGTGAGAGAGGACACACACACATGGTCACATTGAGAGAGGACACACACACATGGTCCCGGTGAGAGAAGACACACATGGTCACGGTGAGAGATGACACACATGGTCCCGGTGAGAGAGGACACACACACATGGTCCCCGTGACATACTTACTTTGTTGTAGTATCCGTAGGTGATGGCGTTCGGCTGCAGTCCGGCTTTCTTCATCTCGAACAGGACTCGAACGGCGAGAACGGGCTGACTGTAGGTGCCACACAACTGCAGCAACACACGGTAACACACCTGCACAAGACACAACTCACAATCACTACACTGCAGCAACACACGGTAACACACCTGCACAATATACAACTCACAATCACTACACTGCAAAAAGGGAGAAAATATAAGTCTAAAATTGCTCTAATTTGACAAAATGTGTGTTAATCTGAGCACGTTCTAACTGACCAGCAGAATGAGATAAAAAACATTAGATTTAAACAATTATTCTATTTTATCATTTTTTTGTGTTCGTCTAACGTAGAGTGTGTGTGTTTTTGTAAAGTCTGTGTTTTTGTGTAGAGTCTGTAAATTCTGCTGTAAATGAATTGTCTTCTGGGATCAATAACGTTTTCTGAACCTGAATCGACAAAGTAAATATAAGCTTTGAGAAGTACCTCATTAGTATTTATTTATTTTATTTATTATTTGTCTAGGTTTGTATGAATTACTCATTTTGTTTAAATGTTTTGAACTGTTTATTTATCTTATTGTTTAGCTTCTCTTCCCATCACCAGGGATACGGGGATGTGGGGACCGAAAAGGAGACAAAAAGTAAAGTGTGAAGCATTTGCAAACAGCGTGAAAATAAATAAATAATATATATATGCACCTCGTCTGGCGCCTGCAGGTTGCGCTCCTGCATCTTCCGCAGCAGGTCGTAGGCCGTGCGCAGCGCCCGCACCCTGGAGGCGCTGCTGCTGACCAAGGCAGGCAGACAGATGTACCACAGGCCGTAGCAGTGACGCAGGAGGCACTTGGACCACATCTGAGGCACCGCAGAGTCAGACCGGGCCGTTCTCTGGGCCAGCTTCATCTCCTGAGACACAGACACACACAACAGACACACAGACACACACAACAGACACACAGACACACAACAGACACACACACAGACACACAGACACACACACAGACACACACAACAGACACACACACAGACACACACAACAGACACACAGACACACAACAGACACACACAACAGACACACAGACACACAACAGACACACACACAGACACACACAACAGACACACAGACACACAACAGACACACACACAGACACACACAACAGACACACAACAGACACACAACAGACACACACACAGACACACACAACAGACACACAACAGACACACACAACAGACACACAACAGACACACACACAGAGACACACAACCACACAACAGAAATACACACAGACACACAACAGACACACAACAGACACACAACAGAGACACACAACCACACAACAGAAACACAACAGAGACACAAACAGACAAACAACAGACACACACAACAGACACACAGACACACACAGACACACAACAGACACACAACAAACATACACACAGAGACACACAACAGACACACAAACAGACAAACAACAGATACACAACACAGACACAAACAGACAAACAACAGACACACAACAGAGACACAAACAGACAAACAACAGATACACAACACAGACACAAACAGACAAACAACAGACACACACAGACAGACACAGACACACAACAGACACACAACAAACACAAATAAAACAGACACACACACAGAGACACACAACCACACCACAGAAACACAACAGAGATACACACAGACACACAACAGACAACACACACAGAAAGACAAACAACAGACACACACAGACGCACAACAGAGATACACACAGACAGACAACACACACAGACAGACAAACAACAGACACACACAGACGCACAACAGACACACACAGATACACAACAGAGACACACAACCACACAATAGACACACAACAGAGACACAAACAGACAAACAACAGACACACACAGATACATAACAGAGACACACAGACAAACACAGATACACAACAGAGACACACAACAGAGACACAAACAGACAAACAACAGACACACAACAGAGACACAAACAGACAAACAACAGACACACAACAGAGACACAAACAGACAAACAACAGAGACACAAACAGACAGACACAGACACACAACAGACACACAACAGAGACACAAACAGACACACAAACAGACAAACAACAGGCACACACACACAGACACAGACACACAACAGAGACACAACATATCAAGAATGTATTGTTCCCACAGGAGAGAAATGTCAGTGTTGCACGAGGAGCACACAGCACAAGATAAATGAACAATAACTCTAAAATAACATAAAACTTCAAACATTAGCATTTTAAAGAAGAACATATAGCTAGCTAACAACTAATTAGTGTATCATTTATGGTGAATTAGCTCCTAGTTCATATTTATTGAGCACTTCTATCGTCCTTATTCTACATGCACTGCTAAAAATGATAAACTATGAGATAAAAATTGCTTGAATCGAAGTGTTTTTATCATAATCTGACACATTCAACTGTGTTAAAACAAGATTCTCCCACGGGACAAAAACATTTAGTTTTATTTCAAGAACTGTTGATTTAGTTTCCTGATTCCATATCATATCTTTTTAAAACAAGATCCATCCATCCATTTTCTTCCCCTTAATCCATTTCTGGGTCGGGCGGGTGGCAGACAGGGCACCAGCCCCTCACTGATCCTCCTGCAGAGTCCACAGGAGCCGAGATCTTTCAGCGGGGGTTTCAGGCAAAGTGTCTTGCCCAAGGACACAACAACTGAGCCACTGTCGCCCCGTAAAACAAGATCATTTTGCTTTGTCCCATTGGAAAATCTGGGAAATCTGGTGCCGGTAAATGGCTCTGAATGCACCCTGGGGTTAGCCATGCACAGTTTTTCCAATGTGGTTTTACTGCATATGGTAAATACATTCATGAATCTTGAAATCAATATGTTCTCAAAATAAGATACATTTTACTAAATTTGTGCAATTTTTGACTTTTTTCTAATCACTGTGGCCTTATTAACTACTAGCTGACACTTTTCCATGTTAGTGTTAGCGTTAGCATACACTAATTAGCCCTTCATTAACTGTTTATTTAGTGAGGTCTAATCTAAAGTGTTGCTGGTCTCAGTATCGGAGTCTTGTAAAGCTAATTCTGTGTGACATTTTTGATTACATCCTTTTACCCAACATGACATATTCAGGGAACAGCCCTGTGAGTCACTATTTGACATTTTGGGCTGAGGCAAGCTCCCGGGCTGGGCTAGAATAGTCATCTTTTCTGATCCAAAGTCGTGACAGAAACCATGAGAAAAGTAACTGTTTTTAATGCATTTTCTGGAGGTTTCAAAGTGCCCAGATTCATATGTTATGAATCCCAGTTATGTTTTTAACGCTGGCCTCTGATGCTCTTGAATCCCATTGGCCTTTCAGACTATTTAAATATTGTCTGTGTAGAATGTGTAGAAAACCTAAACTAAACTCTGTATTTTAGATCCTCCATTTAAAGCCTTAAAATTTGATAAACAAACTCTTATTCATGAAGATTTATAGACAAGACTCATAGCCTGCTTCCCTGTTTTGTTTATCAAATTAATCACAGCTTGTTTGGCCCTAAAGTATTATTTTATCTATGTATTTGTTTATTTGACAGGGACAAACTCATTTTCATCCGTGGTGCCAGAGACAAAGTGACAGCAGTTTTACAGTGTGCTAAAAGCTAACACATACAATGGCCTCGTTAGCGTTGATAATACAGATATATACAGTATAAGCTAGCACAGTATTGACCTGTTTGGAGCGCCTGAAGATGGCGGTGGGGCTGGCGGGGTTGATGTGGCGGAGGCTGGCGGCCGCTGACGGAGGAGACGGTCCCTCCAGAGGCTGAAGCAGATCCACCTCCAGCACCGGGAACCCAGAGTAACTGCACAGCCCAGAGACAGAACCAGAGACAGGGTCGATTATGCGTCTAAGCTGTCACCAAAAAAACTAAAGAAACGGTTGTGTGCGATATCAGGAAAAAGAGTAGGATGAGGACTGTAGAATACGGGCTCAAAGGTACGAGGGTCCGAGTTTATTAAACCAAATAAGACACGATAAACTTTATTGATCTCACAATGGAGAATTTTATCTCCTTGACTGCCATTGACGTATTTGTCCGAGACCCTCTGTTCGACTGAGGATTACAGGACAATAAAAATAGCTAAAAACAAACTTATTTTTGCTGATCAAAGTAGACGATCCAGTGTTTCAGAATCTGGTTTCATATTTCACACAGTCTTAGGAAATAATATTCTGTGGGTCTTCAAAATCAGTGAAATCATCCAAAACGGCAGCAGTCGATGAGTTAAACTACTGCGTCTATTTTGAAGTAAGCGTCTTATCCATAATAGAGGACAATATTTAAAGCAGAGAATAGAATAGTGAGCACAGGGACTGGCCTCCTGCTGGGACTCTGAGGAGCACAGGGACTGGCCTCCTGCTGGGACTCTGAGGAGCACAGGGACTGGCCTCCTGCTGGGACTCTGAGGAGCACAGGGACTGGCTTCCTGCTGGGACTCTGAGGAGCACAGGGACTGGCTTCCTTCTGGGACTCTGAGGAGCACAGGGACTGGCCTCCTGCTGGGACTCTGAGGAGCACAGGGACTGGCTTCCTGCTGGGACTCTGAGGAGCACAGGGACTGGCTTCCTTCTGGGACTCTGAGGAGCACAGGGACTGGCCTCCTGCTGGGACTCTGAGGAGCACAGGGACTGGCCTCCTGCTGGGACTCTGAGGAGCACAGGGACTGGCCTCCTGCTGGGACTCTGAGGAGCACAGGGACTGGCCTCCTGCTGGGACTCTGAGGAGCACAGGGACTGGCCTCCTGCTGGGACTCTGAGGAGCACAGGGACTGGCTTCCTTCTGGGACTCTGAGGAGCACAGGGACTGGCCTCCTGCTGGGACTCTGAGGAGCACAGGGACTGGCCTCCTGCTGGGACTCTGAGGAGCACAGGGACTGGCTTCCTTCTGGGACTCTGAGGAGCACAGGGACTGGCCTCCTGCTGGGACTCTGAGGAGCACAGGGACTGGCTTCCTTCTGGCACTCTGAGGAGCACAGGGACTGGCCTCCTGCTGGGACTCTGAGGAGCACAGGGACTGGCCTCCTGCTGGGACTCTGAGGAGCACAGGGACCGGCCTCCTGCTGGGACTCTGAGGAGCACAGGGACTGGCCTCACCTGTAGCAGAGGGGGTGCTCCTGTCCCTCTGGGAGGGGGGGCAGCTCTGGGGGGTTGATGTAGACGGTGTGTTCGCTGAAGTGAGACTCGTCCAGATCGATGAGTCGTGTGTCCTCAGAGTGTTCACTGTCCACCTGCAGCAGAAGCAACACAATCAGTCACCAACACACACTCAGGGACCAACACATACTCAGGGACTAACACACACTCAGGGACCAACACACACTCAGGGACCAACACACACTCAGTCACCAACACACACTCAGGGACCGACACACACTCAGGGACCGACACACACTCAGGGACCAACACACACTCAGTCACCAACACACACTCAGGGACCGACACACACTCAGGGACCAACACACACTCAGGGACCAACACACAATCATTGACCTACCTACTTATATAATTTAATAATAATAATAATAATAAATCAGTTTTATAAAGCACTTTTTTGGACGCTCAAAGACACTTCACACGAACACGGAGGTGATAAACTACGACTGTAGCCAAAGCCCGAGTGTGTGAGGCATTTAGCATTTAGCCAAGCATTAGCCTTTAGCCTAGCTTTAGCCATCTCCTTTGCCGCCGTGCGGAGTAGAGCCACAACATCTTTTCCTCAGTGACAGTCACTAAACATTCCTCTTGCTCCGGCTTCAGTTTCTTGATATTTGGACTGAACCAGAACAGATTATTTTACTATCGCATTCTCCGACAAACTACAACCAGTGAATTCAGCACAAACTCTTGACGTCACCGACACCGTCACTACAACACCCGCCTCCCCCGCTCTCTGATTGGTCGGAGGGGATTCAACCGAGGAAACTGCAGCCACTAGGATCAGACCCAGACGTACATGTAGGAAATGACCATGGACCAGAGTTTACACATGGTAAGACCAGACGTACATGTAGGAAATGACCATGGACCAGAGTTTACACATGGTAAGACCAGACGTACATGTAGGAAATGACCATGGACCAGAGTTTACACATGGTAAGACCAGACGTACATGTAGGAAATGACCATGGACCAGAGTTTACACATGGTAAGACCAGACGTACATGTAGGAGATGACCATGGACCAGAGTTTACACATGGTAAGACCAGACGTACATGTAGGAGATGACCATGGACCAGAGTTTACACATGGTAAG